CGGCCATTGTTTTGTGGGGTCTATTGATGGCACGGCAATCTTGACAGTGCGCGGCGCGCCGGGACAAAGAGAACATTATCCAATCAGTCGTGCCTTCCGCGCCGGCTTGCCGCAGCTTGGCACCCGGCACCTTCTTTGAAGTTCGCACGTTGCTCTGTCTGAACGTGCCACGGCATCTTGAGCAACACCAGGATTATCTACAGCCTGGCCAACCAACAGGCTGACTGCGAATCTACAAGTCGTGCTCGAGAAACACATGGCGAGTATCTATCTCACACCAGACTGTTCGCATGCGCGCTCTGCCTCGACCTTCAAAGATTCAAACTCATTTCACTTCAATCAAGCCTTGTGCACCCTGGCTCTTTGCTAAGCATTGTCAGAATCGTCTCGAATCTTTGACCATGCTTGGTTTCCATATTTAATCTTTGGTAAGTGTCTGCCTTGATGCTCGCTTCGCCAGCATGCAGCGTGCAGAACCACATCCAAGCTTTGCACCCTTTGTTTGGAGTCTTGTGCATTCGAGAAGGATACCCTCTCACGCGAAAACGAAACGAGAAGTGCCTATTTCACATGTCTGTGTCTCACCAGAAGTGTTACTATTCAGATCAATGGCCCGCGCCGTGAGGAATATAATAGCAAACTCGACTCTGACCCGCGTTTCAGCGATTTATAGCTCGTGCTTGGGAGCAACGACACTTTCGAACCACAACCTCTGGACAACATGTCAGATGTTCATTGAGCTATTCTCAGCTACAACTGTACTGAGCTCCAATACCGTGCTTCTATGCGACGATGGATCTCTTTCAAACAACCGAGCGAATTCGACTTGTGCTTGCGCCAGCACTCAGACCCTGACAGACTGAGCCCCTGCTATTCTTTTGGTAAGTGCGCACAATCTAGTTCTGCCCATGTCCTGCGTGGCGGTTATTTGTCAATTCAACAATCGTAAGAGGCGCGTTGACCTTGCATAGAGCAAGATGGTTTATGACGCCGATATCAAGCCTCATGCACTCAACCGAGATGTGCATGGGTCTGGCGGTATATCAAGATTACCTTTGATGTCGACTGAAGCAAAACGAGCAGACTGGGAGGTCGCAGAGCAGATCCCCACGAGATGAACGCTATGGTCATTCGTCATTGACTTTCTAACTCTTGTCGACCAGCTGTACTTGTCATAAAGTCGCATTGACCAACGATTTTCATGCATCAGAAACGAGTTTGGCAGCGCAGAGTTCACATGGAACGATGCACAATGACTCGAAGTCGAGTTCTAAGCGTCATCGGTTTGGCCCTGAGCCGTCTTTATATTTCACAGCACTTTGAGACGAGGGAGACCCTGGCTCACAGGTCGACCACATCACGAACCTTTTAGTCGAGGTTGATCACGATAATTGTTGACTTGCAGAATAGAGGTGTCAACTGAGCATATCCCAGATATCCAGGTAAAGGTCGTGCGAACCAACAAGCGGTCAGACATCGGGCGTTCCAACACGTGGCAGGTGACCTAGGGAATGCAACACACTTCTGGCTGGGACGTCGCACAAGACATATCGCGGTATCATAGAATCGTCCTTCTCACGTTTTCAAAGACGCAGTGCAACCTCAAGGACCCGAAACATAGGAATGCGGGTGCTCTTATATCGCTCTGGGACAGACTCGATAGGACAGGCACGAGGCGTATGGTGCAACACACCGTACGACTGGATTCTGGTATGCTTGCTGCCGTGCTCGGTACTAGGACACGCGCACGCGCGTGCCCTCAGAGTGAGGACATATAGCGCACAGGGATGATGAAATCGATCTATTTCGAACTGCTTACCTTGTCGAGCATACTTGGAGACATTGAGCTATATCCAACAATCGGTTCCAATATACGACAACGGTGCACATACTTGCAGCAGCTGCCGTGCGTTTCTTTTCAGATCGCTACAGCTTGATATGTACTTCAACTATGCGTATAGATCAGCGGATGATGAGAGGATCAATCCCTCAGGCTGTACGACCGATGATCGCTGAGACCAGTATCTCAAGTAACTAATATACATTGCCTCGTAAAGATTCTGTAGGATGTCGAACTTACAATAATAGACAAAAGTCCAAGCGTCACAAACACGAGCCAAGGAGAGGGAAGTGGTCTTCGAGAAGCGCAGACGTGGCCTATTACAAGCAGTGCCAATATCAATGATTTCCCTCGAGCATCTGCAGGTTTCCGGCAGGAGGATTACAGCAAATAGAATACGAGCATCCACTGCCCACTTGGCATGACAGCTGCTGAAGGAAAAGCCTGATTGGAAATGTACGAATACCTTGGCTTAAATGAGAGTCGTTCATTGCTTATCGACCGGTACAAAGCAAGGTACATGCATGTAGCCTTATGCATATGCGGGTAAAAACGATACATCCCGGCCGACCCCTGTAAAGCGTGCAATTGCAAGCCGACTCAGCAAGATGTCAGCAACCCGCTAAAACAGTGAAGGCACTCTGTGGTCACTGCATAGCATGTGCTGTAAGTCTTCGATAGGTTACCAAAAAGTACGGGTGTCGGTAAGCGACGAAAGATTCGGGGGAAAGGGCAAGGGGCAGCGGACATTTTTGTCGAAGGAATGCTGCGTCACGCAAGCAGGTTTGGTTTGTGGCTTTAGGTTATTCTGCTTCCGGACGAAAACAAGTGTATCCGAATCGTGCTAAGGCACGATATGATTGTTCCGATGTGTGTAGAGAAAGGTATGCATATCGTGCACATTATCAGCTCGAGTAGCCAGCCAACTGTTGTCGGTTGAGGACAGGTGGTTGGCGTTTAGCGGCACACTTAGACTTCCGCGAAGCTCTCCGCAGACTTCTTGTCTTCTGTTGGCGGAGCAAAGCTCCATTGCACCATTTCAAGACCGAAAAACTATCCAGATGGACTTCGTGACTAGTGTTGATATATTCGCCGGTTGGCGATCACCCATGTGTTTAACTCGGTCGAACATATGGATCTAATCACGCCTCGGTTGCCGTGAGCCGTTTCCGGCTCTTGTAGGGTTATCTGAGCGCTCCTTCCACTTGAGAGGTAATGCCGTTTACGGCTCGTGGACCAACCCAGGAACGCCCGTGTTTACTGGCAACGCCCTGCCATGTCTATGCGGCTGAGAAGCACTGTCTTAGATCTGACAGTGCTCCACAATATCGGCCGAGCAAGGGCCTCGAATGAAGAGAGCGAAGTGAATATTCAATCCTTCTTGCACTAACCATGAAGGATTGATCTTGTGGGTGGACAGGGTTCTAACCTTGGCAAGAACTGCTGAGCTCCAGAGGATTTGCCTTCGAATGATAGCGGAAGGCTGAAGCAAGCTGTGTACCTATGAGCAGAGGGGCGATGGTCGGAGGATTTTCGCGCAGCTTTCGTAGTTGGCAGATCAGATACAAGGAAGTTGTAGCGTGCTCGACTATCTCGAGTATACAGGGGAGTCCCTGCGTGTGCGGGAGCATCAAAGGTCCAGCATTATTCATAATACTGCACTCCGCGAACAACAATCGTCGATGAGTCGCCACTCACCTTACCCCAGAGTTGATCTCGAAACATTGAGCCTCTTTACTTGACGCCGGAGCCTTTTGCGAAGTCGTGCCAGTGTCAACGTTGAGAAAACCCATGTCTACGAACAGTGGGGTGAAAAAAGTGTATCTTTGGACACCCCCGATATGGACTAGTCTAAAGCTTGGCCCGGAGATCTCTTGGACATCCTTGCGTTACTTGCGCGCCTTCGACAAAGGGCTACCCCGGCGGCTGAGGTCTGACTAGCAGATCTAGAGGACGCTAGCACGACGTAGTGCCTATCCCGTCAGCACTCCCAAGTGGTGAGCGGAGGATAAACTTACTGCCCTGTTCGCTGTCTCCGTGTGTTCACTGTGCTACAAGCGTAGGTACAAGCACGATCAACGGATTACTGTATGATGCTGCTCAAGCTCTCCTGAGCAACCAGGAGTCGACGACCGTTCGTGCGAAGATCGTCATCGCGCAGATGCACGAACGCATCACCATTTCTCGAGGTATCCTCCACAGATTTCTATCGCGTCACTGGCAAGTACAAACGGCCCAAGGCAGAGTGGGGATTGAGAGAGCTCCCGGGGTGCTGCAGGCAGATCGAGCTGCACGTTAGCTGCTCTGCTGCAAATGCCATGCTAGATCCAATCTCTCCGACTGTCGCTCGGATAGTGGCTGATCTGGCGCTCCTCCAAAGAAGGCTCGCGAGAAATTGATATTTGGATACGGCTCCGCTGTGCTACCCTTAAAGCGAGGCCTCATCCTGATGTGCTTTCCTGACCTGACTTATGCTGACGCCATTATAGCACAGGGCGGGCCTCGACCCAACCACAGAGCGACATCTATATCCGGATGGACGCACCGAGCTTGGCGTCCTTCTGCCATAAGCGGCATCGTTGTGCAGGAAGGTTGACCGTTTTGGGTCTTATCTTGTCAACATCCGATTGGATTTCAAGTCGAACCGCGGTGCCAAGCGCGTTTAATCCGTCCGCTGGGGAGTTTAGGGTGGGTAGGAGAATTTGGACGCGGGCTGACTCGTGCATGCGTTCGACGATAATGGGGCGGTTGGCGTGGTCGTAGTGTGTGCCTCCGACTGGAGCCCATGCTTTGAGCCCGCATGAAACCATACGAAACGTCGCCCATGATAGCTTGATTATGCACCAAATACGTTCCGTCCCTGGGAGCATCTGCCTCGCTTCGCTGGTACTCTAGTCGACAAGTCATGATGTGTCAAGGATCCGCAAACCAGCCCCGAGCTTTATGCTCCTCCCTCAGCAGCTTTTAATAATACCATCAGTGTATCCAACTCGGTCAGGCTGGTCCAACACTTTAGTAGCACCTCTTCTTCTCACCTCTCGCTCCATCTTTTCACGTCTTCTCTCTTTCTTCTCATCTTCTCACCTTCCACTATCTATCCTTCTCCATCATTGCATGTCCGGGTCACCATTGACAGCTTAACTCTCCTCTCCATCTCACAATGGTTTTCTGCACATATTGTGGTCACTCGTTCACCAGGGACGAGCATCTCGAAAGACACATTCTCACCCGTATGGCCAACCGTTATCTCCTTCAGGAACAGACCCTTGCTGACCATCTCAGANNCACCAACGTTAAGCCCTTCAAGTGTTTCACCTGCCACATGTCATTCGCTAGACGGTAAGCCGCATACTGCTTGGCAAGACATTCCAGAACTTAGGCTAATCCTGAATCCAGCGATCTCCTTCAGAGACATTACACCGTCCATGGCCGAGACCAGAACCAAGAGATTATTCCTGCTGCCAATGGCATGATCCCAAAGTCAGCCGGAAGAACACCAATTGCATGCAGCAACTGTGCCAAAACAAAGACCAAGTGTGACAAGAAGTTCCCCTGCAGTCGATGTGCGGGCCGCAACCTTCGATGCACTCTCCGTCCCACTCGTCGCTCATCCAAAAATGCCAACCGCATGGGCTTGATCACTGCCGAGACCATCGCCAGTGGTGTTGCCAATGGCATCCTTCCTCCAGACCAGACCGTCGCTGCCGAGGCCGCTCCCATGCCTGTCACTTCTCCAAAGTCGGCCGAGAAACACATGCACCAGAAGCCGTCAAGTCCGGGATCTGGTGTACCTACAACCATCCCTGAGGAGAAGCTTATGAACGATGTCTCTGCTCAGTACTTTGAGCCACCAATGTCTAATGGTCATACCTCTCCCGCCCAGCAAGTCTCACCTTTGGCTACACCCGACTCTGGCTTTATCCAAGGACACATGCCCACCTACGAGGATTTCATGAACGGTACCAAGGAAGACGATGCCAACCCTCGCTTCATGCTTGACTGGGGCCAGATGCCTATGCCCATGGCCTTCGACCACATGGCTCGTGCAGACTTGATGCTTGATCCCAGCATGGGCTTTGATCCCACTCAGTTGTCCTTGATGCCGCCCAACGAGAACACTCTTACCATCATTCCCGAGATGGCCAATGCCGGTGCCCCCTTGATTACGCCTATTGAGACACCCAAGGTCGAACGTTCGTTCGCCGAGATGGATATCGGTAATTCTAACATGTTCTACGCACATGCCAGACACATGTCGACTGCCTCACTGGCGTCCAACGATGGACAGGACATTAGGGCTGTCATCGCTGCTCAGGACGGATGGAATGTATTCCGATGCACACCTACCGTTCCTTCGAGCTCGTGTCCAACCACCGCCAAGATGAATCTCGAATGCCTAGAGCAGACACTCNNCAAGAACCACGAGGGCTGGAGCACCTGGACTCCCACCTGGGACGAAGCCGACTTTGCCGGCGGCGAGAACCTGGCTGTCATGCAGCTCCACGAGAGTACACGTGATAAGCTTCTCGCTATCACGCAGACCTTCCTTCACAAGGCTCTTGAAACCCATAAGGAAGGTCAACAAGGTGGTCAGTCTCCCATGTCGAACGGTGGCTCGAACTTTGTTCTCTTGCCACCAGCTAGAGTGCTCGAGTACTTCCTTCGATCATATGCCAACGGCTTCGAGCGATACTATTCATTGACATCACGAGGCATCCTTGACGCAAACGAGCTGATGCATTGCTACAATGACAAAGCTTCTTGCCTCTTGGTCCTCATGATGATCGCTCAAGGCTCAATGAATATCAGCTCCGTCGAAGCCCGATGGCTTGCTGGCGGTCTCACCGAAGCTTGCCGCATCTCGCTCTTTGACCTTATCGAGCGCAACATCACGATGGCCAGTGACCCAATCGCTCTCCACTCTGCCCTTCTCTTCACTTCTCAGGCTGCCTGGAGTGGAGACAAGTGGCAGATGGATATTGCCATGGGTCAGCGAAGCATGTACTTCCACATGTTGCGACACTCGGGTGTTCTGGATGGCAGAGCATTCGCATCTCCTCAGGTCGATCATCAAGGCAACGCTGACTCTCTGTGGACCGAATGGATCCAGCACGAAAGCCGCAGCAGACTTGTCTACTCGTGGGTCATGATCGATCAGGATCTTGCTCTCTTCCATGATACCGCACCACTGTTCTCTGTGACCGAGTTTGGCGCTCCTATGCCTGACTCTGATCGCTTATGGCAGGCGAAGAGCGCGCCTGAATGGTCACAGATCTTCGAACAGGTACATGAGTTCTCGAGTGGCTACTCCTCTCTTGGCTCAGGTGCCAGACCCATGTCCCTGCACGATCTATTCCGCCACTTCTTAGATGACGAGATGGCTTCCCTTGGCATCGGAATGACGCCTCTACAGATGAGGCTACTCCTACACCCTCTTCAGTCCATGGTTTGTCACTATGGCCAGCTCATGAGCTGTTTCTCCGATTCACTTTCATCACGCAACAAGACACGCACTGTCACTGCATCATCGACTAGATGTCGTTTGGAGGAAGTACAGTCACTGCTTCAACGCTGGTACGATATGGCCGACCGCTACCTTAAGGTCAACCCTATCTGCGCCGTCATGCAAGCCAACCTTGTCATGTTCCACCTTATCAGCCTGAATGCCGTCACGAACTTCTCCGAGATCGAGCGTCTGGCTCGTCGTGAAGGTTTCGATGGCACCTACCAGCAGTTGGTCTGGACCCACAAGAGATGCATCGCCGATGTCGAGGAAGCTGTCTTCCACTGCGGTCAAGTCTTGCGTATCATTCGCTCTATGCCCCGCGGTGTCCGNCCCCCATGGTGGGCTGGTGCAGTCTACCGCGCTGCTCTTGTGCTGTGGACTGATAGTCTAATCAACAAGGAAACCCCGGCTGCAACTGCCACTGGCGGCTTCCCCTCGCCGGGACCCAGCTTTGCAATTGATGCCTTGCCGGTTGGCCACCCTATGGTCGTTCGCTTCTTGAGCAAGCGTGTAGGTCAGCCTGCCCTTAGCAAGAGGGATGGTACTCACGTTCCAATGGACCATGGTGTCACTGTCCTTGCTCACTGTATTGAGATCATGGACGAAGGCACTTCCAACAGATTTGTCGATGGCGTCCGTAACAAGCTCGACCGATTGATGAGAAGCTGAACACTTCCATCTCATGTTTTACGACCTTTTCTTTACTCTTTCTGTCCAAAATAGATGGGCTTGGTGCTATCGGTGTTGGTGGTATTGCGTTTGTTTCTTGTTCTCTCCTGTTTTGACGATAATGTCTTCGATACCAAAGGGGTGGGCAACCTCGAACCGCAGCGGAAGCGGTCACTGGCGTTTTGTCGTCCTTTATTGTTCTGTTTCTCTTCTTCAAGTAGACCTTGATGCAACATATCCAAGTTGATCTTCCTTGAACTCTTTCTCCCTCTTCCAATGCCGTATCTTCCTTGTCTTGTCCAACCATGCTTCAGATAATCATCATCATGCCTCCTCTTGAATCCAACCATGTTCCTCGTCTGACTTTCTGCACCAAGTTTCGTCGTCAAAATCGTTTCCATACTGGTGATGCCGAAGTGGTTCATTCGAGATTGTCCAGTTGTCATAGTAGGCGAGGTTCTCTGGTGTACCAATTTATCCACAACTCCGAGTATAGGAAGCAACATCAACTCCAAGATGCTGAGAAAGGACGACTTTATAATAACTCCTATGATCGGACAAACCAACATTGTCCGGTGTGCATGGATGATCTGATTTTTGTTTTGCCCCTGACACAGCGTGACGCATATTGAAAATAGCAGATCAAACCAACAATGTCCGGATGTGCACTTCGGAGGTGAGGAGGTCTCGTGTCTAGTATGGTGATCCGGAGTCTGGAGATGGAACAGACCACCTGATCTCAGACCACAACACTGACTCTGGCTGCCATGCTCTTCTCAATGTGTTCTGAAAACAAGCAGTGTTCAGAATGAGATTGCTATCTGTATTGTTGTGCTATCTATGCTATCTGAGAGCCCTGTTGAACAGTCCAGAAGCGAGACGGCCATCCATGTTGCTATTTTGCCTTTGCCGGACGGACAACATTTACCATGCTTCCCCTCATGCATCTCAGGAAACAGTGTTTTTGATCTCCTAGCTCTCTCCGGCCGTATCCCAGCTGCTCACCGCGTTTCAGTGCACTGTTTCCATGCTTGCTCGACAGAGTAAACTCATTACCCCATGGAGTCCCGCAAAGGATCACCATCACAGTGGTGATCATTGATTCCAAGCAGGTTTTCCAGGCCTGGGCGTAGCAGCAACACACTGGTCCTCATAGAGAGCTCCGGGGACCGGTATTAGCCCAGTGGTCTTGGCGTTGGTGAGGAAGGTTCCAGGAATAGGAGTCGCTGCTGCAGCGGACTGAGCGGGCAGCCGATAACAATCCGGAGCTATGGACACACTGCATGATGCATGGAGTGCACAAAATTATCCTGGAGAGATATGCAACGAGCTTGGAAAGAAGGTGACACTACAAGTGAGAGCGAGAGGGTAGTAGAAGGCCGCGCAATTGTACGTCTGAACAAGGTCGACTTCCAAGACGGCGTCCAAGACTACAAGAGCACGGGAAAAGCTGTCATACCAAAGATGACAAACACTCAATCATCTGCCAAGCACAATCTGACGAAGATCTTCGTGGTTTCCAAGGCTCAGCAGAGTCACCACGAGCGTGGTATCACGTTGGGCAAACACGTTCTCTCACGCTGCACTTAGCCATGAGTTCTGGTTTTTGCTTTCGCCTGGCCACCATCACCACGTTGCTGACAAAACAGTACATGCCGTGTTCTCAGCGATCCATTGTCATCATGGTGGAGAAACTCAACAATCTGCTGTAGCATTGCCCGTTTCCATAATTCTTTGGCGAGGCCTTCGCGGCGGCGATGGCACCGGTGCCTCCACTACACGAGAAGGAAGCGGCTTTTCGAGGCTTGTGGGCTCGCCTCGACAAAGCTGAAGCTCACACAAGCCCTGTAAGCATATCTGGATCCCGGGGGATTCGATAGCGCGTCGAACGAGTCCAGACGAGAGAAAGGTGGGCGAGACGAACAGACAAGCATTCGATAATTGCTGCAAGCAACAGTCATGCAAAAAGCCACCCTGCTCCTTCCTCCTCAACAGCCCCCAACCCGCGACGACGTGGAAACAAACTTCGGACTTGGCGCACTTGCCAGATCTGATTAGGCCGATGGAGCGAATTACCCCACAGATCTCGAAATGGGTTCCGCACAATGGACCACGATTCGTCCCGCGTCGAGCTTTTCCGTAGTTAGAACAATTATACCTCGGCGAACTCGGGCACTGCCGGAGCGCCGGTTTGGAACTCAATCTGGAGCACTTGAGTGTAAGCCGCATGAGAATTCTCCGAGAGCCGCGGCCAAACTTGGACATTTCGTAACAGGCCTATGCATCATGTATTCCTGGAATGCTAAGGACAACAAGAGGTGCCAGGCTTGGCTCGAGCGCATGCCAACGAAACGACTGGCGACAAGCAAAGAAACGTTCACACTGGATTAAAAATAAGAGAAGCAGTTGTACATGAGGTTTCACGAGCTGTTGCAGTGGTGAGGTAGACGACTATCTTCGGGAGCATGGATGTTCCTCGACTGTTCGGCAATGATCGCCTCTATCCTGCACCCAAGACTCGAAGTCCGAAGATTGGCTGGCAACCGCGTCCGTGCTGAACGTCCATTCTGCGACTGCCCCAGCGCGAATTGCCTGCCATGCTGCCTCCACGCTCGACTTTCTGCGTGTAGCCCTGCCGGCCCATTGCTCGTCGATAATGCCTCTCCGAAACTCACACGGACGATTGAGAGCATGTTCGCTCTTCGCTCTTTCGGTGACTTCGCCCGGCGCGAAATCCCTTTGCACACTTCCGCCTTGTCGCCCATTGAAGCTTAGCTAGCTATCGATGGGGTCGGTCCACTGCCATCTGCTACGCTCGCTGCCCAGTGCTTGTCTGAACCATTGCCTCTACCAAACCCGAGTGGAGCCGTCATGTTCTATCATTGGGATATTCTCCGAACAAGGGCTCAACATCTCGGAGCTTTCTTGAGAACGAAAGAGCGAGCATCAATGGTATATAGCGGTCTACAATCACCAGGCTAAGTCATTCTTTTCTCATCATCAATCAACTCCTCATCCAACCCACTACTCTCCAAAAGCCACTCGCTTCAATCACCACTTTTCCACCTTTCACCAACCAACCCAACAACCACAATCACAATGTCTGCTATTGAGACTTCTCGCCTCGACGGAAAGGTCGCCCTTGTCACTGGCTCCGGTAAGTCTTCTGCCACCTCTTCATCACATCGATCTTCCTAACACACAGCAACAGGCCGTGGTATCGGTAAGGCTATGGCCATTGAGCTTGGAAAGCGTGGTGCCAAGGTCGTTGTCAACTACGCCAACTCCGCCGAGGCCGCCAACCAGGTCGTCGAGGAGATCAAGAAGAACGGCTCCGACGCCATTGCCCTCAAGGCCAACGTTGGTGAGGTCTCCGAGACCATCAAGCTCTTCGACCAGGCCGTCGAGCACTTCGGTCAGCTCGACATTGTCTGCTCCAACTCTGGTGTTGTCTCCTTCGGTCACTTCAAGGATGTCACCGAGGAGGAGTTCGACCGCGTCTTCAAGATCAACACCCGTGGCCAGTTCTTCGTTGCCCGTGAGGCCTACAAGCACCTTTCCGTCGGTGGCCGCATCATCCTGATGGGTTCCATCACCGGTCAGGCCAAGGGTGTCCCCAAGCACACCGTCTACTCCGGCTCCAAGGGTGCCATCGAGACCTTCGTCCGCTGCATGGCCATCGACTGCGGTGACAAGCGCATCACCGTCAACGCTGTTGCCCCCGGCGGTATCAAGACCGACATGTACCACGCCGTCTGCCGCGAGTACATCCCCGGCGGCGAGAACCTCTCCGACGACCAGGTCGACGAGTACGCCAAGACCTGGTCCCCCATGCAGCGTGTCGGCCAGCCCATCGACATTGCCCGCGTCGTCTGCTTCCTCGCCTCCCAGGACGGCGAGTGGGTCAACGGCAAGGTCATTGGCATTGACGGTGCCGCCTGCATGTAAAGAGTTTACTCTTCTCTCCCTCCCCCAACAAACACTCTTCATGAGCACAGCATGTTAGTGCCTGGAGCACATGGATGATACCACCAGCTTTCCTTTGTCTTCTGATCATGAGCGGATGGCGTTTATATTACTATAATGTGATGGAAAAGAAGGATTTACAGGTTGAACCTGGACCTCGGAACAAAGCTATTTTATACTAGACAGCACAAAAAAATCGGAGTCTCAGCATTTTTGAAAATTATTCTCTTGTCCCATGCTTGTGATATGCTTGCTTCCTTCTGCAGTCGGTGATTGCTTTGATCGATTTGCTCCTGCCTTACTGTTCTTCTACGGACAAGGATATGAGGAAGCAGCGAGGGTGTCCATATCATTCTCTCTTTTGGTCTCACAGCAAGGACAAATGGAAGGGAAGTAACGAACAGTGTTCGATTCATGTCGTCGTTTCTCACATCCCTTCCAAAAGTTGGAACAGAACCCTCTTTTTCGCTTCTTTGATCTTCATCCTCTTCATTCCATTCTTTTGCTTTGCTTCATCCTTTTCTTGTACCCTTTTCTTTCTCTCTGCTTCTATCACTCTATTCTGCTCGTCGTCTTTGACCCAACACTCTATCTCGTTGGTTGTGAAGAGGATATTCGTTGATGCGGTGGGAGGTTGGCGACCTAATTGGATGAGAGATAGAGGTGGTGAAGATGTTGAAGAGGCAGAGTGAGAGGAAGAGGCTAAGGTGCTGGTAATGTATTCATTCACCACATCCAAATAATTCTTCCCACTCGGTTTATCTTCGAGCATTGCTTCTGCATGAGCATAGAAAGCTTTACTATTATCATGTCATTAGCACTGGCCTCTATATCCACCACGTCAAAGAGAGAGAAAGCAAACTTACCTCGTCATCTTCCAACCCTTCTCCTTTCCAATCTTCTTCCCTTCTCTAATGCTAACACCACAGCGACTCGTAACCGCCATTTCTAGCTGCTTAAACCCATCCAATTCACCCAATGCAAGATCCGTAATCCCTAGCTGAAACCGCAGAAACAGCATTTTTAGACAAGGGAATGCAGAGCTGTGTTTTGCTTTCTTGTTCCAGGATCTTATTGTGTCGTCGGTGATCATGGAGGTTTGCTTTGTGGATGAGGAGCAGCCGACGAGGTGCAGGGATACTAGATTTGGTAGGGAGGATAGGGTATTGACTGATGAGCTTGGATCGGCGATGGTGGTGACGAGGGTTAGGGAGGTGAGATAGTGGAGTGGAGAGGTAGAGATTGAGGGAATGAGGAGGGAGAGGGAAGATGGTGTTGAGTTGTTGTTTCGTGGGTTGGTGTTGGCGGAGAGGAGGAGAAGTTTTCATGAAAGTTTGCCAGAGATGTAACGACTGAAGATTGCTATGATAGAGGTGTGTTAGTGAAGTGATCTCGATGTTTAGATATGATTTGCTTGTTGTGAAATGGGAAGTCGAGTAGGTCACATGTGTTTTGCACTATCGAGTCGGAATGGACAGAATGAAATCACATATCGAGCGATTTCTCACCGACGATCAACTTTGACGTGACAAGACTACCATCACAGCATATTCGATCCTATAAAAGGCCACAATATACTAAAATTGGTCACTAACCCCCAATGACCGCATCAATCGCACCGTCGACGTAAAAAGGCTTGTCCCCAGGGTAACCCTGCCCATGTCACAACCTTCTCGAAAACACGCACAACGAAATGCCAACAGAACAAGCAATGAAGAAGAAAGGAAAGCAGAACTCACCTCCTCGAGATCTCCTGCCAGACTCTTTTCAACATCATCTCCGGCATATGCTCCAAACTATCCACCTCCAGCATATCCAAGTTGTTTAACAAACATCGCATAGCCATCGTCTCCAGAGCATCAACGCCTGTTGCACTTTCCTGGCGAGGTGGTCTACCGACAGGTCGATGGAGAAACTCATAGATCTGTGATGATAGCGGTCGTGAGGATGTTGTGATGACGGTCTCGTTCCAGGAGAGGCCAGAGATTGTATCGTGGTGTCGCGACTGCATTGGGTGGTTGATGTGTCTTTGCCTCATGTTGTGTGTGCGTATGTGTTGAAAAAGAGTTCCAATCCAGTCTTGTAGAAGATAATGTTGTCTTGTGCGAATAGTAATCGTGGTCGTATGCGTCTGGTCTGTCTGTCCAGGTTGATGGTTGTGCTTCGTGCTGTTTTGTAATACGAATGTTGTCGTGGAACCGTAATGTGAGTGCTTGTTCAGTTCGAGGACCAGAAGTGAATGGTTCTTTGCAAAAAGAAAGCGAGTGTTGTATGTATGAATGTAAGACAAGTTGCAAGTAAAGTCTCGATAATCCGCGCATACCAAACACACGCTCGGCGTCAACCGATATCAAGACAACGCACCATCACAAGCAAGGGCAAGAAACATGGGTTGCATCAAAGTTCATACTACTTCTAGAGTACAGTATTCTGTAGAAAAAATTGGTCGTCGCAACAAGTCAACGACTCAAAAGATACCCGTAAAAAATCCCATAATGCCTAAAGAACGCCAGGGTGCCTTTTTGATGCACCACTCAGCTTTTTTGATTTGCTACTTTCAGAGCGAATCACTTAAAGCTCATCGTGCTCAGCAAGATCGCCGTCGCTGTCAACGAGACCATCCTTGACAACAGCGGCAGCCTCACCAGCCTTCTCAACAACTGCGTCCTTGACGGCACCAGCGACCTTAGCGGCGACACCCTCGGTGGCAGCCTCGGCCTGCTTGGGCATACCCTCAGTCTCGACATCGTCGCTCTTAACGTCGGCGTCAATCTTGTGGCTACCGTTCTCACGGATGAACGTGGCGAGGTCCTCAACAGTGCGGGCACCGCTGTACTCGATGGGCTCACCCTTACCGTGGGCAGGGAAGAGCTTGATGGTAGGGAATCCCTGAATCTCATCGGGAACATCGTTGGCAGTGGCATCGACCTTGGCGATGGTGACCTTGTTGGAGTGGGGCTTGAACATCTCACCGAGCTCCTCGTACTTGGGAGCAAGGGACTTGCAGTGACCGCACCAGGGAGCGTAGAACTCGACCAGGACATCCTTGTCGGCGTTCATGACAATCTCATCGTAGTTCTTGGCAACAATGACGGTGACGGGGCCGTCGTTCTTCTTGGGGACGGGCTCGGACTTGATGCTGGGGTCGACCTTGCCGGCAACAAAGTCGTCAAGGAACTTGGTGATCTTCTTGGTGGAGAGATCAGTGCCCTCGAAGGGGAACTTCTGGTTCTTCTGAGTGTCCTGGATGGCGAAGGCGGGCCACTTGCCAACCTCGAGGTTGAGGTTGCCAGCGTGTTGGCCGAAGGCCTTGGCGTCGATGGTAGCAAAGTTGACCTTGCCCTTGTGCTTCTCGGCGACCGACTTGAGGGAGGTGGCAAGAGTCTCACGCTCCTCGGGAGTCTCGGCGAAGATGTAGGCGAGGGGATACCGGCCTGTGAATGTAATGTCAGCTATGCGCTGGAGTGAAGGTTACAGAGCAAGACTTACGGCCATGTAGGTGGAGTAGGTCTCGGGACCGACCTCACCAATCAGAGGAACGGAGGCAGTGTTGGCGAAGGTGGTGATGGCTTCTTTGGTGAACTTCTCGTCGAAGGTGTTCTTGCCCTCATCGAAGCTCTTGTAAAGAACAATCGAGGGCTGCTTGACACCCTCGGCCTTGGCCAGAGCGGCGTCGCTGGTGGCACCGAAAAGGAAGTTTTCGCGGAGGCCGTTGGCGGCAGCGGTGAAAGTCTCGTTGGAAGCCTTGTCGTCGGCGGCGAAGTAGCCGACCAGGACGACCTTGTCCGCGGTCTTGAAGTCCTCAATGGTGGCTTTGTCGACGATGGAAACGGCGGGCAGGGACTGCTTGGTCATGTATGAGACAANTGCTGCAGGAATGTTAGCTAAAATCTCTTGTCGTGCTAACGCTGGTATAGCGTACGCAGGGGCCTTGCGCTGGCCGCTGTAAGGGGAGACATTGTCGAGGCCTCTGAAGACCTTGAGGGTAGGGTAGCCCTCGACACCGTGGTCGCGGCAGAGGTCGGCCTCCTCGGTGCAGTCAATCTTGGCCAGGGCAATGTTCTTCTCCTTGAGGGTGGTAGCGGCCTCCTCGTACTCGGGTGCGAGAGCCTTGCAGTGTCCGCACCAGGGGCGAAGACTGTGTGCTGTTGTCAGACGTATGCTCGTAGTATGGCGGACCAGGAAACAGTGCTTACATTCTGCGAGGACGAGGTCGTTCTCCTCGACGAAACCCTTGAAGGTGTCCTGCTTAAGGTCGACAACGTCGGAAGCGGCGGCCAGNNGAGCGGCTGCGCCGAGCAGACCCAGAGCTGCGAAGTTGCGCATTGTGATGTGTTGTATGAGGAAGTGGGAGGAAGGGAAACAGATCAAGGACAAGCACAGTACGAAAAAGTGCAATGTCTGGTGGGTGCTTCTTGAAAGAGGTCGAGTCAAAGGAGACAGATCACCTTGACTGCTTGCTAAGCCGGCAAAGGGACCAACTGGCCTCACAAGCCCGAACAAGGGAAGCTTCGTGAACCCCGCCTTGCGCCTTCCTTCCAAAAATTGCCCCTGGTTTCAGCTCTCTCTAGACCCCGAATATTCAATCTATTTCATGTCTTCATATTGCCTTGGCTGTTCATGCTATAGCCTCGTGTCGCTTAGCGAGCAAGCCCTCATCTGATCATTGTACAAGAGCAACGAGTCCGTCACACTCAACCAGCATGCCATTTGTTAAGAAAGGGGTATCTGAATTTAGAGAACCATCTACTTGTACTCGGATACGGCCATCCGATAAGCAGCATGCCGCGGCATCAATAAAGCAAAGTCCAGAGCACGACCATCAGCTTTCAGCACACCATCATCACCGTCACTCAAGACATTACAGCTCTTGTACCCAAACCTCCATCTTGCCCATCTCAGCTCCATCTTTGCCCGCTTGCTCCTTTGCAGTCACAACCATCATCTCCAAGTCGTCCTCGTCGCCCATGGTAACCATGTCTCCCTCTTCATCCTTCATTTTCAATTTGAAGCTTTCTTTACCTGTGAGGCCAAATTTCTTGCGTATCTGCTCTACAAATGTGTCGTAAGAGACGTCGGGCTGTATCATGACATAGCGCGTGTCTGTTGCAAACACCTTTACGCGGATCTTGCGAAGGGTGGGAAGAGCGGGTTGTGGCTGTTGTTGAACGGCAGGTGTGAATTCATAGGGTAGTGCGTTTGTGATAGTGGTCTGGAGGGCTTGGAGAGAAGAGTCCTCCTCGAAGGATGGCTGCGTGTCTTTGACTTCTTCCTCAGGACTTTCGTCTTCTTCTGCGATGGATCGAGGGTATTCGCGCAAAGATTGTCCTCCTGATCTGGTGCGTTGATGGTGGAAAGTCATCGGTTGTAGTTTCTCGGGCTCGGAGAGTGCTTGTTGTACAGCTGTGGCTACCGTGTCTGGTGTATACACATCTGGTCGCAAGACGTGTGAATCATCATTGGCGTGGTGAGTATCAGAGCGTCTGTCGTGTTCACGCAGTCTCGGTGGACTCGAGCGTGATGACTGTGTGTCTCGTGCTCTAGGTCTCTCCGAAGCAGATCTCTTGGTTCCTAGTCGTGGCTTCTCTAACACAAGACTCGTCGTTGATGAAGATGTCTGCTCGAAAGCGGCCAGTCCTAGATCCAGTTTGGCAGGTTTTGATATCGAAGGACGGCTTTGATGCATTCCTGTTGGCATACTTGCTGTGCTTTCGGACGATTTACGTTTTGTGTTCACCGCTGTCGTCGAAGCTGCTCTATCGGCTTCTGGTGGAGGAGTCGGTGGAAACATGTTCCGGTGAATAGGTGGCTCTGACTGCTGACGCGAACGACTTGCGAGACCTGGTTTCACGAGATTGATGGCAGCATATGATAGCTTTTCCTCAGGACGGTCGTCTACCGCAAAGCTAGAGGCAGTCAAATTACGTCGAGAGTTCAGGAAGACTTGGTTAGATCGATCTTGAGCCCGCACCAAGGTCGACGTCCCGAGGTAATTCTTGGACTTGATGTTCTTGACCTTTGCCTCGTTTGGTCTATACAATATGCCCACTGGAATCGAGAAGACGGTATATCNCCTGCTGTTGTCAGAAATGCCGAAAGACGATACTCACAACAGAAGACTCACCTCAGCTTGTTCATGTATCGCTTCGTCGATGACATCGTGATCGGGTACAGCCTTTTCCTTGGAAGCATAGAACAGATCCTGAAGACCAGCACTCCGTTGCTGAAGATAGATGTAGCAGAGACCACGATTGAAAAGTGCTTCGCAAGAGTGGAGCTTGAATTTGAGACCCAGCTGATCATAGTCAATCCATCTGTTGCCACGAAGATAGAGTAGAGTATCGTTGAAATTAGCAAGAGCTTCTTCAAAGTCGCCTAGAAGAAAATTCGAGACACCTTGCTGAAAATAGGCTATCGCCATGTATTGATCGAAGTGAATCGCTCTCTGATAACATTGAACNNCTGTGGTATACATGAGCTTTTAAACAGAAGAACATACAGTATTGTTACTCACAGCTTGAGTATGCTCTCCCAGTGTCGCGTGTATCACGGCGCAATTGAAGAGTATCTTGGATGTATCTGCCACTGTCATGAATGCTCGGAGAGCAGCATCATATTCGTTGTAGTCATAATGCTCCAATGCTCGCACCCATGTTTCAATCTCCTTGAGAGACCATCAGCAATGTTTTGCCCCCAGCGAAGTGACATGACTTACCTGCTTGAGTGACATGGCTAAGAAAGAAATATACGAAAGATATTCTACCGACCGAGCATATGGCTGATTGTCAGGTGTTTGACGGTTGTGATAATACAGAAAATATGAGAGATAGAATCACGCGCTTGTTTGGTCACGAATTGAGCAGTCGATCTGCGTGCAGTACTTTAACAGACAATTGAGGAGAGACACAGACCTACATGGACAACCAGGGGATATAACATGCAGCCCTGGGCGGACCAAGAACAGTGTGCTACGTCGAGAAGCGTGGGGTACTTGGGCGCTTGGGCGGACGATCGCATTGGCTAGAAAGCGTCAAGAGGCCAATCACGGAAACATACGATGCACTTGGCGGCGATGCATATCATGCAGGTCGACTCGTTTGGTGGACGGCGCTTACAACGGACGTTTCAGTACATTCAAGCGTGTGAAGAATCGAGTCGAGGACGCTGGTTTCGACTCAAGCCGCTTGGCCGACTTCGAATTCAAAGCGACTGTCCAATTGTTTGTCACATCTTGGTATCGCTCGTTGTGATTCGAGGTTACGAACATCTCGCTTCAGAGATGGATTTCTTGGACGAAGTCGGTATGTTTCCTAGAAGGAGGTGTCCTGCCGGCGGTGCATGCTGTGTTGGCATTTTCATAACTCGTGATGATTCCAAGACAAATAAGACCATGTATCTTGCGGATATGCTCGAACGCAAGCGCGTATTTACACGATACTTCCTTTCTTTACAACGGCTTAGAGCATGCCCTTTCCGACTTGCTCCGTCCTCTCTTCCCACACGGTCTTGCCCGAGCACGAGCAGACGGTCTTGTCGTTGTCCCAAACGCCGGCACTTCTGGCAATGACGCCAACAAGAGTGTCAGGATCCTCTTTGTCGAAGTTGCCGTCTTGTTGCCTTGAGACGACTATGCTGCGACCAATCATCTCCCAGATCTGGATGGGCTTGTCGAGGAAGACGGAAGCGATGCCACTCTTGTTGACCTCGACAGTTCCGAAGACACCTCTTGCTGATTGAGGCTTGCCCTCTTCTTTGGCACGCAGCATGTCCCAGATAGCACCGGTGTTTTCAGCACCGCGCGAGATGTCGCCAGTCTCGCGAACGGTCGCGTGATATGTACCAGGAGAGAGACCACGGATGGAAAGGTCGATGATGGTCATGTTGGAAGCGACCTGGACCATGCGGATCAGGCCGCGCACCTGGTCCTTCACTGCAGAAGAGTGTGTTTCGAGGATGCAGACGGCAGCACTTTCGGACTTGCCTGAGCCTCGGAGGATGGCATCGCGACCGGTGTCCTGGATGGCGGCAACAATAGCTGAAGGAGCGGCAGTGCCGTTCACTGAGATGAGCTGGTTCGCAAGGTCGGCTGAAACATTTTGGATGCCTCGTAGAGTGTTAGAGAGAGTGGAAGTAAATGGAGGGGTAGTGAGAGCATGTACCGGNNGAAGCTTGTACAAGGACGTTGAGACGTCTTTGATGCACGATTCACAGCTGAGAGGTACTGCGAAGGTTGTTTCGAACGGAGGAATCATGGTGGTATACAAGCGATATCAATCAAGTCTATAAGAAAGCAGAGAGACAACATGATGGTCGATGTTCTTACAATGGCGAGAGAACGAGCCGGTTGCGCCTTCCGTGATTTCAAAGCCGCGACGGCGGCGGCCTTCGGTCTTGGCACGTTTTGTTCCATCGAGAATTGTATGTCGCATTGGAGAGCCATCGCCATACCACCAGATACCCTTGTCGCCTCGAGCACACGACACTTCGAACCACCCTAGTCCTTGTTCACAGACCATCGCAAATACACCAACGCGCGCCTGAACCCTCCTCGAAACACTACCCAGGCCACCGAGCCTTCACCACTTCAAAATGTCGCAATACGTCGGAAAGGTACACACACAGACTGGAACAGCAAGAGATAGAAGACCAGGTGGCTGAGAAAATCTAGACAAACCTCGCCTACTCGCGCGCATGGCACCTCATCGATGTGGGCTCCGACCCCCGTCCCCTTGGTCGCATCGCCTCGCAAATCGCCATTACCCTCATGGGCAAGCACAAGCCCATCTGGGACCCTTCGACCGACTGCGGAGACTATGTTGTCGCTGTCGGCCTCCACGACCTGCACACCACCGGAAAGAAGCGCTACCAGAAGAAGTACTACAGCCACACCACTCGTCCCGGTAGCTTGAAGGAGATCACCATGGACCGTATGATGGAGAAGTGGGGTGGTTCAGAGGTCTTGAGGAGAGCTGTTAGGGGCATGCTGCCCAAGAACAGACTGAGAGATGACCGTATGGCCAGATTGAAGAGTGAGTACTTACTCAATCCACACAAATGTGACTCTTTCTAACCACCAGACCTGCANGTGTTCGAAGGCGTCGCTCACCCCTACAAGCAAAACATCATCAAGGACTACACCCGTCCTTCGATAGCACAGCAGCCCGAGGTCAAGGTTGCCTTTGCCCAGCAGAAGCAGCAATGATTGCATCACAGTCCTTGTATCATGTAGCATTCACTTTTCTTCACGGCGTTCAAGGCAAAATCTTCCACTTGGGGTGTCGATTGGTTTGTTCAAATTTTCCTTTCTTGTATCAGAACTCATGTAGAAATAACCGCGCTGTATTGCCAGCCCACTTTTAACGCCCAACACAAAAAAACATATTATCTTCATATCATGAATGCTCCTCTATCGTTCCCAGGTCAATTGAGAGTCGATCTACAGCTTGGCCTTGGGGTCCTTTCTCGATACACGGCAGTGAATCAGACCGTTGGGGTCGCTCTGAGGAGCGTAGACTTCGGCATCCTTGCCGTTGTTCTTCAAGCCCTTGAACCAGCTGAGGTCAACCTCAAAGTAGTGCTTGTTGGGCAAAGTGTACTCGATATCCGTTGTATCAGGGGCAGCGGCAAGAATCTGGTTGCACATGTTGTACATGGTGGCTTGCACGCTAGCGCTGTTCTCCTTTGCGAAGGTGTCGATGGTGATTTGTCTGGCAGCCTCATAAGACTTGTTGAACTTGTCCTGCTCCTTGCGGACCTGCTCGACATCCTTGAACTGCTTCCACTGCCACGAGTTTTGGACTTCGGTGCTGAGGATACGGTCCCAAGTCTCGGGAAGTCTGGTGTACTCGTCTCTGTGGAAGCCGTAGAAGGCAGATCCAGTGCTCTTGAGAACTAGCAGGCCGTCGATGCCCGATTTGATGGTGATGCCTTGACCGCGTCTTGCGACAACCTCGACGGTGCGCTTGTCGGTACCGTCGCGGAGGAANNAAGAGTGAGGGTGAGCGCTGCCGTCGACGGTCATGCGACTCCAGCGGTGGACGATAATCTTGACATTTGCGACGTGAATGTGGCTGTAGGTGTCGATGAAGTGCTGGCCGAGGATGGCAGCGAAGAGCTCGGGAGGGTCGACGGGGTTCTGCTTAGCAAGAACGTAGACAGTTTGCTTTTGGGTATCGGTTGCGACGACGGGCGAGTTGTCTGCCTTGGTGTAGCTGCAACTCGTCAGAACAATCCACGAAACACCTTGATGTTTTGGTGCGACTTACGATTCTTCAATGTCACCTTCAAGAAGAGTGCAGACAGTCATTTCTGTGACGTGCTGGACACCGTTCTCCTCACGACGGACCTTGAACAGGCGGACATTGTCCTTGCCGTATTTCGCATAGCTGAGTTGTGATTGGGACATGTTTGGATGTGTCTTGTGCTTGGAAGATTGAAATATGTGGGGAAGCAGATAGACGAGATGCTGAAGGAATGCAAGGATATGTATGGAGTAGTCACTACTTGATTAAGGGCAGGCACAAGACGACGGGCAGGACCAGGTACATATAACCATGGACGATAGAGCTTATCACTTGCTCTGGGCGGGTGCGCCCGCGAAGAGTAACGGGATTTGGTGTACTCGACTGGGCCAGTCTATCGGCGAAGCCCGACGTGGACAGGTGGGAGTGTCCGCCGACAGGCAATTGTATCCGACAGCGGCGGCGCGACTGTGGAAGATAGAGAAATGTCAGGAGTTCTCGGCTCACTCTCCAATGAAAGCATGTATGCACAAGATTGGACTTTTGTGAAGATTCAAGGAGGAAGGCGCGGTAAAGAGCGGCGGAGAAGGGGTTCGCCGAAAAAGGCAGTCGCGGGGCCCGCGAACGCAGCGAGGGCGGAAAGCTGGAGGCTCGAAACACATACATGGTGAAACAGGCTTGGCGCTTCCATCATCGCATCAACAGCTGTAACTACCTACTTAGTATACGTGTAGCATCGCCGTCGCCGCGTACAGAGATCTGGTTGTCGGGACGGAGCCGATGCGCTCTCTGGACCTCGTAGCTGCCGCTGCCGGCTCTCGACACATATCCATGACTTGTTAACCCTATGCCGCCCATGACAAGGCCCACGGCGCATTCTGTGACCGGACACACTCAAGACCAATCGCTCCTGCCGCCTCAGTTCAAGGACCACCGCTCTCACTCGACCACGAGTCTGGTGTCCAAGACGCTCCCACCTGGCAGCTTCTCTACCGAACTACGCCCAACCGTCTCGCGCGTCGACAATGGCCGCATCGACTTCTCTACCTTTGACTCAGATCAATCCGCTGCCACCGTGACAACCGAACAGCGCCTTGCCGACTATCGCGACAAGATCGAGAAAGAGACAAAAATCAAGATTGGCAGTGAGAACCTGCTCGAGGCTCTCAACACAAAGAATGCGAAGCAGAGTCGTGACCAGCGTCGTCTGGTCGAGTCGGAGCTCAACACATCCAATCGCAAGATCGCTCAGCTGAAGCTTGACCTCGAAGCTGAACTGCAACGAGCAAAGGAGTCCGTCACAAGTCCTGCCAATCGTCTCTCTTTCGCTATACCACAGAGATCCCCCTCCAATCTCACCCTGCTACAAAATGCTGAACCTGATGACCTGGATCCTGAATCAGAATCGCCGACATACATTCTTGCAGAGATTCTCCAGGCCCTCGAGACCGAGGATATGAAGCCAGATTATTACGTGAGCCATGCGAACGAATTAGTGGGCCTATTCAAGCGCCATCCTGCCCTGAAATATGATTTGGCATGGTCCATCTTTGGTCTTCGCATGCAGATGATGCTGCTCAGCGATAGTCGCGAAGTTATCGCTGCAGGCTACCGCGTCTTACGGCATGCTATAACAGATCGCAAATCATTACAGACCATTCGAGCACATCATACAGACTTCCTTGTTATTTTGTCCTTGGTCAAGGAAGCAAAAGCCATGGTGGAGCGAGAGCAGGCCTTGAAACTCGTTCGCGCCTTCCTCGACGTCAAAGATGGTGTCCACGAGGTTGCTCCGTCCGTCGTCCGAATCATCGTTGCTATTGCCGAACATCCAGAGGATCGTCTTCGTTCAATATCCATTATGACTCTTGCCGAATTGCTCATACGCAATCCCGATCTCGTCGTCGCTGCTGGCGGTATCGGCACTCTTGCCGACGCTATGGGCAACGGTGCTTATCAGGCTCCAGAAACGCTGGCTGCCGTCTTCCTGCATTTGCTAGACCTACCCGCACGAAGAGGTCTCTTGCGTTCTGGCTTCGAGCTCAGTCTCCCTTTCGCAGCGTTCACCGAACCTCCAACTTCGAGCGCTCATGAGGATCGCATGAGATCAAGTGCAAAAGTGGTAGCAGCGCTTTTCAAGAGTTGGTCTGGTATCATGACAATATCCTTGCATGATTTCTTGCCAGCTCGTTCTGTGGTCTCCTCCTTATTGATTGATGCTGTGGCGGTAAGGTCAATCGTTCTCGAGCTTCTATTCGATATTCTTCGTATCAAGCCACCGTCTTGGTCCTCCTCTTTCTTAGCGGGAAGACGTTTGACCACATATGGTCGTGTCACCAATCTTAAAGCGAATGACCATCACAAGCCTTCCAGCAATGGCCCAGAAGAAGTTTCAAAGAGAATGAGTCTGATAGAACACTTCTCTGCGGTTGTTCTAACCATCCTTTTGCGAGTCGGGTTATTACCAGCATTGATGCACGCTGAGCGTGATGCACCGAATCTTGCTCTGAAGCGAAAAACCACATTACTCATTGGCGAAGTATTGAAACTTGCCAATCAACTACTGCCCAGTGAATGGAGCGCTGAACTTCAGGTATTACCGGACCTGTTTCACCAAGCGACAGCTTTCGGCCAAGATGAACGGTCACAGGCGGTAGCTACAGTATACCAAGTTGACAGTGTTAACCGCACATTGTATCGATCCGTGGGCGGAGGCCCGGGTGTCAAGTCTACCCGGGCTGACGAGTTTGAGCCCATTAAGTCTGCAGAGCAACCAAAAGTGCAGATGAGCGCCAACATGGACGAAGCACAGTTCAGAGGATTACTTATGGAGTGTCAAGTCCTGAACACAGTCAACTATACCAAATGGAGATGGGACTTGATTCAACCCATGATCGAAGGACCACTGACTAACTCACGGAGGTTGGATGAGGCGATGAAGGCGACGAAATTCGTCCACCGTCTATTGGGATTCCTTCGGCCGTTCAAGTACAGATTTTCAGATGCCAAAAACACGAAGCCAAACCAACGATATGTCAGAACTGGCTGTGCGCTCGTCCGTACGCTGCTATTGACTCCGGAAGGCACCAAGTATCTGGCAGACAACAAAATGTTGCGACAGATTGCAGAGTGCTTGGCTCAGTTCGACCGCATGAGTGGTATCACATCTACAACTCCTCTTTTCTCTCCAGACAGGTTGGCAGATACGCTGGTAGGTGGATACTTTGCCATCCTAGGTGTTCTTTGCAGTGACCAGAAGGGATTGCAAATGATGGAACGATGGAAAATCATCAACATGTTCTATCACATTGTCGAGCTAAGAGGGAGAGATGATCTTATCATGGCACTACTTACCAATCTCGACTATACTCTGGATAGCCATCCCCGAATCATCCTATCGAAAGCCATGATTTCAGGATCCAAAGATGTCCGCATAGCTGCCACAAGAATACTACGAAAGTACGCCATCAGACCACTGGACACCAGTCCCAAGTCAAGTGGCAGTGGAGAGTGCGCTGCATGGGCAATCCGACTCTTGGTGACACAGCTTTATGATCCAGAGATCGAAGTCTGCGAGATTGCAATCAAGATTCTCGAAGAAGCTTGTAACGACAACAATTCGCTCGAGTATGTCGTGAAGTGCCGACCAGCACTAGATCATCTCGGCGAAATCGGTGCACCTCTTTTACTCCGCTTCCTTTCAACTTCAGTTGGCTACCACTACCTCGATGGCCTGGACTATATCACAAAGGAAATGGACGACTGGTTCCTTGGCCGCAACGACACTTACGTGACTTTAGTCGAAGCCTCGCTCGCTCGCGCCCTAGCCGATATTCCTGAGAAGGCAGTCTCGATGTTTGAAGAAACACCCGAACCCCAAGACTTCGGCCTTGTGCCTCCACACTTCTACCGCGAACTAACACGTACAGCAGAAGGCTGCGAGTTACTAAGCACCAAAGGACACTTCGAAGAGTTTGTAGCTACGATTCAAGATTTCGGCATGGAAGAGGAAGATGCAGAGACGATTGTCAAAGTCAAGGGATGTCTTTGGGCAGTGGGTAATGTAGGGTCCATGGAGCTGGGCGCGCCATTCCTCGAGCAATCAGATGTTACACAGCACATTATCGAGATTGCTGAAAAGTCCGAGGTCTTAACATTAAGAGGCACTGCTTTCTTTGTTCTCGGCCTGATCTCTAGATCTCTGCACGGACAAGAGATTCTGGCGAGTCATCATTGGAACGGCACGGTGAATATGCTGGGAGAGTCGCTGGGATATTGCTTACCTCTTGACTTTACCAAGCTTTTCAATGTAAGTCTTTCTCTCACTCTCTGTTTTTGGTACCGACGACTGACCAAGATCGCANNGGTCCGCCAATGGGGTCCCTCACACCCCCTCCCTTCCACCCTCACCTCCCCCTCGGCCACCTCCACNGCCTCTCCTCTCTCAAAACATCCCTCATCATCACCCACCCTCTCACCCCAAAACGCCGAAATCCTCAAAGCAGTCACAAAGCTAGGAAATACCGTTCTCTCCAATAAAGCAGCCGCCGACCTCAATATCCTCAAGCAGAAAAAAGCGCCTGGATTAAGGAGTCCTGTACTGTTTCAAAAGGTGTTGCAGGTGTTGAGCAGCCATCGATATAAATTGCCGGCGTGTAGGTTTGTGCTGGATCTATTTGAGAGGAGTGTGTTGAGGAAACTTGTGCTTGAGGAGGAAGATGAGAGTGATGAAGATGAAGAGGAAGAGAGTGAGGATGAGGGGAAGGGCAATGGATTCGAAGGTGCGTTCGGGGGTGGTGTTGGTGGGGTTTAGCGATCTTGCATGGACACGGAAAAGGGAGACGTATGGAGTTTTGGAGCATTTTTTTGGTTCCGGTTGGAAGGTGCAATCAGAGGATCACAGTTCTGAAAGATATGGGCGTTATTTTCTTCCCTCTGTGGAAAACTATTGATGGTTTTTTTGCCAGTTCTTCTTCTTCTTCGTGTGATATATGCAAGATTCTTCATTCCTTCATTCCCATCAATGTGCCTGAACTTGCTTCATGCCCAATTATCCAAACTTCCACACTTTCTTTTCGTCATTCAGCAAAACACTTCTCCTTATTTCTATAACGACGAGAAAGAATTCCCTAGCCCCTTGAGTTTGCCCAAACGATCAGAGACCGCATCCACCAAAGCCGTTTCCCGCTGCAACAACTGCATGATCTGCGCAATCTTCTGCTTTCTAAAGTCTGCGGGTATACGACTGACACTGGCGCTCAAATCTTGCGATTCAGTGCTTTCATCGTCTTGGGTTGGTGTCGATGGCGCGAGCGCTTCTTGCTGTTCGGTGGCTTCGTTTGCGCGGGCGACGAGTGCTCGTTGCAGTTCGCCTACGGCTTGGAGACGGGAAGTCAAGTCGTCTCCTCCTATTGTGGGAGAGTCTTCGGTGGTAGGAGTAGAGGATTCTGCTTCGCCGAGACTGGTGGAGAGGGCGGTGACTTCTGCTGCCCAGGCTTCTTCCCTGATGCTCAGTTCTTTGCCGCCTAGTTCCTTTGCCATTCGGCGACGCATAGCTTCGACACGCTTGGCGAGTTCTTTGGAGCGGTTGCGTGCGTTCTCCATGCGTTCGTCAATCTTACCTTTGCCGACGAGACGAGGTTGTTCTGCGTCTTGGCCGTCATCGTCGTCTCCAGTTACTGCTTCTGCGCGCTTGGAGATCTCGTCGACCTGGCGGATTTGCTCCGACAGCTCGGCGCGCATTCTTTCGCAACGACGGAAGAGATCGGCAGCTGCGGCACCCAGTCGGCTTGTTTCGGTAGACAGCAGGCGGTGTGCATCGGTGAGCAAGTCCAGAGTTGCGGGGGAGAAACGGACTTGTGTCTTCAAATCTGCCTTTCTCAACTGAGTGTTCCTCTGAACGGCGGTATCCAGGAAGCCAGGAAGAGCGGATGATGCAAAGAAAGCCTCAGGGGGTTGGTATGGTTGACGAAGATCGGGCGCGGGGAGAGCTAGCGGTGCCTCATCCGGAGCAAATGAGGCATAGATCGATCGGCCGACTGGGAGGTCGAGAATTACGGCTTGAGGGTGAGAAGAGGTAGCGGTCAGGACAAAGTGGCCCAAATCGGAGTCAACTATTGAGACACAAGAGGGAGCAACTCCAGCATCGGCGGTACGTTTGAGAATACGGTCAATGGTGGACTTTTCGACATCAAAGAGCACATCGAGACGGAATGCGGCGCCAGAATCGCTTGGGCTGATCAGTTCATCCTCAAGAGGAGCGACCCAGGATTCGAGCGAGATGTTGAAAATGCCTTCGTTGGAGCTGAGGAAGAAACCGTAACGGCTGGTAGTGGTGGGGGTAAAGGTAGGCCATGAGTTTGTGGTTTCAGGGGTAGTCAAAGTTTCGACGAGAAGCAGTTCAGAGACGGCCTCTTCCTCATCAAAGCGACGACGGAATGCAGCACGTCTAGAGGGAAGCCACTGAGCCTCAACGCCGTCAAGATCCAGACAGATGTGGACCTTGCCAGAAGCAGTCGCCAAGCACACTATGCCGACAGAGAGACCGTCGTGACCGAGGAAGTCTTCTTGGTCCTCTTCCTGCATCAAGGCGTCATCGTCGAGGCGGGGAGCAATAACAAAGATATCGGTAATGTTGTCGTAATCAGGCTCAGGGTTGAGGTAGAAGGGACCTTGTAGCTTGGGAACGGCAGGTGGGTTAGCAGGGCGGTTGTAAACCTCGAACTCGGCCAAAGTGTCGACATGCGAGACGATTGTAGGCTCCTGGTTGTCGATATCGGCGAGCCATCGCTGTTGCTGGTCGACAATGCGGCGTTCTTCGGGGGCGGGGTCTGATTGAGAGTTGACCTCGGCTTTAGCTACGACAGCGGTCGACAGAGAAGGAATAGTGGTCGGAGTAGGTTCCCACTTGGAAGGCAATAGAGGACAGAGAGCATAGACGTCTCCTTCGGTCATGGCAATCCAGAGGGTCATGGGCGACCAGCCGTGTTCGTCCGAGGTGGCCCTGGCACCAAAGCAAGCAGCAGCAACTTCCATCTCGACCGAGTCAGGGGAGAAGCCCTTGCTGGTGCCGTACTTGCTCGTGGAGAAATCCTGGTCGGCCGATGTAGCGTTCGCAAGTTTCTTCAAGTCGAGAGCGAGCTCGGGCTCGTCAAAGGACGCACGCGAATCGCGATTCAGTTCCCATAGACGCACGCAAGCATCTTTTGTAACGGTGACCAAGCAGCTTCCCATGTGGCCCAGAGGGTGCCAGAGGGCCGAAACGACGGGGGCCTGTTCGAGCACATGTGCGGTCGGGCCCAATTGGAAAGTCTTGATGCGCAGAGGTGAGGCGTCCTGGACTGAAAGATGTGATGATTCGGGCAAGACGGCGATGTGAACGGTGTGCTCGGTGAGGATGGCGAGGTAGTCGCCATGGGGTGAGACGACGAGCTGCTTGATCTGATTCGTGACGGATGTCTTGAGCACTCTGTAGGACGGAGTGTCGCCGCCTTGGTCGGCATCCTTTAGCGAGACCAGATCAGACCAGCGAATCTCGTTGCCGACCAGAACGAGGACCTCTGTTCCGCGGTGGGCGATGGTGCGCGTGGGACCTCGCGATTCGGTTTTGGTGATTGCTTTAGCCAAGGCGGCAGGAGCTTTCGTGTCGGCATTGCGCTGGAATAGATTGAAGCCCGCCGATGGGGCAGAGAGCCACGACGGGGTATGGCCGATGACTCTGGCCATTGTCGACGTGTATAGATAGATGTGGTGAGTCGAGTGACGGAGCTCGAAGAAGCTGCAAGCAATCATCAAACATTCACTCAAACGCGCCGTGGCCCATACCAGAAGCTTGGACCACGTCACTTTGAAGAGCCCTCAATCCACTATTTACTCGCTCTGTTTACTCGAACCACCACGACCTTGTCTCTCTACCAACAATTGCATCGTCGATCATGGCAACCATGGCTGCCAACATCATGTTGCGCACCACATGCGACCGTCTAGACCGCCCAAGTTCATACACTGTCGCCAAGGTACGTCTTCTTGCACCCACCACTATCCATCTTCTTGTCACTGTATACTAACTCTGTTGCAGAAGNCGTCGTAGATACCAGCGCGCCCCCGACGACGACACTCCCCAGGAAAAGACGCCCGAGCCCGAAGACAAGCTCAAGGATGCAACCACCCTCTACGTCGGCAACCTCTCCTTCTACACCACCGAGGAGCAGATCCACGAACTCTTCTCAAAGTGCGGCGAGATCAAGCGTCTGATCATGGGCCTTGATCGTTTCCAAAAGACGCCCTGCGGATTCTGCTTCGTCGAGTACTACACCCACCAGGACGCTCTCGACTGCCTCAAGTACATTGGCGGCACAAAGCTCGACGAGCGCATCATCCGCACCGACCTCGACGAGGGCTTCAACGAGGGCAGACAGTATGGTCGTGGCAAGAGTGGTGGTCAGGTCAGAGACGAGTACCGCGAGGAGTTTGACCCTGGCAGAGGAGGCTACGGCAGAGCCATCAAGGAAGACTATGATGTCTACAACGACAACTACCGATGAGCTACGCCCTCTCGTACGGCATTTCACGGCGTCCTGGCGTTCCAAATTCTCTTACCACTTCCAAAACGCGCTGCCATTACTCTCCGAGGATCGAGGCCGAGCAGCATGCATTTTTCGTATATCATCTAGTTGTCGATACCCATTTCCACCTTCCATCTGTGTCCACCCTGCTTACTGCAAAGCCTGTAGCACCTGCTTGACCCACCACACATGAATTCGTGCATCTCCCGTCAACTCTGGGTGGAAGCTGGTACCAAACACATTGCCCTGTCTGACGGCCACAATGTCGCCCTCCTCACCCACCTCTCTCGCTGTTGTCTTTTTGTCGTTCAATGCTTTCGCACGACCTGGCAATCGTGCCATGACTTCAACCTTGCCAAGCGACTTTCCGTTCGACGCCGCCTTTGACGGTGCGACCACTGTGTCGTCCAACTTTGCTTCCTCCTCTTGCTCTCCCGATTGTGTCGCTAAAATTCTCTCGACAACAGGCGCTCTGATGAAGACGCTTCGGAATGGCTTGTTGCTAGTAGCAAAGTCCTCGCCGCCTGCGTCAACCAAGAAAGGCAGATCCAACGCCGCCTCGAAACTCTCGACCTGGCGACCAAAGTGGTTGCGATTGACACGCACATCCAATCCACCGATCAACTCTTGTCCCGTTTGCTTTGTGCGGTTGGCCGACTCGGCGAGAAGAATGAGACCTGCACACGTGCCCCAGGTAGGCTTTCTCGACACCTTGACAAAGTCGCGTAGGGGTTCCAGCATGCCCGACCGTGCGGCGACGAGTGAGATTGTGGTGCTTTCACCGCCGGGAAGGACTAGAGCGGCGCATGATTGCAATTGTTCGACGGTGCGGACTTCGATGAATTGCCACTTTCGTGGTGTCGCGTTGGCTTCTGAATCGATGTAGTTGGCTGCTTGTTGTAGGAGTTGGATGTGCTCGCTGAATGCGCCTTGCAAGGCCAGAACTCCGATAGTGATCTCGCTCATGATTGCTGTGACTGATTGTTGGTTGACAGATGGGAGAAGCACGACGATGACACATTTCCCTTATCGATAAGGCCGTCATGTTCACCGCCTTTGTCGGCCCCACCTTACCATCAACCAACACCTGGACGTTAGTCTGACAGTGTCAGACTGTCATTCTCTCTGCTATAAAACCTTTAGCAAACCTGCATGCCAGATCACTGCGGATAACGACTTGAAAATGGCCAACTCGAATCTGCAAGGATTGACATGCTGGCTCATCGACACTCGAACTCTGTGGCCTGGCCAACATATCAAGGACGCTGTTAGTGCTCTCGCACTCTAACGACACCCGTTTGTCCACTCTGACCAACCCAGNGCTTCTGACATCTTGCATCTCCTGTCCGATGATGAGAAAGATGCCGTGCTCAGAAAGATGTTCATCGCTGACGCTCGCATGTCTCTTGCATCTGCCCTGTTGAAACGACTCTACATCTCGAGAGCTCTGAGCATACCTTGGCGAAACGTGAAGATTGCTCGCAAAGGAGATCCAAAGCATGGAAAGCCATACGCTGTCTTGCCGAATGGTTCATTTGCCCACATCGACTTCAACATTTCTCATCAAGCTGGTTTGGTCTCTCTTGTGGGCTGGAACCCACCATCAGGCCAATCGCAATCCGCTCTTGTGGGAGCGGACATCGTCTGTGTTAATGAACGTGACGACTATCGCACCATCGACCAAGAAGGATTTGACGCGTGGATAGATATCTACGAAGACATTTTCTCAGACGCCGAACGTTGGGACATGAAATACAATGTTGACTACATCACCCTACTAGACGGCAGGATCGTTGAAGGCAACAATCTTGACCGAGTCGATCGCTGCGTAAAACGGAACAAGGACCTGGATATCACACTCCCGACTGGAGAAAGCCATTCCTTCAACAGTGATTTATTGATTGATGCGAAACTGCGGCGCTTCTACAGTTTCTTCTGCTACAAAGAAGCTTACATCAAGCTTGCCGGCGAAGCCCTCCTCGCACCCTGGCTCAAAGAACTCGAGTTCCAGAACGTCAGGAGTCCCAAGCCAGGAACAGTAGCCAGGTGTTCCACTCACGGGACTTGGGGAGAAAAGGTCAGCGACGTCGAGGTCGTGCTGCATGGCCAGAAAGTCGAGGACGTCAGGATGACTCTACAAGCCTTTGAGGAGAACTTTATGCTAGCCACTGCTGTGCAAGGATTACAGGATTTGGAAGCACCGCCATTCACAAAACTACATCTGGAGAATGACGTTCTTGCTTTTGCGACTTAGCTTCTACGATAATGTCTCGACACCACGACTATTCAATACCAAGACAAGAGATAGCCAAGAAAGTACATTCTTTGGTATCGTGTGTGCTCCACAGTGGATGTGTTTCATGTTGCGATGCTGGATACAAGAAGCAAGTTCTATTTTTGGAAAGATGTTCAAAAGTACAAGTGTGTCCCCGGCACTCTCAAAAACTCAACCTCAAACATCAATATCGCTTGCACAGTCGAAAGGTCCTGACAAGACTTTTTCATCAAGACCTAGTAACTACAACTTCTTTTATACAAGCATGTCACACTGGTCTTCTGACTGAGTGCGGTAAAGCACCGCTTAATCTATCTAAATGCGACACTGGGCAGCCGCCTTTCCTCGGCTCTGCTATTCTCGACGTCCATTCTCAAGTTCTATTGACCTTTTTCGTCGACTAGAACCAACATGGCTCGAAAAAACTTGTGCGCAGCAATTTGTAGCAATCTGGCGTTATGGCTACAGATGCGCGAATACTTTTATTGTGGATGTCGAGCCATGGCGGTGCAGGCTCCGGCTTCTGCATTGAGAATATAAGGAGGCTCGCTACCTAGTATCTACAAGCTGACCTGCTGCAGGCACCTTCAGCATGACTTTTGTAACACGGATATGGGCTCTGTTAGGCCTCTCTAATGCTTTGGTTCGTGCAGCAAGCTATCGTACTGTTGGTTCATCAGGATGTGCTGCTCAGATGGTCTTTGTGCCTCCGTACACTGACACAGTGGTATTCCTCGACAAGTATGTCATTTCTCGTGTCCATTGAATGGCAGATGCTAATGAGGTANNTAGTTATTATCGCAACTTTGGCGGCCCAGGAGTGGATCTCAAGACTGGCGCCCATTCGCCAGAACCATTCATGCAAGACGACGACTCGGAATTGTTCGTCTTCGGTGTTGAGTATGAGTGGCGTACCAACAACCTCCGCAAGTTGACTCCGAAATCAAACACGTTTTGTGCGGCGGGCGTCTTCTTCCCAGATGGGACCATGGTCAACGTTGCAGGCGCGGAACTCTACTCTGGTGATGCCATTACCAAAAGACTTCAGGATGGACGCCAGACTNNGCGAAGGTATAAGCCAGGCCCTTGCGAGATTGATGGATGCAATATGGACTTTGAGGTCAATGTCGACGAGCTGCAGTCTCGCAGATGGTATCCGACTTCTATCACTATGACTAACGGCGATATCCTTGTCGTTGGTGGCTCAGATGTTGGTCTTCTGGTCACCAACGAGGCTTCCATCAACAATCCTACCTATGAGCTGATCAAAGCCGACGGCAGCAAGGCGCCACCTCAGAGGAACTTGACTATCTTGGGGTTTGGTGCCGAGGACAACGAGAACGCTGACATGTCGTTCAACCTCTATCCTATCCGTATGTGTAGCAACTCTAAATAAACTAAACTTCGACTGACCTCACTACANGTCCAGCTGATTCCGAATGCCGACGGTGAGGACCACATCTTCACGCTTGCCGGAACCCGGGCCAATGTCTATAACTATGCTACCGACACAGTGCACAAGGAACTGCCAAGTATNCCCGGAGGTCCAAGAACTTTCCCAGGATCTGCTGCTGCTGTGCTGTTGCCTTCTGGGGTGGGCGCTTACGAGCCTACTATCTTGGTGTGCGGCGGCAGCTCAGGAGACATTCCAAATCCCAAAGCCTTGCCTGACTGCTACAGAATCAGACCAAACGATGACAACCCTGTTTGGGAGAAGGATGATGCATTGCCAAACGAGGGTCAGACAATGATCGAACCCATCCAACTTGCTGACGGAACAGTCGTCATGATGAACGGTGCCCATAGAGGAAGTGCCGGAGGCTACCAAGCCGAAGACCCAGCACTACAAGCACTAATCTACGATCCCTACAAGCCTGCTGGCCAACGCTTCACCAAGTCTGCCACCTCTGAGATCCCTAGGATGTACCACTCAGTCGCCATTCTTCTACCCACAGGGGAAGTCTTGGTCGCTGGTAGCAATCCTGATGTTTTCTACAACCCTGTCGGCAATGTTTCGCTAGCAAACAAGAAGTACCCTTACTTCAGCAATAACGGTCATACATCATACCTTCATCAACAACAGGAGCCTGACACAGCATATCCCACCGAATACCGCGTCGAGATCTTCGCACCACCTTATATAGACCATGCCAGTCGTCGCCCTTTCATCACCGCATATCCTCTATCTGTAAAGTACAACGAGCGTTTTCAAATAGTAGCTGAAGGAGCTCGCGAGGATGTAGTCGTTCGGCTCTCTTACTCTGGCTTCCACACTCATGGCGTTGATATGGGAGCGAGGATGGTGCAGCTAGATGCTGTGTTGAGCCCTGATGGCGATTACATGATTGATGTTACTGCTCCATTCAATCCTTCGATCATGCCGCCCGGCGTGTACATGCTTTGGGTTATTGAGAAGGGGATACCTTCCGAGGCTGTGTGGATGAGATTGGAACTTTGATGCGAGGGTGTGTGAGTGGTTCTTTCTGTTATGTATTTTTGTAATCAAGTAATCTTAATTCCTCGACCAGCTGGCTGAGAAGACAGTCACGACCATTCAGATTTGTTGTTCGCGCCTCCCCGCTGCATCAATCGTGACCTCAACCCTACCAACGTAAGCCACCAACTGCAACCTCATCCCATTCAAAGCATCCAACACCAGCCTCAAAAATCACAACGCCACACAAGCCTCCAAACACCCCTTGGCAATACACCCATCGACAGTCCAAAACGTGTGACTCGTTTCAAACGTTTCGAGCTTTATAACGACATCCATGAGTACCAAGATGAATGCGAGTGCGGAGATCACCAAGCTGCAGAGCTCGTGCGCTTCTGTGGGCTGCTGGTTGGAAGGCCAGATGAGAGAGAGGAGGGGTTGGCTGAGTTTGAGGGACGTGAGCAAGGTTGCTAGGCTGCAGGCTGCGACAACTGTGATTGTGCAGGCCATATTGGCGCTGGTGAGGAGAGTTGATTCGATGGTGTCCATGGTGAGTGGTTCGAGAAGAGAAGTACGTTTTCTTCGTGTATATGCGAGTGCTGATACTGGTTGAGATCGGCAAAAGCGAGTGTGGAAAGAAGTTGAGGAGAGGAGCATGAGCATTGCAAACAGCCCGATAGCTTTATAAACGTTGTGATTCATCAGAGTCAACCGCTGAGGCAGTATGAGTTCATTCTGTCTTTCGACTCATATCAAACTCGCACCGCCTCATAATCAGCCACAGCCAACCTCAATTCGCAACCAGTCTTCGGACTGCAGCAAGGGCTAGTCTAAGCATACCCAAGGCAGCCAAAGCTTCAAAAACTCCTTTGAGCACCATAAAAACGAAGCCCCATAAGTCAACACGCACGCCGATCTGCGCCAGCCCTTGCTCAAAAGACACGCAAGCAATGACAAGAAACATTGCGATGGCTGCTGATAGCAATCTTTCGACTTTCTTGCGGCTTTCGCGCTGAGCGATTGTCGTGGATTTTTGCTGACTGGTGTTTGAAGCTTCTTGGTCGTCGAGCACATCTTCATGGCTAGCGAGTGCGTTGAATAGAATGACGCCGAAGGGCTCGGCGAGTTTGGTGCCGATGGTCCAGGTGGCGGCAATAAGAGCGACGGCAAGTATGATTGACAAGGCGATGATTGCACTCGTGTACAGAGCTGAGGTAAGGGCGTCCATGTTGCAGGTCCTAGATAGCGGTGATGAATTGACGTGTGTATTGCTAGCAGTCGAAGGTGTGTTGTTATGGCAAGGGGAGTGCTGCGAGAGCAAGTAGACTCTTGAAGCAAGTGTCAAACATATGGATTTGACCATCTATATATTGATCATGAGCGCGGCCTTACTGGCAGTCAATACGGCCGTGAATCCTTTGGACCATTATTGCGGCGAGTTGCCAAGAGCAATGTCCATTGCCGCGGACCCGCATCGAGATCATTGCAGCCAGGAGGCAGTGTTTGTTGTCTGGATAACATTCATCCCTCTGAGTCGAGTCATCAGAAGAAGTAGACGAAGGCACAATAAAAATAAATAAAAAACAGGTCAAGAGCTGTTGTCGGTGGCCGGCAAGAAACTTCCGACATCACCCTTCGACCTCACACAGACAACATGAACGTGTATCGACAAGCGTAGACTTGGCCTATTATCAAGATCGAAGCGGTGGAGTATCATCAAAGATCTAATCGTATCATTGCTGTCTCATACACATTCGAGGAACGACAAAAGTATGATACCGTACTGCGGATGCCCGGCACTGGGATGAACATCGTGACTCATGCGCGTTCTTGGCTTTATATATCCCACCCGCCGCGACCAATCGTACCTCATCGCTCCTCGTAGCATCAACGTCAACTTGCTGGTTGGCTAGAAACAGAGCTCTGCTCACTCGGCGACTTTGTTCAGGAGCGAGTCTCTCTACCATGGCAGCTGCCTGTTGTAGACACCGCAAGCCTCAATGTGTGGGAAGGTAACTTGAAAGGACACATAACTTGACAGTCTCCTCGAATATCCATCTGATATCACGACCCAATCTACCTGATTCATGAATATTATCACCATGCAGATTCCAATCATTGACTTCTCAGCTTTCCTGGACCCGTCTAGCAGCAACGATGCAAAGCTCAAAGTAGCGAAGAGCCTTGATCAAGCATGCCGTGAAGTTGGCTTCTTCTATCTCTCTGGCCATGGCATTGATGCGTCACTATTTACCAAGATGCTCTCGAATGCCAAACAATTCTTCACCACCGCATCATCAGAGGAGAAGGACGAAATCAAAGTAAAACCGAGCGGCGAAGGTGCCGGCGATGATAGCAGAGGCTACAGGGTAGTCGAGAGAGCTGATGCAGGCTACAAAGTAGGCTTGGATCATGAGCACTGACATATGGCCGAGTTAACGTTTCGCTATNNACAGGCTGTTGATTTCCTTCGCGAACTCGAGACAGAAGGACCACCATACACAAAAGGTCTTGGCCGCAACCAATGGCCCAAAACCCCAGCATCTCTTCGTCAAAACGCCGAGGAATATACTACACGTCTTGTGGCGCTTGGTGTCGCGATCATGAAAGCCTTTGCTCTGGCACTAGACGTACCCGAAGAGATATTCGTCAGCAGAATTGACGAGTCATTCTGGCAACTGCGTATAGCTGCATATCCCGGAGTCATCGAAGGAGTAGAAAAATCTAAGAGTGGGTTGTATCAGCATAGCGATTTTGGAATTTTGACATTTCTCTTGACCGATGAGCACAAAGGCTCTCTGAAAGTGCTGGCTCCAAATGGCGAGGACTGGATATCTGCCGATCCTGTTCCAGTACGTTTTCACTTCCTTATAGTCTTACTTCACTAACATTCTCCANNGGGTACCTTGATTTGTAACATTGGCGACATGTTGTCTGTCTGGACTGATGGCATCTACAAGTCGACTCAGCACAAGGTACTGCACGCATCTCAGGATATGCGCATATCTATCCCGTTCTTCTTCGATCCGAACTGGGACGCCAGGATTGAACCTGTTTTGGGTAATGCTGAGAAGAAGTCGAAGGGTGAAGGCGTGAATTACAAGGACATATTCACGGGTGCAATCAAATACCCCTACTAATACGGCCGAGGAATAATTCCGATCGACCGCTCTCCCATAACGGCATATATTGTCGTCCTAGCCTATGAAAACGCACAGTTGCTTACTCAAAAACACTTGGCCATGGAGATGTCCCATGATAATCTTCTCTCAGTGGATGTTGCTCTGTTGTGGAAAAGTATCGTGCATTTCTATAGCTACACTTTGACGGTCTTGAACATATGGGGAGCAAGAACCTAGGGGTTATGACAAAAATCAAGAGCTCAACCTCGTCGACTGAGAGCATATACCCAGCTCTCGACTTCTGCATCAAGCCAACCACAACGCGGCACTGATAACCAGCATCACCGAGAACACCAAACTTCTACTCGAGCTGATCGTTGCCCCGGAAGTTGCGGGACTCTTTTTATTAACATGATCCGTCTTAACGCGAAGACATACAGGATAAGTATTCTTTCCAGAAAAGATGACCACATGCAAGCGTTCGGTTTCCCGTGTATATGCTGTATCGTTCCCAGCAGTATAAGCCGGCGATGACCAGTGGAAGAAGCTCAATGGAGACTTTTGTGTTTCTCCCTGAGCGACCAGTGCTGTTACAGAAGNTCAACAAAGGTGTTGTGAGATAGATGCAGAAATCCAGGACTCACGAGCGCTTCCAATGCCACCAGTGCCGAGTTTCGAAGCACAGCTTTGGGGTATAGTAGGTGAGCATGAAACGTTCAGATCATAGCTCGCTTGCTTCAGATCATTCACGCAATCTTTCCCAAGCGCGCCAGTGCAATCTCCATTGTCATTGTCACTGTAGCCATTATTGACTGACGCCGACAACAGACCAAGAGGTAGTGCTGCGCAGATACGAGGAGACTGGTCATTTCCAAGGGCTTCCGCAACAGCCATGGTATCGTTTAGACTTGTGCCGCTCTGCCACTCAATCGCGTAGAAAGAAGTCACGACGCGTGGGTTCTGTACGGTGGTGTTCCAGTCTGGTGTCAACTCTGCAATATCGACACGGAATGTGAAGTTTTGGTCGCCCATCTGGAAACCTACTGCACTTGTGATGTTGGGATTGTGTCGCGCGGCCACCAAGGCAGTGTCGTTTGTATCTCCGAAGATGCTCCCAGACCTGCTGCCTGCGGCGGATACAAGAGCGAGGCCCGAGACGAGGAGGAGGGTTTGTCTGATCATGATTTGGGACATGTAAATTTGATCGGTGGGGTTGTAGGACTGTGCGAGGTAGGTAACCATCAATGTATGGGGTTGCTTGCCGGATGGGTTATATATCTGTGATCTATACGCTCAGCCCCAAGGATGTTACCTGCCCTGTCGGAAAGTTGGCCTATCAAACGCCTCTTGGGCATTATTTGGTATCATGCGCGCTCATCATACATTCCTGACCGACATAGTGCACAATGGTTCGCTACGAATTGAGGGGCTGTGAGAGTCTCTGCGCAACAGCATGTCACGCGATACTGTAGCTTCATGTACTATTCTTGTCAAGCCCTCCCAGCGCCGGTGAGGATCTGCTGCGCCTACGGCAATAAGAATGGAGGACGAAGGATGAGAATGAAGAAGTATGACATAGAGATCGTTGCGCCAAGCCAAATCATCAAGAGCCGAGGCCCGACCCTGGCTTGTTTGTACGGAAATAAGGCTTCTATACTTGCAGATACTCACGGTCCATCGATCCATAGTTTGTATTGACGCATTCTACACTTTGAGAGAAGCATCCCAATCGCTCTCAGGCGTCTCCTTCCACTGCTGAGTATGAGGGTCAAGTAACTTTTGTGCATCCTCCCATCCTTCCCTGATGATACGTGCTCTCTTCTCATCACGAGGCAGTATGGTTGCTTCAAATGGCTCGGGTCTAGCTGCAATACCACCAACAATCAGGTTGTCTGGGTCTGGCAGCATGTCTCGACCTTGAGCGTCCTTCTTCGGCGTGATTGAAAACGACCACAAAATCCCAGCGATACCGAGAAACAAGCTTCGGTCAGCGACATGCATGCCAGGACAGATACGCCGACCGGCTCCGAAACCAACTGTATCTCTTTTGTTTGGATCAGGGTGAGCGGCCATCTCAGGCATGGACATGTTGTCGCTGTCTTCGGTGAAGCGATCCGGATTGAAGCGGCGTGGCTCTGTGTATCGGTCTGGATCGGTCATGATTGCCCATGCATTCAACATGATAGGTGCTCCCTTGGGAATCCTATAACCCATGTACTCGTCATCGCGGGTGCAGGCGTGAGGCACAGCGCCAAGAGGTCCGACTGGGAACCAGCGTACCAGTTCCTTGACACATCGTCTGATGTAAGGCAAACTGGCTGCATCAGCCATTACCGGCAAGCGGTGACCTCCGACTACCCTGTCGAGTTCTTCCTGTGCCTTTACTTGAACCTCAGGGAAGAGTACCATGGCTTGGATGAAGGCATACAAAGTGGCTGATGTGGTTTCCATACCACCTTCGAAGATGTTTCCTACGGTGTACGCAGCTTCGATGTCCGATATACCATCCTTCTCTTGTGCTCTGGCAAGTCCAACGCTCATACAGGGACCAGAAGTTCCATTGTTCATCTTTTGCTTGACCGCAGACCAGTTCTCCATGTGGACTTCATGACCGACCTGCAGCGCTTGATGGACCCTGGCTTTGACAGGAAGGATAGTATCAGGCAGGAATCTCAGGAATGGAAAGGCATTGAGCAATGCAGCAGCCCCGGTGCCAAGAGCGTGTTGCAAAACGGTCAGCTCATGATCAAGCTTGTGGATTCTGGAATCGGTGGTCGAGGGAGCTCTCCAACCGAACAGAAGGGTAGCAGTGAGGGAAGTTGTGTATCTCTGCAGGGAAGAGAAAACATCGTCAGGGTGCTCAAGGATCTCATCCAGCATCTGCTTGCGTTCCAACTCCTGGTAAGGGTCATAGTTCTTCACGACCTTGATGGACAAGAGACTGTGGGTCACCTTGCGCAATTTGCGCCACAGAGGAGTATAGGGNNCTGATGATATCAGGTTAGTAAGGTCAATCTCTCTATTACAACATCAACTCACCATGAACACCAGGCGGAGCTTGCTGATGGGGACGTGTTTTGCTGCATATGCCTCAGGACGATCAGAGTAGATAGCACTACGCTTGTCAAGCAAGTCCTTGACGACTTCCACACTGGATAGGACAATCAAGGGTTGGCTGCCAACCATGATGCTGTATATGGGGCCATACTCCTTGGCCCATTTGGTGAAAAGAAGGTATTCGTCCTTGCTAGGAATNNCTTGCTCGATATCAGACCTGTACTTCTGTACGGAATTAACACATGCCTGATGTAAGTTACCAATGATTGGCAGAGTAGGAGGGCCTGGTGGGAAGTCCTTTGGCCTGGAGCCCAAGCCTAACAAATAACATGCTCCAAGTGCAAAGATCAGGGCGATGCCAAAAACAGTGTACGCTGGAAACATCTTGAGCGGTGAATGAAGTCGAGAACCAAACTTACCGGCAAGACAAGGTGGGATCCGACCTTATAACACAGCCCGTGTAGGATTCATGCTGCATGGCTGGTCTGTAAGGCCAAGTTCATGCTGCAGGACTGCCCCGCACTGGATATGATATGCATTTTCTGAGGCAGGTGCAGCGAGTGATTGTGACCTGTGGGCGAGATCAATTAGTCGAAGATGTACGGGTTCCAGGCTGTTTGTTTCACATATAAAGGGGCGTCCAATTAGCGATTGATCCGAGATATGCAGGTATATACATATACGCAATACCGGTAGCCAAGCATGCTCTGGTCAGGTGTTCTTGAGCAAAACAAACGGCCTTGTTCTTTCGATTGCTTGTTTCAATGTTCCTTAGTGGCTTGATTCCGAGACTTACTTGACCGGTGAATATAACACCAGTCAAGCGCCCCAAGGAGAGTATCCAGAAGAAGTCGTGCTTTCCAAACGACGATCGCCAATCCCAAGGTCTTTCATGAGCTATGTTTACCTTATACCTTCCACTCGTCCCTTCCTATCCTTACGATATCCGATTGTTCTAGCACCCAGAACTTTTCTGGAGCCTTACCCTCTTCCACCATTTTCACGGCCGCTACTGCCGCCCTTCCAATAGTTGTCTGGTCTTGCGCTACACAATCTCATTAGTCTCGTTCATACTTAAATCAGAACATCATCAACATAGTACAATGTCGCATACCCCATTTATCCTGGAAGCCCTGCGAAAGCTTCTTGAAGCCATCGAAGATGTCCTCAAGCCACTTATTCTTCGGTTTCTCTCTTCCCAGTATCATCCCAGGCCGCAGGATAATCGCATTGTCAAAATTCAATTCTTTGATAGCATTCTCCACGCCCCTCTTCATTCTCGCATATGGGCTGAGAGCGAACGGACTCAAGCTTCCACTTGTTCCTGCACTCGAGCAATACACATATGTCTTTACCCCAGCAGCCTTTGCAGCTTTTGCATTTTCGACGCACAAATCGTGATCAATGGCCCATTGCGCGGCAACTGATCCGGCGCTGGCATAGGTTGTGCCGACTGCATTGAACACTACCGAAGGAGTTGGTGACAGTGTAGCAATAAGAGGACTCCATTTCGCAGTGTCGTCCTCCACTATAGGTTGGAAGTTCGAATGTTGAGTTTGTGTTTGTGGAGCGCGTCGCGAGATGGTTGTGAGGGACGCGCAAGAAGGAGACGAAAGCAGCGTGGCCAAGATTTGAGAGCCTACTGCGCCTGTTGGACCAAAGACAAGAGCCGTAGTCATGATGGTTCGAGAGTTTGCAAATGTTGATGAATGTGGTATAGCAATTCATGGAATTGAGGACAACACCCTGTTGTTAGATTGTGGCGTGACTGGTCATCATTGATCAGGGTCACATCCACCACCATGTAGTAGGAACATGTCGAAATGCACATACCTTCCAAACAAGACGATGATATTGCTGAAAGATGTAGTATCAACACACTGCATGAAGCAAAGTCATTGGAATGATAAGGGAAGAACAAAAACAAAGTGTCATAAAAGTCATGCTCGAATAGCCGTTCCTACATCCAGGCAACACCAAACTCGTTGTTGAGAAGAGTTCATCCTCATACCTCATCAACACTGCTTAGCAGTCTTCTGAGTGCTGCTCCAAGGACCTTACTTCTTCTGAGGCTGGCTCTTAGCTCCAGTAACATCATTGATGCTACCACCGGCACCCTTGGCCGTGTTCTCGAGTCCGGAAGAGGCATCAGAAAGGGTTTTTCCGACACCGCGTCCGACGTTGCCAACGACACCTCCGACGGTATTGACGGTGCCTAACGATGATGGATCAGTCTGTTGTAACCGCTGACACACAAGCACAGGAAGACTAACCTGAAGCTACACCTCCAACGCCAGAAGCGAGACCGCCAGCAGCGTTACCGAGAGTGCCAAGAGGCCACCGCCCTGCTTGGGCTGCTGGGCAGAGTTGTTGTTGTCAGACATTGTTTGTGAGGGGGTTGTTTAGAGTTTCGGGTATTGGGTTTGGGATGGTCGCGTCAAAGATTTGAAAGTCGAACTTGATGTGTCTTTTTCGATGTTTTGGAGAAGTTTTAGATGAAGTGAAGGGACCAGAGTTTGGAAGTAGGAGGATTGGCTGTTTTGTACCTCTTGGAGCTCGAGGGTGTGAACACATAAAGGTGGATACACAAGGTGCGCAATGACGTCTTTTTCTGGGGGAGCTGTTTACCAATCGCGGGGCATGTTTGGCCAGACACGGTTCGAAGACAGGGATCTGTCTGTGACTCTGAGCAGTGAGTGGCATGTTCATTATGCAGGAGCGGCACAAGAAGGACAGAGATGAGATGGTGGCTTATGAGTACAGTATCTTTGATCTCACGTCCTCTGTTCAACCGATGATCGAAAAATCAGATTTTGATTGTCACAAGTTATTCTGAAACGGTGTGGTGAGAATAAAGTAATTAAAATTCGTTCAGTTCGTAGTGTGAGTGTACTAGGGATATAAGGTACATGAATCTTCTTTCTTCTCCACCCCAAGTGCGAGCAACTCCAATCTTCTTCTTCTTGCTCCTACGACGATCAAACTCCTTAGGCGAAGATGGGGATGTTGAGGCCGTAGTTGACGGGGTCGTTGAAGCGGAGGCCTCTGTCGAGTTCGCTGATGGCCTTGATCTCATCCTCAGCAAGATCAAAGCTGCAGACGTCGAGGTTCTGGGCAAGGCGATCCTTGTTGTTGGATTTGGGGATAACGGCAACACCACGCTGAGTAGCCCATCTGAGCAGGACCTGGCCAGCAGACTTGTTGTGCTTGTCGGCAATCTTCTTGACGGTCTCGTTGTCGAAGAGAAGAGGGGTGTCGTGTGCTCTCTGCATCTTCAGCTCGACGAAAGAAGCAGGGCCGAAAGATGAGTAGGCAGTGACGTGGATGTTGTTCTCCTTGCAGAGCTTGACGAGACCCTCCTGGGTGAGGTAAGGGTGGTGCTCGATCTGGAGAGTGGCGGGAGTGATTCTGGCGTAGCGGAGGAGGTCAAGCATGAGGCCACCATTGTAGTTGGAAACACCAATGCTCTTGGCGAGACCTTCGTCAACCAACTGCTCCATGGCCTTGTATGTCTCGGAGAGGGGAGTCTTGGAGAAGGTGATCTTGTCGTTCTCGTCGGTCCAGCTGGGAGGGTAGCGAACGCTGGGGTCAACATACTTCAGGGCGACGGGGAAGTGAATGATGTAAAGATCGAAGTAGTCAATGCCCAAGTCTGCGAGCTGCTTCTTGGCGATAGGCTTGACTTGGTCGGCGTCGTGGAAAGAGTTCCAGAGCTTGGAAACAAGGAAGAGCTCCTCACGCTTGACGAGTCCGTCCTTGATGGCACGGGCAACACCCTGGCCAACCTCCTTCTCGTTGCCGTAGTCGCAAGCACCGTCAAAGAGTCTGTATCCAACCTTGATGGCGTTGTAGACAGTGTCGGCGCAAGTGTCGTTGTCGACCTTCCAGAGACCGAAACCGACGAGAGGCATCTGTGCTGGAAATCAGTATTTTGCAACTTTTGTCATTCATTGATAGGTACTTACCTCGTGGCCGCTGTTAAGCTTGACAGTAGGAGCAGAAGGCATCTTGGATGAGTAGTGGCGGAATGTAACTGGTTCAATTCTCTTGTAGCAGGTAAAGGCAGGTCTTGCAATGGCCGAGTAGCGCAGAGTAGCTCTAGAGGCGAGTATAGGAGCAGATCTGGAGGGAGAGAGAAGAGTAGAATCAGCGATCCGAGGAGGGGGGAGGCTTCACGTCTTAAATAAAATGGCATGCACTTACCGCGCAAAAGGCTTGAGCACGTTCATCATGGTATTTGGGTGGCAGCCAACGGCGGCAGCGTACAGGATAGCTTTTAGTGTGGTGGACAAAGCGGACCTTCGACTTTAGGCGGGAGAGGCGAAGATGGAGTAGATGTCACTGTCACTTTCTGGAGAAGACAGAGAAACAAAGTCGAATCTCGAGAAAGATTGCATGCACCTTGGTGGCACCTGCCTACATTTTTGTGCCACAATCAACTGCCATGCTCCAATCCCGTCTCCTCTTTCTGCCCGTCCGATCTTCGAGAAACGAGACGATGCATTCTCCCGCAACAAACAGCACACTCTACCCGGGCAGGCTGCGGAAACATGTGAAGAGTGGATTGCCCATGGAGGGGCACTACGCAACCGAAAAACAAAGTGGGGAGGATCTTTTAGCCAAAACTCGGCCCGCATCTCAAACATCCCCACGCGCTTGCCGGCACAATGATGCAGCGATAAGCTAGCCGCTCGGCTGAGGATAAAACCATGGATAAATCAGGGGTAACCGCCAAAGGGCCGAAAATCACACCGCAGACAACAGTATTCCCTATAGCATGCTTATACTACCAAGGTTGCTAGTTTGTATCCTTTGTTCATGCTCTCGAGATGCACAAGACGATGATGAGAGTGCGTAGAGAAGACAGAGAGGAAAGAAAGCATCCACGACAAAAATCTGGTATTCTTTGATATCGAAAAAGGACAAGACAACTGGGGCGAAGAAATCTGGTATAAAAGCGACTTTTTGTCTTTTTCCATCCCAGCACAAATAAGAAAAACTCGACGCCGACCGTATGGGAGATACAAGAAAAGGTGGAAGAGTACAGTAAGGACGATATCGGTATCGCAAGCGCGAGACCGACGTAGGGGTATGCGTCTACGAGGAGAACTTCTTGGTGACCTTGGCCAGAACNNTGGAGCGTCGTGTGTCAGTGGGATGTTCTTTCTTGGACGGATGGAGAGTAGTACTGTGTAGTGCGACGACCGAGATAATGAAGCCGACGGAGAGGACGAGGACGACAAAGGGGTCGACCTTGAGGCCTGGTGACTCGTCGGTGTAGAGTCTCAGCATGGTACTGCTGCTACCACCGGCACCTGCGGCGCGAGTACTGCTGGGTCTGACATTGGCGGCGCGGTCGGCACGATCAGCGGCTGCCTTTCTGCGGATAGCGGTTGCGGGACCGCCAGGGGCTCTAGGAGAAGCGGCGCGAGCAGTGGTAGAGCCAGTCGAGGCAGCGGCGTTGACGGGAGAAGAAGGGCGAGGAGAAGACTGTCGAGCGCAGCGGTGTCAGAAAAGGGTACTTGAAGTATAGTCGTGTGACGATTTGAGAACAGTGTCGTAGGTTGCTGCCACGTTCTTGCTGTTCGCTTGCAGTAGACCATGCTTAAACCATGTCTGTCTACGGGCAACTTTAAAGTGGTTCGATAAAGCGACGGGCATATGCGCAATGTGTTTCGTCAAGGATACTCGTAGACCACGGAGGAGAAGAGCGAATAGGGACAGGTGAGCATACCATGGTGACCGAGTTGTGATAAGGAGTCGGAGGTAGATGTAAGTCGCAGCCGGATCGCTAGGAGATTCGAATACGGAAGACGACGAGGATTGAGTCAGAACAGTAATTGATGGACGTGAGGGTGTCGTTGTGCAGTCGAAAGCTTCCTGAACTCTCTCCCNTCGTTGCTCTCCAGTTGACACCAGCTGTTCGTNCCCGGCCAGCGTTGCGCACGGATCCAATTTGAGGCCTTGGCGCAAGCTCCTTCCCTTNNTGTCGCTCCCAGCCACGGCCATCTGGACTCTTGACGCTCTCACTCTTTCTGGGGAACAGCAGACCCTCCACAGTTCACAACTCAGAACGACCGACCCATATGGCACCAACATCATGACCCAGCCAAACATNNGATTTTTTGATACATTCCGAAAAGACGACTCGTTTACCCGTCCTANCTCTATGCGTCCATACAAATTACCCATGACACACACAACCACCCCTCTGATCCCATCGTACTGAATGAAGACTCCGACCCAATCCCCATGACCTAACCACCCAACAACCCTGAGAAAAGCAAAGATCAAACATGTCCGGACGGCCAATTTCGAGCCGCCAGGCCATGTATTGGCACCTGNTACCGACAACCACCGCCTAATTTCCGACGACATTTTGACATGACAAAGAAAAATCAGACCCANGGATAGTCGGACGGAGGAATATCTCGTGCAGTTGCTGATGTCCACTGCACATATCCGGTTCCTCCATCGCTATCCTGGGTTGATGATAATGACCCAAGCCCACAACTCGATGCATGAACGGGGGTATAAGTTGTTTCCCATAAACCCACANNAAAGACACCTTCTTGTCCAGTTTCNGATGGTTTGTTGCCGTGCTTGAANAATGATGACCCATGCAGTATGAGAGATGATGAAAAAGAAAACATGTAACAAACTCCGACGTACCCCTTACAGATTGAGAGGATTAGTAATGCGTAGAGACATAGTCATGGCCTAGCCCCAGACAGGAGCCTGGACACCAAGACTGTTCTTAGCAGAGCCCCAGACTCCGCTGTTGGAACCCCAAGAACCGAGGCTGACTCCCTTGTCAGCTACAGAGCCATTGGGGCCAGCAGAGGTAGAACGCTCGTTTCTGGCTTGCTCGTTGGCACTGAAGCCGAAGCTGAGGGGCGAGGGAAGGGNGGTGGTCGAGCGCTTGTTCAGACCGGTAGCTTGCGCAGCATTGGGTGCTGGGCGGGTGCCGATCGGAGCAGCTGCAGCACCCTTTGAGCCCTGACCAAGGGGAGGGGAACCACTGGGTGAAGACACTGAAGTGCGGCTCGACTGCTGAGTTTCGCCCAGTAGACTGCCAAAAGTGGTAGGGTTCGACTGCGGAGACGAAGCGCTGTTGGGCGACTTGGGAAGCATGACACCATCACGTGGAGGCATCTGGACAGCAGGCTCGCCGTGGAAAGGGTCGAAGGCCAGAGGCGATGCACCACCTCTGGAGGCTCCAGAGATGGATGCTCTAACATCACCCGAGATGGAGCCTCTGACGTCCTGCGAGGCACGGCGGGCGGCAACAGCAGCAGCCTCAGAGGTGGGGTACAGGGCGGATTCGTTGCCGTAGAGAGCACGGTGCTGGCGGGCAATGAGGTCGCGGCGTTCGTCTTCACTCATGGTTGTAGCAGCTGCAGGGCTCAGAGCGCGGTCGGGCTTGGGGCCTTGGGCGGAAGTGTCTGTAGGCGGGAATCAACTTGCCATTCTAATTGTCTAAGGCTGTTCTGCGATGCTCTTACTCCTGTTGTATTGCTGCTCCTGGTGATAGTTGCGGAGTTCCTCTCTTTGCGCGGCCATCCTTCGCTTGGCCTGCATCATCTGCTCTGCCTCATTTTGACGCGGTGCGAAGCGCTGCGACGCATAGTAGCCCTGGAGGCCTGCTGCCGAATTGGATCGCATACCGTCGTATTCACTGACCGAGTGGTGGCGTGCCTGTCCAGGACCGCCCACGCGACCGTCGGCGGGAGAGTTGGACTTGGAACCNNAGCTACATCCAATTATAAGTACTAGCTCAATTTGGAGAAATCTAAGATACTCACCATAGTCGGCGTTGAATCCACGGCCCATCATCATGGGAGGCATAGACTCACGGCGGCTGTTGTACTGCGGTGCTCCGCCAGCCATCCACTTGCCACTCTTGACGAGGTTGTCGGTGGCACGCTCAATCTCNNTACAATATTCTGTCAGCTGCTGCTCTCATTCCCTTTTCTTTCAGTCAACCCAACAGAGCCAATTCTCCTGGTCCCAAGTTCTCGTCCACCTCTTGTTCCAGAATAATTGGCCTCATGTCGAGTTGCTGTCTCTTTTTTCCTACGCACCTTCGAATTGGGAGCTGAATGCGGCCGACTCGTCTCTCGAAGCGGAAGCGGTTCCNNTGCAAAATAATGTCTCAGATATGTGGTCCCGGTCGTCGAGTGGTTGCGTCTACTAACCGGATCTCGAGGGAGGGGCAGGCTGTTCCCACGAAGGCTGGCGGCCAGGTGCGGGCCATGCACCGGTGGCAGCAGCGGCTTGGTTCTGCTCGTNAAAGGCGGACATGGCGACTATAACAATGTATGCGTCGGTCGAGGCTGGCTATATACAAGAGTCCAGGTCGTTATGCGGAGTGACTGCCGTTCGTAAAGACTCGAGAGGTGAGAAATTCGAAGGGGTAGAAAATGCGGACTGTTGAACGGCTACCGTTAGTTTGGTCGAGGGCCCAAGGAATGAAAAAGGAGTGGCAGAAGGGCAATTGAAGACCGGCGACGACGAGGGCAGCAAGGAAGGACAGTGGGATGGACACCGACAGACCGGACGAAGTCGCAACAGCAGCAGCAGCAAACAGTAGGGACAAGTACGGCGGGAGGTTGAAAGCAAAGCCGCTGGTGTGCACAACGGTCCAACTTGGTGTCGGCATGCTAAAAAGTCAAAGCCCGCGTGCACCGCGTCTAGCCCGAGCGTCGTCCTCTTTCATTGAAACCCTAACCAATTTTTTCCTGTTCTTCGACCACCGGAGACATGCGAAACAAGAAAGGGCAGGGCAGCAGGAAACACTCGAGTACTCACCAGACGATGCGCAAAAGGAATGACTGAGCTGGCCGTGGAATCTCGTCCTGGAGGGATGCGGATCTCGAGGGAAAGGGAGGAGGAGAAGGGAGACGTGGTCCAAGGCCAGGAAGAGTGGGATTCAATCAAAAGAGGAGCATCAGAGCCTTTGGCGGGCGTGGGCTGGCGTTCGGCGGTGCGCTCGAGGGAGAAGGGCGCGACGGCTGGAACCGAAATTATTGTTTGGCCGGCTCCTTTTCTCCCATCCTCCCACCTTGGCCATGTCCTCTCAACAAGATGCTGTCGTGTTGATATCAACAGCCGTCTTCCTGTTGCATTCATTCCACTTCCTCGTCCGAGTGCTTCCCATCGCAGCTTTCGCGATTGCTGGTACCGTGTCCCTCTGACTTCTGTGTTCTCGTCCATTGGGCTATTTACAAGACTGGGGCGCCGAGGCTTCAGACCAGAACAGAAACAATTGAACCGAGCCACTTGATACATCATGCACACATGCATTCACCCAGTGCGCGACTTCTGCTCATCCCTCTCGCTTAGTGGCCACCGTGATGCATGATGATGCTTCACCACAATCACCACCCTCGGATGTCACGTCCTGAGTCTCTTTGATCAGGAAAATTCCAACAACGTGGTGACAATAATCCGTGATGGGGTTCGCGCTGAGAAGACGCTTTGTCCGTCTCTTGCTCCACAACGGTAGTGGAGGCTCTCGCTAACCAACTCCGATATGTTGCTGTCCGTGACCATTGAGACCTATTTGAATATATTGATCGTTTGATGTTGCAATCTTGGTGCCTCTATGAGCTCGTCAGTCTACAATGTGAACCACAGAGAAGGGCAAGCATCCTGCAAATAGGATTTATTCCTGCAGTTGGCATAGCGAAGCGCCAACGTTGAGGGGTGTCGTCTGCCTCTTCTTTCACCCCATCGATAGCTCTACCACGCGGTCGACCCGCCCTCTACCGCGAGTCCACACGCCTCGCGGCCGACGCGGCACGCAATCTTCGGCCTTTACCCCACACCACAGTCGAATACGGTGCTCATGTCCCGATGTCGAGTGAGCCCCAGGCACTACTCAGCAGAGTACGGACTCTCGCATTGGAGAGACTTGCTGGTCAGGATTGAGGTTGACCCTGTTGTTTGGTATCAAGCACTCGTCAATAGAGTGCTGAAAGATGCGTGTGAATGCAAGCGTCGCGTGTATCACATGTCAGGGTTTGAAGATGACATGTCAGAGCTTCGCAAACCCGCGTTAATCTCCGAAAGGCCATGTCTCAAAGCCTCTTTCTCCAACGAATTGTTTGATGGTCGTTGGTGGTTACGAGTGGTTGAGACTTGGAGTTAATGGCGACAGAAGCCGGAACATCGTGTGTACAATAGAGCTATGTAGGCACGTGGTCAGCCAAGGTTGGAGCGATGAACAGCCAGCACCGTAGATATTTTGCTAAGAACAGGATGCTATTGTCAGATACGTGTCATCTGCGAAGAGCAAGCGAGCCCTCCAAGGCATCTCGTGTGATGAGATGTTGTGCAGGCCGGTTTGGACTTCAAGCGAGGTATGATTGTATGTTGCCGAACACATCCACACAACAACATTGACAATGTCCAACACGACTTCATGTTTTGATTTGCCATTGAGTGGATTGTAAAGTTGTGCTGGTGCTGAATCGAAGTGGTATACGAGCAAAAACAGCAGCTTGGCATGGATCTGGATGGAGGTGGAAAATTCCGACGGGCGCCCAAAAAATCGTTTCGTCAGACAGCCCTCGCCGCCGTGAGCGCGACGTCGTCAACCAACACTATCGCTCTTTGATCATACACACTGCAACCACCAAAATGGGCATCTGGGACTCCTTCACCGGTCGCAAGACTTCAGAACAACCTGCACAGGATGCGCCTATGCAAGACATGGCCGTGACGACATCGTCGCAACCGCAATTCGAGGCCCAGGACGTCAACTCTTTCTTCAACACACCCGGCGCCTTCGACCCTGCCTCGCTACATCCCCTTGCTGGCCTCAACCAGGACACTCTGGACTACCTGTCTCTCGATGACCAAGCCCTGTCGGAGCTCCCTGGCAACCGTAGTGCCCTGCCGTCGCGCGGCTGGTCCGACGATCTCTGTTACGGCACTGGTGTTACCTACCTCGCTGGTCTGACTGTTGGTGGAGCGTGGGGTCTTGCAGAAGGTCTGAACAGACTACCAGCATCGTCGCCGCCAAAGCTCCGTCTCAACTCGGCGTTGAACGCCATCACTCGCCGCGGTCCCTTCCTGGGCAACTCGGCTGGTGTCATCGCCATGGTCTACAATGGCTTCAACTCTTTCATTGGTCACTACCGCGGTCAACACGACGCCGCCAACAGCATTGCTGCTGGCGCATTGAGCGGTATGCTCTTCAAGAGCACAAAGGGCATCAGGCCCATGATGATTTCTGGTGGTCTGGTCGCTGGTACCGCTGGTGCCTGGACTGTGAGTCTTGCAACAGGTTCCGTCTCTTCGGACTCATACTGACTCAGCACCTCCTAGTTCGTCCGCCAAATGATCTAAACTCCTGTATCCTTCAATCTCGCACCTTAATCTTGCCACCTTCCGCAGCCGGATACCCCCGCCATCAGGATATCTCCTCTACAACGGCAGTCATGACTTTTTCATGACCATCACCTCGTTCCCTCGTCGCTCGATCCGACCTCCATCTTACATGTGTACAGTAGAAGCAAAAAGAAGCGCGGGTTGGGCATTGCAAGGCGTCACGGATCAATCTTCTTTACTCTTTTACAGCGGCTTCTTTCGAATACATCGTCTCCCTTTCGACTCTCCTCTCAAATCTTGCTATGGTGGGTGCCAATGCTATTCCCTTTGAACTTGGTTGTTGCTCTAAAACGAATTGCTGCTTCGTGGTCTATCCACATCGTTGAGAAAAGTCACGCAAATGTCCACTTTCTTCCAATTCTTCTTTTGTCCTCGTCCGTGTCTCGTATCGTTCGTGCATATCATGTTTTGACTGGCTTGTCCGACTCTCTTCCTGATTCTGCTCCACGGTTGTGTGTTTGTCTTCCCTAGAACTTTCGTATTGTTACCTGAAAATCCGCTCACTTGCGCATGCATCACATGGAATGCTCGACGGCCACTTCACTCGCGCTTCTATCGAAATTCTGGACACTCATTTCTTTGCTTCACACTGTCTTCTTTCACTTGACTCCTGACGTTACTTAAAACCCTAGGTTATCGATTGGCGCGAGATCGCGTGTACTGTCCATCAACCACCAGTCTCAGCACGATGGCTCAGTTGATGTTGTCCCAGTCCTCTTCAGGATTTGCTGCCAGCTCTTCCACCTCCGCCTCTGCATCATCACCTCCGACTGCTGCCACCTCGTCTTCGAGCTTGGTCGACACAACCGGGTCGTCACAACACACCCAACCGGTCGACAATCCTGAATTCTTCAACGATCCGTTCACTGGTGTACCCAGTTCTCCTCCTGACGTAGCTCGACTCATCCTGCTCTGCCATTGCGAAGGTCGACCTTGNCCCTTTTCAATCCCGGCATCTCTGTTCTTCTTGTATTGCTATGCATCACCCTGGAAAGAGCATAGGCGCGAATTCAAGAAGCGATTCCCTCAGGGCGCGCGAAGATTCATGCTCGACTGCCGCTATCGCCAGAAACTTGCGTCATACACCCGTCTCTACACAGAATGGCTCTTCAGCGGCGGTGCGCCATCTTCACTCGCCAAACTTCATCGCCAGGCCGACGGTTCGACTAGTGTCTCCTTCTCGGGAAAAGTCAGAGCTTGTATCTACATCCTCAGACTCTATCAGCAGCGTGGTTACCCCTTGACCCGTTCCTGCGATCAGATCGCCTCTATCTTTAGTCAAGAGGATACGCCACAAGTTAGTCAGGAGTCCTGGCGCAATGTCGTGCTACGCACCGAACATCCTGAGACTCCTGACAACGTATGGAGTCAAGTGTACCCCACACCTGCTCTACCAGAATCCTCGTTGCCTGAGAACCCTAGAGGTCCTAGCACACTCGTTCAGACCGAGCCTTTCCGTGGTGTCACATCTCTTCTACCTGACGAGCCAGATGATGTACCTGAGGGGTGGACTCTGTGGACGCCTTCAACTGTACCTGCCCTCCAACTTCTCGCCCGCAACAGAGCTTACAAAATGCAAAGCCTAAAAGATCTTAACTGCGATAGCAGCAAGGTAGCTATGCCATTGCATGAGTTAGATGCCTATCGAATGAGACAGAACAGTAGCCAAAGTTCGAGATTTCCAAGCCCGGATGTTCTCGCCGGTGCAGAAGAGNNGAAGAGTTCTATGCCGGAGCATTGTCAACTGCAGCTGCCCTTCCTCGAACCTCGCAATCAGCTTATCGAAAGGCTGCCTCAGCCTCCTCAATACAACACACCTGCACCCGAAGACGTCGCTGCACCCAAGCGTGGCATAGGTCGTCCTCGCAAATCAACCACCACTGCCCCTACCAAAGCCCCTGCCAGACCAACCAGACTCCGTCTCATTGCGCCCCCCAGACCAAGCACCCCTGAACAAGCCGCTGCCTTTGAAGAAGCCATGGACAACCACTCTCCCGCTCATGCCTACAGTAACGAGTTTCCTGACGTCCAGACGTATGAGATCGAAAGTTCATCCACACCCGACAGCTCGGAGTTCAATGAAACAAGCTATGAGATAGCGTTGATGGACAGTTCGAAGGCGATCAAGAAGTATGAAGCTCGCGGACTGAACGCATATGGTATTGGAGTGAGGAGACTGGCCGAGGAGAGTGTTCTCTTCAACCGCATGGATTGGGAATAGCGGTCTTGATGCTTCTGTAATGTATAATACAGTTTCTCTTTCTCCTGATCTTACAAAGTTTCTCTCGTGTGTTCATTCAACGTATACTGCCCAGGCGCTCTATCCGAGAGGGAGCTGAGTAGTTGCAGGTTGAGGAGCCACACCCTTCTGCTTCTGGCGGTGTCTGACCTTCTTGTTCCTTCTCTCCTTCTTGACCCCCTGCTGCTGCTCTCCGGTGCGGCCCATGCCCTCAGGTGTAGGAAGAGCCCTCGCCAGGCTACTCATTTCGGAATTTGGACGTGCAACGACGATGGCGCTGGAACAAGGCACGAACTCAGGCGCCGGGGGCGAGGTCAGGATGGGAGTGTCCGATAGCTTCCAGGTGTTCCACACCTTAGGCCTGCTCCTGATCTTCTCCTCGATGCGGGCGGGCATACCCAGGTGGTAGTCCTGCGATTAAATTAGCATTTGTTGTAGCTTGTAAGAATGCAGAACGGTTTGTGGAAAGTGCGGAATGTCCAGAGAAAGTCTCTTCTGAGAGCACTCTCAGTGGACAGCATGCTTGTATACTCCGCACTGTGTATTTTTGTAGGGTGTTGAAAAGCAAGCGTGAGGAGTGGGAACGGCTTTATAAGATTAGCGAAACTTATATGGATCATGAAAACCTGTTGTTCCTGAACCATTTTCATCAAGCTGAACTCGTCGAACTTTTTCCAGGCTGTTTGTTCCATGTTGAGCGACCCAAAGTCTGATGCAGTCTGAAATAACCAACTTCCACGCTCCATCTGTTGAGAAGCTAAGCAACCACGACGCTTGGGATGACGGCTCTGGCTGCTTTCCAGGGAACTCGAGATCTTATGCATGATTTCTTGGTAGCCGGCGTTGTTGGTAGTGATGACGTTCTCGAAGTGCATGGGTAGACCTCCAACGAGCGTTAGATGCGTGATGATTTTGAGCCCGAAAGAGGTTCCTGACTCGGTAATCGGTGCGTCTCTGTAGTAGGCGTCTGAAACCGGGGCGTAAAGTATGCAGCAGAGATCATCGGTCCTCCATTTCGTGATCACAGGGTGGGCCTTGTAGTCAAATGTCTTAATGATTCCTCTGAGAGTACCAGCGAACTTCTTACTGAGATTCTTGACCACTTTGAGCTGCTTGATTTGATCGAGGCAGTCGCGAACAGTTCTCTCTCCCTTGGTTGGTTTGTCGCGTGTTATCTCGTGGCATTGTTAAAAGCTAACAGCCTCCATGAGGGACGACAGCCCTGCTTCGTGGACATTGCCGGCCTTTGCTTTGTTGATGGTTGAAAGCTTGATCAGACTGACTTTGGCATACATAACGACTTCTGGCTGGCTGGCGTGCTCCAGAATGAGCTGCATCATGCGTTCGTACACATGGTCGTCTTTCAACAGTTCATCGAAGTCTGTGCCATAGTGACGACCATCAGATTCCGGGTCGACCAAGGGACTCATGGCGTTGGAGCAGTTGGGACTGAGGGCGGTTGATAGAGCTGTCGACTTCTTAGGGCGCGCACCACTGGCTCGATTGGCAGGTGTATAACGAAGGGCTCGATACAAAGCGTGGTGTGTTTTGAATGAGAACGCGTCAGTGCAGTGTACCTCAGCAGTTTGCGCAGAAAGTGTGTTGAGGGTGGTTCTGGGAGCGCGTCAATCTTTTAGTATGCATTTATTTATGTTGTCCTGGACAACGCTTGGTCGGAGTTTGGGGTGCGCGTTGGCGGCTGCTTACCCTCCTCCTCCGATGTCCCTACCAAGAATTGCGCAGATTTAGCCCTTGGTCAACAAACCAGATGGCATCAAGAAAGGGACTCGGTAGCGATCAGCTGATATGTTCATGTCATGTTGCTTCCTTACCCATCGGGGCCAGTTCATAAAGCGGTTCCAAGAATTGTTTGGACGGACCACAGATTGCTGTTACTTTCTGTCTCTCGTCTTCAGAACTTTTCAACCATTTTTTCTACACCGGACGATCCACTTCCTGAACTCACCGCCAATTCATAGGTCCTCGCACAAGAACCAAAGAGCTCGGAATGATTATGCCGTCTGTACGTTCACTGGTGGCCATCCTGATTCTATCTCTATAGCCAACGCTCTTTGAAGGACCACGCAACAATCCAGGTGAATTCCACGCTTACTGGTTGCAGGACGATGGGAACTTGGATGTCTTGTTCCAATGGTTGTTCTTTCCAATTGCTGTATGGTAGGGGCGTCATGTAGCTGTAAGAACGTCTAGTCCTCTTTACTAGCGACATAATCCGACAACACTGACACTCTTGTTGATTTTCATTCTATTCTTCGCTATTGTTATTCATGCTTGAAGTCATGGTATCGTCTACTTAAGTCGTCGTTAGAGGCCACGAGATGAAGTTGACACGGGAAAATCTCGGGTGAGCACGAGATAGGATATGGGGTAGCTTTCAACACCACCTCGTGCTCTTCTTTTCATCTAAAGCTTTCGAATACCGATTGGTATAATATTTATCAGAAAGTGTGTTGCACAGGTGCTGGAAAATGTACAAGATTATAATGATGTCCTTGCTCGGTGATTACTGAACGCGGTCCACCTGACAGCCTTGTTCAAAGAAAACACATATCCTGTATGATGCCTACGGCATGTTCGGGTGCATCTACAAACTCAAAGTGCGTAAGATTTTATCTGTATTCAGGAAAAAGGGAATTAACATACTTCAGTACGACAAGTTCTCTCTACCAATATTTTTTCCCAGATCACGAAAGGAAATACGACTTGCTCTAGAGTGGGCTATAAATACTCACCGACTTAACGGCAGTCGAATCTATGCGGTCCATACACTGTGCGCCATCTCGCGTGCGTAAGGGCACATGAACTGCCCATCTGGTATTCCCGACATTTCCTTGGTGAGTTCAGGTTGGTAAGCTATTTCAGTTTCGTCAAAGAAAGAACAAAGAAACAAAGAACCACACATACTTTATGTCCTCTACAACACAGCGTGCGCTAAGAATCGAGGTGAACGATGTTCTCGGACATCGCTAACCACTGCTTGAACAAGAAAGAGGGAAAGGGCGATTGGCCTGAGGAAAACGTACCAAGAACATGCCGATGCCCTCGGATCCCTATCAACGTCTCTTGACGTGGTTGGCAGTATTCAGCGGCGCAATCTCTGGTCAGCTCATGTCTATTAACGCAAGTAATGTCTCTGTAGCATGACCATTGCTGTCCACATTCAGAGGTCATGCGCTGTGCCGATTCCATCTGCATGGAGGTACTTATCTCTGTCATGTGGTCCCTTTTCCGTCCAGCGGTTAGATGGTGTAGTTGGTCACAGTATCAGTATCACCTCCGATCGGATTCTGCTGCTAGCTATGCCGTCAAGACGGTCATTGATTCGAGTCCAATCCTGGTCCTCTTTTTTTCTTTTGCACAGATCTTTTTCCACATACTGAAGGAAGAGCTTCCATTTTATAAAGATACAGAGGTTCACATAGATAGTCAATTATTATGCTTGGCGACTGCCCCTTCGTTGGACTATAACAAATCGCGACTTCTCGCCGAAGATTGCGGACGTTGATCGACTGGGATTCATGCGCGCTTCACTTTCTCTTCACTCATGCTTCACTTTTCCTTCACCTCTGCTCCACTTTGACTTCACTCATACTTCACTCACGCTTCATTTGCGCCTCATTTACGCTTCGCATGATAGCCGCACGTTCAGTCACCAAAGTTTTGTTCGGCGCACGCACATCGCACGCACAGCCAACATCAAAACAAGCTGGCCGCAGTCCGTCTTATCCATCTTCCCACCGCACATCTTCTCAAGTTTTCTACGGTCTTATCAGGAGCTGTCTACCGTTGTCAGTCTTCGCCATCAACACTAGAACTCATGAACTAACTTCTTCTCACAGCGATGGAAGAGCCTGAGCACCTCAACATGATGGAAGCCCACACTGCATTCGATAACAGCAGACACAACGCCGAGCACATCAGCGCCGGTACGCCAGAATATCCCAAGAACGATGCTAGTCAGGATGAGTTCGCCTCCTACGAGCTCGGTGGTTATGGCGACGACTATGATCCCGACAACAAGACTTGTGCAGACAACGAGCACGACTGCCTGATCGAGCAGTCTAGCGCGATCGAAGTCGCAGACGCCGAGACTCATCTCGACCATTTCCTCTCACCCTCAACTACTCCCAGCTCCAAGCAAAGCAACGCGCGTACCCTCGCCGATCTTCCTGGAGATTCTGTGTAATTCTTCGACGTTGAGTCGATCGCCGCTGTACACAAGGACCCTGTCCTAATGGCAATGTTCCGTCAGCTCGATGACCATTTTCGTACCAAGGAATCCCGCAGCAAACTCGTTGCATGACACATCAAATAAACCCTAGCCAGACTCGCCATCGTCCGTGATGTGAGAAGGGAATGAAGCCGAACTCTCCGAGCTTATGCTGGTCATGCAAACCTTGGAGGTCGACAAGAAGAACGCCACAATCACCGAAGTAGATGGGCCTTCTCAGAAGGTTATCAAGGGTGGTCGCGCCCTACGAAAGCTGTACTCGAATGTGTACAAGGACGCCATGCGCAAGCTAAAGCAATTCATTCGCGACTCTGGCGCACAGGTTCCCAAAGTGTACAACCAAAACAAGGAGACTGACTTGTGTGGTGTCTGGTACGCTATTGTGTCAGACAGACACTATCAAAACAACAAGCTTCTGATTCCTTGCTGCCTCTATGAATCTCGAGTCCTCCTCATCACCCACTTACACCTACTCGGCGGCTCTCCTGCGCACTACACGATCGTGAAGAAGCTCAACTACACATCATATCAGCAATTCAACGACGTGCTTCCCGATCTTCTCGGCTACTCCAGATGCGAACAAGCAGCACGTCTCGGATACTCGACTACAAAGCCCACAGCTGGTCCATGGAAATACCAGTTTGCCCCAAGCTTGGACGCTCTTGACCCCGGGTGTTGGACAGAGCTGTGCGAAGAAAACTACGAGCAAATGGAAGGTCATCCCAAGCAGGTGGTCTTCTTGATTCGTGTAAGTCCATCTACACCGCTGTTCTCGCCGCAACATGGAGCAGTTACATAAGATATTGAAATGCACAATATATTTGAGAAACAAAGTCGTCTCCACTGAGAGCCTCCGATATGACAGCTCTCGGTAGACATGCTCTGTTTCTCATATACATCGTGCCTTTTATAGCTGAGACTAGCTACAGCATGCGGATACGAGATTTGATGAGCACCCCTGTCGTGCTTTGATGCACCCTGAAGATCTACATGCTAACGTCTCCATACAGGCCGCCGACCAAGCCATACCATTGGGCATTGCGACAAAGGTTCAGAGCCGGCCCACAGACTGGATCACGGGGCCGGTTCAGTTGCCCCGGTTCCTGCATCCAACTTGCCCCTCCCTGCCTCCTCCCTGGCCCTCTGGATGGCGCTGCCAAGGCCCTCGTGCCTCCAACTCTGGCGCCTGGCCTCACCAAGGAGGTCTCGCTTCCTTCTCATCCCGTGAAGAAGCGCAGCAACCCGGACGACGGACAGCAAGAAAGCAAGAAGGCTAAGACCGATGAGTAGGGGTTTGTGGACCAATTGAAGGGTCCTAGGGAATCAGGAGTTGCCGATGAAGACAACTGTGTGAACCTCAAAGCATGAAAGGAGAGGAGTTGTCAGTGGGATTTGCTTTTTGGTCGTTGAATTGTACTATACCCCTTTGTTGTTAATTACTTTACCCCTAGTTCTATTGTGTCTTGTATTCTGTAATAAAGAACTTGACTGGTTCCCAAGATGGTGGGATTGTTCCATCCCATGTTCCTGAACGTTGTCCGGATCCGGTCACCTCGAAATTCGAACAAAGGAAAAAGTCGAGGGAATCCATTATATCTTGAGAGTAATATTTTCATTCTTCTACTCGTACATCGACAACTTCTGCTTCTCACACTCTCCAAGCACGTATACAAAAGCAATCAAAATACCACACGACAGCCAAAGAGGACCGCCTCCAGGCCGAAACGACAAGAGCGGCCTGCCAGAAGGCAACTGGCAAGGAAGCTACTTCCTAGGACAAGGAGGCCAAGGAGCAGTGCACTACTGGGTCAAAGTCGATTCGAACCAAAAGATCATCGACCGTGTGGTCATCAAAGATGAGTGGAGCTGGGAATCTTTGGAGGAGCCTGAGATCTATAAAGGCATATATGGCGGTTTGTTGCGTAAAGGCATGGATCTGAGCGATGCATTGGGTGGAAAATCGATCAAGGTGCCGTTCTACAAGGAGGCCTATATTCAAGGACTACTCACTCCGGAGAGTCCTGCAACTCAGAGCAACACTGTGCGCCTGCGAGGGTACAGGAGGGGTAATCAGCCGGACCCACGCCCAGAGACGAGCTTCAAGAAACGAGTCCACTGGCGCCTCTACATGGAGTACTTGTATGCTGGCGATCTACACCAACTCATCTACTACCACACCATTAGGAGAAAGCCCTCNCCTGAGCCCTTCATCTGGTGGACGATGAAATGCCTCGCCTCTGCTCTTAAACAGATGGAAGATCTGTCTAGAGCACGATCCAATGCACACCCAGAGCAGGACGAAACTATCGTGATGCTGGACATGAAGCCTTGCAACATATTCCTCGATGGCGCGGGAGGACCGGAATTCGAAGTATATCCGAGGCCTGTGATAGGCGATTTTGGATCAGCCCATCTGACCTACGCAGACCAAGTGGCGAACAGAGCGAAGCGGTTGATGATTCTCTGTACGCCTGGGTTCACGGCCCCTGAGTTTCACGTGAAAGATCCCCGTCCCCGTGTTAAGAAGCCAGACGACAATGACGACGAGGAAGAAGCCGACAATGAGAACAAGGATGTCGAAATGGACGACGCGGAACTTCTTGAATACAACGAAATGGACGACGAAGACGTAGAAAACGAAGAAGCCGTAAACGCGTCCCTGGACTCGTGGTCCAACGTTTGGCAGCTCGGCAAGACCATCGAAGCCATGATGCGACTAGAGACTCGCCCAAATGACCGTGACTACGAAGACCCCGATGCCAGGCAGTCAAAGATCAAAACCCATCCTCCACGTTTCAAAGCCGCACCAGAGTTTTGTTACAGCGCGGAGCTCCTTGAGCTAATATGGGGCTGTCAGGTGTTTGAACCCGAATGCAGACCGGCTCCTGAGGATATACTGTACGCCATCGATATGGATGCTCCCCCTCACATTCATGGAATGGACGTCTGGGGTAGCGAGGACTGGGTCGCAGAACAATGTAAGAACTTGGGCACCTTGACCGACCACCAAAAGAGGGGGATGAAAGCGAACATCTTCAAGCGAGCACAAGCCAGCAAACTGTGGTTCCTTCACGACTTCAAGGACTGTTATCTAGCCGAACAATATCAAGACTTGGACTTGGATTTACCTCCGCAATGCGAACTCACATGGATGCCTCAGAAGTTTAGAAACAGGATATGCCAGAAACTTGGAGCTGAAGAACCAGAGCTGGCCGAAGAACCAAACAACAAGCGGCCTAGAACAGATGAAGCTATCACAGTGACTCAAACCAGAAAGAAGCGGCGGATAGCATAAGACGTTGCAGTCTTGCGAGACGGGACGTGGCACTGGGGATCATGTCAGCACCAATTAGAAATATACCTGAATCTCTGTAGTGAATATTGTTCGGTGTTGTCAAACCCCGAGATTCTTCTTTTGAATCGATAAATGCCAATTGTTCAGATTACTGATCTCTCTCTGTAGAGCACATTCCCTATCAACATTAGCTTGTGAAGATACTCCGTGGGTTACCACTCGACATGGGTAGATTGAGGCACATAAAGAATGCGAGTAGACCGATAGATAGACTGGCTTGGTGTTGTATACAAGACCCCTGTCTAGCTCTTGGTTAAATGAACCTTGTATTCCCGTCGCACTATTTCCTCTCGGAAGGGCCCTATGACTAGTATGTAACTCCCGTAACTCCTGCTATCCCGGAATCATCAACGGGTATCTCCAATGCAACTTTTGTGGCAGCTCCTTCGGGCGCGGGTAGGTGGCGGTTCGTAGCAAGATATGCGATGGTGATGCGAAAAAACATCAAGACGTTCAAGACTGGAAGAGGGTGTCTTCTTCTCTGAGGTACTCGCCGCAATCGGCTTGTCTAAAGACGACGATACCAGTAGGGTCCAGACGTTTTGCCTCGGCGGAAGAGCGGGCGGTGACACCGAAACCAAGAGGAGTNNGCTGGAGCAGATTAGCATGCGTGTTTGTAAAGATGGAGCAGATTCGCATGACATACTCGTTCATCGAGTAAACGATAATACCTTGGTGCTCAGGGCAGTCCTCGCTCCAACGGCCAACGTGAGCCTTGACAATGTGACCACCGTACAGGAAGGGCATCTCTCCGTTGGGCTTGACCCAGATCTTTGCGCGGGCATGAGGGGCAATAATGTCCAGAGCAGTGATGTGGAGGCGGAATTTGCCAGTCTTGGTCAACTTGCCGATGCAGTTTCCAAGGCACAGCAGGTTGTCTCTGGCTACCGAGGTGGCCAGGTTTGCCATGTCTTCGCGCACATAGTAGACTCTTGATTCTTGAACACGGAAGACGAATCTTGAGGCCTTTCCATCCTTGCCGGGCGCCGTGTCGGTCAACAAATTCGTAAGGGACTTTCCAGTATAGTTGGCGAGCTTCTCGAAGACGGTTTTGGATTCTCCTTCTGTAAGAGGACGCATGTTTGCGGTGTTTGCGAAGTTGACTTGTGCAGTAGGCGCGAGAGAGGGTTGACGTGTGACGAGACGGTGAGGGAGAGTCGGAAGGTTTGAGGCAGGCGCAAAGTTGGTCGATCAAATGACAATGTTCGGATGGATATGCGAGGAAGGAGCGAGGCAGAAAAAAGAATCCTCGGATGCTTCCCAGAAACTGCGGAGACGGCAGCTCGGGAGTTTCGTTTTCGCCGCAAATCCAGCCTTCTGATTGGCTCAGCAGCTGACTTGGCAAGAGCGCCCATCTTTTTCTTTCCCTTGCTGATTCTTCCCAGTCAGGCAATATATCAACCAACACAAATACATCTGGAAATGGCTCCAATTGCAAAGAGACGTCGCATCAGCCCAGAGGTCGAATCACCTCCTGCTTCTACCAAAAATGGAGTTTCATCCGAGGAAAAGATCGAAGATTTCTACCGCAATGCCGCTGGATGGGATCTCGAACAGGACTACGAGAACCGACCACGCAACCTAAAGAAAAAGAAGGAAGAAACAAGGCTGCCCATCAAGACATCGGAGGGTTGGGTTGAGCAGGCTCCTGCTGTTGTTGAACAGAAAGAAGAGGACGCCGACAGTTTTCTGGGAAGCGGCGACGAGGCCGAGGCTGTTGACGAAGACGACGACGATGAGGAAGATGAGGAGCCAGAGGTGCCACAGATCTCGCCACGCGAACAGATTCTCCAGGCCAAGGAGGAGCTTGCGCGCGTCGCCAGCTTGATTTCTGAAGACCCAGAAGAACACATTGGCCAGCTCAAGAAACTGCAAGTTCACGCGACGTCACAAAACAGGACCGTCGTCAAGCTATGCATGGCTACGCAACTCGCCATCTACCGCGACATCATCCCCGGCTATCGCATCCGTCCCGTTTCCAAAGAAGAGTTGAAGCAGAAGCTATCCAAGGACGTCCGCAAACTGCGCAACTTTGAGCAAATGCTTGTTGGTGGATACCACGAGTATGTCAGGTCTTTGACAAGAGCTGCCAAGAAGAGCGGCGACAAGAACAAGGAGGCCGCTTCTGTCGCTACCGTTGCCATTTCGTGCGCCTGCACTCTTCTCAATACCGTTCCCCACTTTAACTTCCGTGGCGATCTCATCAACATCTTGGTCGGCAGACTCAGTATCAGACAGGTGAATCTGGATTTCNNCCACAAATGCGTCGAGTGCCTTGAGACGTTGTTCCGCGACGATGAGGATGGAAATGCTTCACGCGAGGCTGTTGACTTGCTGTGCAAGATGATGAAGTCGCGAAGCTACAACATCCACGAATCTGTGCTAAACACNTTTTTGCACTTGCGACTGCTTTCCGAATTTGCACACAGAAGCAGTAGCACTCGTACCGATAAGAGCGAGGATGAGCCGGCTGTGAAGCAAAAGCAAAAGCGAGAGTTCAGAACGAAAAAGGAGAGAAAGCGTTTGCGCGAAGTCAAGGGTGTAGAGAAAGAGTTCAGAGAAGCCGACGCGACCGTCTCACACGAAGAGCGTGACAAGAACCAGTCCGAGATGCTGAAGTTGGTTTTCGTTGCATACTTCCGTATCCTCAAGCAACGAGTACCTCAGCTCATGGGTGCTGTGCTTGAAGGTCTGGCCCGCTATGCTCATCTGATCAACCAGGACTTCTTCGGTGATATCCTTGAAGCCCTCCGCGAACTCGTTATCTCAACCGAGGCTGCTGAGCAAGCACTTGCCGAAGAAGACGAGGACGCCTCTACCGCACCGAGGAACATCAACCGCGAATCTCTTCTTTGCATCATCACAGCATTTGCCCTTCTCCAGGGCCAAGACGTAGTCAAGAGTGTTGGCTCTCTACATCTGGATCTCGAATTCTTCATCACCCACCTCTACAAGACGCTTCTGCCATCATCAATGAATCCCGACTTGGAGTTGAGTGCTAAATCTCTGCGTCTGAGGGATCCCGATGGCAACGATGACGAAGCCCTGCTCCCTCAGCAGGCCAAGCACAAGATCAACGTTCAGACGACAACTGTGTTGCTCCTTCGCTCGTTGTCATCAGTCCTGCTACCGCCGCAAAACCTGCGTTCTGTTCCTCCGCTTCGTCTTGCAGCTTTCGCCAAACAACTCCTCACTATTTCTTTGCAACTACCTGAGAAGTCATGTCTGGCCATGATGGGTCTGTTGCAGCAAGTAGCCAAGGTACAAGGCAAGAAGATTGCAGCGTTGTGGTACACTGAGGAGAGAAAGGGAGATGGTGTTTTCAACCCCCTGAGGGAAGAGGTCGAAGGAAGCAATCCTTTTGCAACGACGGTCTGGGAAGGTGAATTGTTGAGGAAACATTTCTGTCCTCAAGTCCGCGAGAGTATCGTTGCGCTTGAGAAGGGTGTTGTTGCTTCGAGATCGTAAAGCGAGCAAGCTATCTTCTGTCATTCATGTAGCGAATTATGTCTGTTGGATACCATGTACCTTTTGCTTTTTCTGCATCAGCTCTTCGTCGTGTTCTGTTTGGATAGCTTTGTTGATCTTTGTATGCAGAACAATGATGCAATCACTGCATATCTAGATGGCACGTTTCGACGAGGATGATGAGATCTCGTATCTGTCCAGGGTGTCCCGGACTGGGTAAATAGGTAGACTATTGCTGCATGTGCGTCCGTGCGTTCCATGACGTCCGAGCGCCAAGCAGCAAATTGTCTTTGATGGTGAACTTATTCGACAATTCGACCACCCTCAAAATATTTCTGTTTCACAAAACTTCGAAGGATTTGAGCGGCGTACACGGATCTGCCGAGATCGCTTTCAAATCTCTACCGCAAAGGCAACTAGCCTATCCTACAGCCATAAGCTTGCTCGATCCCGAAGGCGATTAGTACACGCAAACCACCTACCTGTTGCAACACCTTCTCACATTTATTGTATCAACACGCCAAAGTCCATCAAAAGTGAGAAGCGCAAGATCTGATCCGAAATTGGTCTGGATCCAAAGTATAGGCAACATGGTCAATCCCTTTTCTTTTGTTCAACGCGGCTTGAACATCCTGCTGCCTTTCGCGACACCTGGCACACCCTTATATCAAGATCTACTGCATCTCGCTGCATTATGTACAGCGTTGTACTATGCGCCTCAGATTCAGGCCTATATCCAGGAACAACGATCACAAACGCACAATCATACAGATGGTCAATCTGAACAACACGTTCCCCATGATGAACCTCGAGCTCTGGAGCCGGGACAGCAACAAGCAGTACCTCCACCACAACCCTTTATCGAAGACGCCGAAGAGGACGAGCAAGAGCAACCGGATGCTCCTTTCAACGATTTCGCCGGGCCTGCAGGTCCGCCTCAAGATGATGACGATGGAGAGCCTGGTCCCGTGAACCCGCGTCCTCAAGCACCACCAGGCAGTAACAACAATCGCACAGTCGGTGCCAAGAAGGCAAAGTCTTTGCAACGTCGTGATCAACGCCGCGCTTACCACGAGTTCATGCGCTCGCAGGGAGAAGCGCAACGTGCGAGAGATGCCGAGGGAGCAGAGGAACGTGAAGCACAGCTCGCAGCCGAGAGGGCTAGACGTGCAGCAAAAGAGGCAGAGGTGGAGGTCAAGCGAGCGAAGGAGAGGGAAGAGAAGAGACTAAGAGAAGAGAAGGCGAGAGAGGAAGAGATGCAGAGACGAGAAAGAGCTGTGCGACTTGTGAGGGAACAGCTCGAAACCAAACGAATCGTTGATCTCGAGGAGGTAGCAAGACGAATCGGTGGTAACGTCGGTCGCGAATGGGTCGAGGGATTGGTCAGAGCCTCGGGATTGCTTGCCGAAAGTCAGGGACAATATCACACAATGATCACGGCAAATGGATGGGTGGTCAGGGTCGAAAGAGAGGACATGGAGGCTCTGTACAGCGATGCTGTGGCAACTGCGGACGAAGATGGCACAGTGTCATATTCCGAGCTTGGCGGACGACTGGAGAGCATCTTGGAGAAAGGTCTTGCTGCTAGATAAGAAGGACTATTTGTATACACAAGTGCCCAAGCCAACATCCTGGCGAACAACTATTTTCAAGGCAGGCACTGGTGAAGCTGCAAGACCAGAGCTGAAGCTTGGAGCCAACGCAAGCCGAGCAAGTACAAGAGCTTGACATGCAGGTTGAGCTCTTGTTGTCAGCCGCATGCTTCTGTTGTGCGTCAAGCATCTCAACAGCGTGATCACGAGACGAAGGCCGTAAATTTTCAAACCAACCTGTCAGTCGTTTACGAGGCTTATGAGAGACTCCGGTGAGATTAATATTTACAGAAGCTGTCAGTCGTTGATGTATCGTCTCTCCTGCATGCGACACACAATATCCGTCTGTCTTGGTAATGGTTGACCGAGACGATCGGCCGCAGAGACGTTGCAGAAGCCCTCAATGCAACGCGATCATGGCCTGATCCGGGGACAGAGTGACTTGTTCGAGGTGGTCTCAGAGCCTTGGGGATTGTGATACGAGCGACACACGGGTTGAGCCGCCTAATACTATAAACTCCTCCCGCTGAAGCCTGACTTGTGAGAGATGGAGGCTCAGAGGATGACAGGGGTCAGACAGGCGCAGCACAGGACAATGGCTTGCGCAATCGAAGAACAAAAGACGTTTCAGATGATTAGCGATTGAGTGATGGGGCGAGTCAGTTGAGGGCCGTGTGCGTGAAAAAGCTGGGGTCCCGCAGTGGTGGGCGATGAATTGGCGGGACAAGCTTTCCTATCTTACGCAGCAGCAGCGCGCATGCATTTTTAGAACCCCTGCTCTCCATGGACCAGCGACCGTATCGCGCTTTCCTCTTGCACTCTTTCTTTCTGCCTTTCGATCTTTTCTTTTAACCGCTCTGTTTTGACTTTTGCTCCTACCGACGGCACAACCTTTGCTGATATCTTGGCCTTTCCATCCTGACACGCGTATTCTAAAACTAGTGTCGAATACCCTCGTTTTCGGGCCAGGAACAACGTTCAACACCTGCCTGCTCAACCTTCTGTCGGCCGAGGCGAGAAAAAGCTTCAGCCCATGTCTGCTCTCTCGTTGCAAAACGTCGCATGTCAAGAATAGTTTAATCCACTCACCTTAATACTGTACACATACACACACATGGCCACCGTACCATCACCAAGCAGCAGCCTCTGGGCTGCCTTGTTCCTTCTGGTCACCCTCACACAGGCCTTCTACATTCCCGGTATGCCACTATTCTGGCTGGGGAAAGTCGACACGCGCTGACATGACACAGGGTGGTCAATCAAGAGCTACAGCGATGGCGATGTGATACCGCTGCTCGTCAACAAGGTCTACTCAGACAAGACACAGATCCAATACGCATACGCCGAACTTCCCTTCGTATGCCCACCTAGCGGCCGTCGTCGAGTCGGCGGTCTCATTTCTGGATCGAGTATTGCATTGAACCTGGGCGAGGTCCTCCGAGGCGATCGCATCGTTGTCAGTGACTATGAACTGGAGATNGGGAAAGATGACGAGGTCCACTACCTCTGCAGTCACAAAGTCAACAGAGCAGGTCTGCAGAAGGCCCAAGAGATCGTAAAGGACAACTACGTGGCCGAGTGGGTCGTCGACAACCTGCCTGGCGCAACCAACTTCGTGTCCACCGACAAAACTCGCAAATACTACGCCTCAGGCTTCAAGATGGGCTTCCAAGACGAGGACCCCACTACCGGCCGTCCGCGTTACTTCATCAACAACCACGTCACGCTCGTTCTTCGCTACCACATGGCTCCAGGAAGAGATGGACAACGAGGCAAGAAGGTCATAGTCGGTTTTGAGGTTTATGCAAAGAGCATCGAAGCTGGCAACAGAGACGCCCAGGGCATACCCGCTTCCATCGCAGATGTCAGCAATGGCATGGAGCTGACCATGCGCAAGAATGGCACTGCTGCCGCCGCTGCCGCTTACTATTCCTCTGACTCGACCTACCATCCGGCTACTATCGACGACGTTGACGAGGATGCCACCCTTACCATTCCTTACACGTACTCTGTCTACTTCCGAGAAGAACCACACGTCGAGTGGCAGAATCGCTGGAGTCTGTTCTTCGCCGACCAAGATGACACCACCGGTACCCACTGGTTCGCCATCGTCAACTCGATTATCATCTCTGGCTTGCTCACGGCTGTTGTTGCAGTCATCTTCGCTCGCACCATCCGTGGTGATCTCAAGAGTGCCAACGTTGAAGAGGGTAAGCTCAAGATCAAGCGTGGAAGGACTGGCACTCGTTCACCTCGCAAACCCGACGAGAAAGTCGGAGGACTACTCGATCAAGGCGATGCCGACAACGAAGTCTCATCAGACGACGAGGCCGTGGAAGACCTCACTGGCTGGAAACTGGTCCACGCAGACGTCTTCCGTACCCCTGCATATGGTGGTGTCTTGGCTGCCCTCGTTGGTTCTGGAACTCAGCTGGTCTTCGTTGTCGCTGGGCTGATTATACTTTCTTGCTTCGGCATCCTCAACCCTTCCTTCAGAGGCGGTTTTATCAGCGTCGCCGTCGCTCTCTTCGTTCTCGCCGGTCTTATTTCCGGATACTTCAGTGCTCGTGTGTACAAGACTTTCTCTGGTCAGTTCTGGCAGAAGAATTGTTTCGTCACCGCGACTCTTTTCCCTGGTCTTATTTTCACAATCGTATTCATTCTCAATCTTTTCGTCTGGGCACAGGCTTCGAGCACCGCCCTACCATTCGGAACACTCGTCGGTCTTGTCGCTCTTTGGCTTCTTATTCAACTTCCTCTCGTCTATGTTGGCTCCTGGTATGGATACGTGCGCGTTGGAGCTTGGTCTCACCCCATTAGAGCAAGCACCATCCCTCGTCAAATTCCTCAGCAGAGCTGGTACATTCGCAGCTGGCAAAGTATCCTTCTTGCGGGACTGCCGGCGTTCTTTGTTGTGGCTATCGAACTCATGTTCGTCTTCAAGAGCATCTGGCAAGACAAGAGTGGCTACTACTACGTATTCGGCTTCCTCGCTGTTGTAGCAGTCATGCTTGTTGCAGTAGTAATGGAGGTTACAGTCATAGCTGTGTACATTCAGCTATGCTCCGAGGTAAATAGTCGCTCTACCCGTCAAGTTGTCTCACAAACTAATCACAGTCACAGNAACTATCACTGGTGGTGGCACAGTTTCATGGTCGGTGCCTCGAGCAGCTTCTGGATCTTCGCCTACTGCGTTTACTACTACTTTAACCACCTGCACATTCATGGCTTCGTGTCTTCGTTGCTCTTCTTCGCATACTCGGGTCTCGCATGCGCTGTTTACGCTCTCTTGACAGGAACCATCGGGTTCCTGACTGCCTATGCCTTTGTGCGTAGGATCTATGGCGCTATCAAGGCTGACTGAGGAGACAGCAGAAGTGAGGTTAACTGAGTGAAGGCGTTAATGGTAGAGGGTTTTATACATTGTATATATTCGTTTTGTCTCTCTTTACCCGTACTGTGATTCACAGGGCTGTTGTAATGTTGTGGTCTTGATACTGTATAGCTGTGTCGATGCAACAAAAGATTCGATCTTCGTCTCTGCCTCTTTCCGTGACGGTGGGCACCACAAGCACATGTCGGAACAGTGAGGAATAACAACAGGAGTCTCATGAATCATTGATCATATATCAAACTAAAGATACTCAGCCAACGACCAGCGTAGGCCCATTCTTCATCCTCCACCCAAACAAATCACCACACTTCCTCTTCAAGTGCTGCACCGGCGACGTCGTCACCTCTTTCGCCTTCTTCCTCTTCTGATCTCTGCCGCTGACTTTTCCGGACTGATAGCCAGACGACTCAGCCTGTCGTATCTCATCGGCAAGCAACATTTTTCTTGCTCGATCGGTGGCTTCGCTGGTTTGACCTCTACGTGCTGGTTTTGNGGTTTTTGGTTGGGTTGAAGGTTCGCAGATGCTGGGTGCGAGCATGATTGGCACATCGCCTTCTTCTGTAATTGAAGGTGTCTTTGTCTTGACTTCTAGGCCTTTGATAGTGCTCAAAGCATCATGCCAGGTTCCGTCTCTTATAATGACGTTTTGAAGGTCGACTTCTGTGAGTGTAGTTTTGTGGGTCTCCATCAAGCGCTTGATTTGAGGAGCTGATATGGTTACGTTGTTCAGTGTCAGGTGCTCGAGCTGTGGAAATAACGGCGCGGACGATGCAATTGTTGTTCTTCTGAACGCGGGATGAGTGTTTTGCTGTTCGATCGCTAGCTCGGGCAGTGGCGAAGGTCCTCTGGTCCCGATCCAGCGGAAAGAGAATCGATGCAGTCCTTTGTGGCTACAGACGTATTTGCGCAGTAGTTTTATCTGGTCGTTCTCCACTGATGAGTTGTATCCAGAGTAAATGGTGATGTTCAGTGCACGGATGTTAGACTGTGGTCTCGCAGAACCTGGGTGCGCGCCCATCGCCAAAGAAGATAGAGCTGTTAGATCTGTCAGGCGAGTGTTGCACAGAGTGACGGTGTCCAGATGCTTGAATCTGGCTTCTCCGATAGCGTAACCAAGGGATGTAAGTGCAATCTCCATGACGTCTATGCCTTGTGCTCGAGATGGCATTGCTTCATCTGCTGCAGAGCACAAGATTCGCAGATGTTGCAAGTTTGTCAAACAGGAAATTGCGCTGACGAAAGAATGAACATTCGTGGCGGCATGGAAGAGTGGTGGATAACGTCGAACCAATAACTCTGTTGTTTCTGCATCACCGTATCCTGGTTGCTTGGTCGAGTCTCCAGCAATATGGCCTCGGGCGACCATAGACTTCCAGACAAACTGCTTCTGCTCTCCGGTCCAGGGATCTATGAGAGGTGGTAATGTAGTGTTCATACTTTTGGGTAAGTGGAAAGTGACTTTCTTGACGTGATGGCCTATCCTCTGCAGAGCGGCGAGCCTGGCTGGTTTGCTAAAAGTCCTAGCTCGAAAGATGATGTTGATGGAAGAGAAGGACTGGCTCGTCACTCGCTCGCTGATACCATGGCACACAACCCGCAGCGCCGAGAGATCTGAGCGCGTGAGAAAAGGAAACAGTGTTTCCCGACAACTTTCAGCACTCCAGAATTCTAGAAACGACGGGTTGGAGCAGAGTATGAGGCCGCATATGGATCGTGCACTTGTGAANNGGCTGCACAGATAGGCGTCAGAACTTCGACTTGCATTGAAGATTGTGTAGACCTCACATTGGCTACAGGAGCTGTCCACTTCGCCAAACAGCAGTTGCGAACCCGAAATGTTGGACGACGAGATCGAGAAGGCAGTGGACGGTTTGCTGGTCAATGTTGTACCAGATAGACTCTTGCTGCTAGACTCCATAGTGCTTTGAGGTTGACACAATATGAGGTGTTCTTTGAGTGGTGGACTTGAAGAATGCGATGAGGGAGTTCGAATGAGGAAATAGATGGATAGAACAGTCACGATAAACCATACAATTATACCTCAGACCTACCTTTGCTGGCAGATGGATGAACCTCTCATCTTCTCACACTCGAAAGTTATACCCTTGCAAAGCACCTGCATGATCTTTGGGCTCTGATACTCTCGTCTCTTCACCAGAAACACGAATCTCTCACGGTCGCGAAGACGTGTTCGGAGGCATGGTTGGTTCTTTTATCCTGGTCTGCGTTAGCCGCCTGAGGTGTAGATCTCTTCGCCACATTTCAGGGCTGATGAATGGCCAATGGCTGCTGTTTGCTAAGCGCTGGCACCTGCATGCAACCAAGACTTGTCCAAGACTCTCGAGCGGACAGGAGAAAGAGCCGAGACCCTCTTCCACGGTGAAGATAGTGATAATGGTGACAATGCAAGCTACTCCGCGTAGAAATGCCGGACAGTCTCCAGAAGCGACGCAGAGATAATATCTCATAGTGTTTCTGGGGCTACACTTCAAGTATGGAGAGTCGTCATACATTTTGATAGCTGTACTGTGACAGTATTTAGCACACGTGGAGATGCCATTTGGAGTCGGACCTGTCCGCAGACACTGTTTGTTTAGCGACTCGAGCTCATCAAACATGTCCTTGCGTGACTGTTATATATGATAGTCAACGGCCAACTAGCCAAGACGATCTCAGCGAGCGGCTCGGCATAGATAAACCATGGACGAACACTTGAGCCGTTGGCAATAGAGAGCCGCTTTCAATGTTGAATTGAAACATGAATATTGTGACAATGATGCACATGGTACAGGTGAAAATGGTCGAACGATGAAAAGACGAGATGAGAATTCCGCTCAAGCGAAGCGTGGAGGTGGATGTCAAAAGAGCTCAAGGCTCGGACCGGGGCAAGCGTTGAAGCTTTGTGAAATGAGATGCAGGGTGTAGAGAGCTGAAGGAACAAGAGCTGAGATGAGGGGCCGAAGCAGTAAGCACGAAAGATGGATACGATCAAGACTATTGGCATAGGCCAAGCCTTATAGAGAAGTCAGGCGGATGATACGAGCGGGCACTGGATAGAATGGCATTGAATGTCTCAGCCATGGATGAACATCAAGCATAAGCAGGTAGAAGCGCCGCCGACAGGCCCGTTGCGGGTGCAGATTAGGCGTGCGGGCGGACAATTTGCCAACTAAAAGACAGATTTTGGCTGATGGACTGACGGCAAGACAACAGAAGCAGATGGAGAAGAAGATTGTGGCTAGGGCAAAGCTGAGGGAGAAATGCTCTCGATTGCTCGTCTTGGTATCGAAGGATCCGTGGATCTGTGTCGAGGCTTCTGACGGAGTGGGAAGCGGCGGAAGAGGCAGAAGAGGGTTCGGGTCTGTGCATTGCATACGTCAACGGTGATGGACAAGGGCAGGCAGAACCAAGTGAAGTGGTGCACCGTTTTCCTACGCCAAACTAATCTATCATCATCATTCTCTCTTTCTCTCTCTCCCTTCCGCTCTGAATTCCACCCTCTCAGACTGGCGCTGGCCATGTACGCACGCCTACGACACACGCATATCGGGAATTGATGCGTCCTAGGCCCTCGACATGCCGGGTCAACAAAGCAGCTGGTGGTCTCGAGTAAGCGGCGGAGGCAAGGTTGGCTTCGACAAGGCTTGGAATCTCGTCGACAAACTCGGTGCCCCCGTAAACAAACTGAGCAACAAACTGGGCTCCGAAGCCTTCTGGCCCACCACCCTCGACAAGGAGAGCGACAAGGCCGCGCGCATCTTGCGCAGTTTCTGCAGTACGCCCTAAGCCGTCCTACCCACTCTGCACCTCTGCTAACCACTCTGTTCAGAGGATGGCTTCTACCAGGAGGAAGCAACGACCGCGGCGACCGACGGCCCCACGGCGAAACAAAAGGTCCTCAAACACATTCCACCAGAAGTGCGTCTACCCATCTCTCCACACCCCACCACACTCCTCCTCTAACACCCCACANNGGTCATCAAGAATGCAAAAGGCCTCGCCATCTTCACAACAATGCGCACCGGTCTCTGGGTCTCGGGTGCCGGCGGTTCCGGTGTCTTGGTCGCCAGAACTCCTGATGGCAGCTGGTCACCACCCTCAGGCATCATGCTACATACCGCCGGCCTCGGCTTCTTGGTCGGAGTCGACATTTACGACTGCGTAGTTGTCATCAACTCCCAGAAAGCTCTTGACGCTTTCTCCAAAATCAGATGTACCCTGGGAGGAGAAGTCAGTGCTGTCGCAGGTCCTGTAGGAGCCGGCGGCATGCTCGAGACCGAAATTCACAAGAGGCAAGCTCCTATATTTACTTACCTTAAGTCGCGCGGCTTCTACGCCGGTGTTCAGATCGACGGTACCGTCGTCATTGAAAGAACCGACGAGAACGAGCGCTTTTACAACGAAAAAATCTCTGTAGGCGACATTCTAGCTGGCAGGATACGCCATCCCCCTGTCGAGTGTCGACCCCTTCTCGAGACCATCAAGGCTGCTCAAGGCGACAACGATGTCGATCAGTCTATGCTTCCGTCAGCTCCGCCGCCGAGCGACTTGGACATCAACAACCCCGACCATTTCTTCGGCATTCCAGACAAAGAAGATCCTGACCCTTATGGCGTTCTCGCTCTCGAAAAAGAAGGAATGAGCATCCGCGAAGCAGGCACACAGAAACGAGCCAGTTGGGAACAGTTCAATTTCCAGCCTTCTCCGACTAGCCCCATCTTCACCACCTTTGGCCGACCGAGTTTCGACAAGAATGGAAATCGCAACCGCAGCAGTAGCAACTCTACCTGGAAGACCTCCAACCTCTCGCAAACTGCCATTTCGACTGCAAGCACAGCAGTCGAGAAGCCCAAACGATCTAGTGTCACTCGTTCCATGTCAGACATGTGCACCCAGACCGACTTCCCCGAGCCCATCAGCCCACGCGTGGGCAGCTTCCGTAGCCGTCAAAGCAGTCTTCACGAAATAGCTGAAGATAGTACAGTGGTCTCGGAGCCGCGCCCTAAGATTGATCGCAATCCGAGCTCGCGTTCAACCCGTTCAAGCCCGAGACGCTCCTCATTCCGCTCGTCTCATCGCCGCACCGACAGCGGCAGCGACTCACGCTCAGACTCTCCTCCACAGCAACCGACTCCCGTAAAAACCGAAAACAAGGATATTGCAGAGGAGAGCTTTGATGACGTTGACGCAGACGGCGAGGACACTGCTGACGAAGCCATCATTGAAGAGCCCGTCGTGCACTCGGTGCAGAAAGCTACAGCTCCTCAATTCATCTCTCGTGCTCGTCTTGTCGAGGTCCCAAAGCGTATCACACCCAAACTCCCTCCCCGTAACCCCAACCGTGGCAAGGGCCCGGTAGTAATCAACGCCGAACCTGGAGCACAGCGTCCTTCTTCCACCGAGCTTTCAAGCCCTGAAGAGTCTCCTCTCAAGACCAACAAGCCTGATTGGAGTGCGCCTTCCAGCCCCAACAAGCTAGGCGCTGACATCAGTCCTGGCTTTGCAGACCCATCACCTAGTCCTGGCGAAGAACGAAACCCTTGGGGTCACATTCTGGCAGAGCACAAAAGAAATGAGAGCAAAGACTCTCTCGATATGCCTGGAACCTTCCACTCTTTGCCTCCAACTCCGGACGAGACTAGAGAGGGCGCCCACACGTCCTAGACGCACAAGATGCATTTATCTTTGGTGCCATCAAAAGTCATCAATCAGGATTTGCGACTATTTCTGTGCAAATATTGCATTTGAATCTTATAATTCTCTCTTTTGTTCAATGATGTTACGACAGCGGATTTTTCATCATCTTATTCCCTGCAGAATTCACGCATGACTCGGCGTATGGTGGGCGGAAAGCAGTGGGAAACCAGGATTCCTGGTTTCGGATCATCTGGGTGGACGTTTTTTCATATTTCACATGTCCTCTTCAAGCTTTTGGATATCATGTCTATACTCGTATACTCAAACTATGTGTCCAAACAATTTCGTAATACTTTGCTCGTGTGCCCACATCGTCTCTTCTCACAGTGCATATGCTTCTCTAGCTGTCCCATTCCACACTCGCTCCTTTTCTTGTTCTGTACAGTTCCTTTGGCTCAGCACTTCTTCTACGACATTTGTCCAGATGGGCCAGCTTTGCTCTCCCTTGGGACCTTTGACGTTGCACACTGGCCAGTCACTCCCAAACATGACTCTTTGCGGGCCGAATGCGTCAAAGACAACATCCGTCCATGCTTGTATCCTGCTTGCCAATTCTTTGGGATCTGCAGTATTGACTGCAGTTGCATCATTGCTGAGTTCTGAGAAAGCGCCCGAGAGTTTCATGAAGATTCCAGGGTAAGAAGCAAAAGTCTGGATGCAAGTTTTCCATCGCGAAAAGGAGTCGGAGGATGTGGACGTGTAGTCTGGCTTGCACATGTGGTCTGTTTTGTCTTCGTGTCAGTTGTCACATATGTATGGAGTAGCGGAAAGTGGTTGCTTACTCAAGACCAATACCGTTCTCTTATTTTCTGGCACATTGTCGTATAGTTTCTCCAAGACTTTGGTCAAGGTTTCCAGTTGCCAGGTTCCTCCGCTACGTTGATCGATACCGACATCAANAGTGAATTTTTTCTCTCGTTGAGAGAATGACTTTACGATGGAGATGAAATCGTCACTCAAGACCAAGCTCTCGAATTCGGTCTTGTCGGTGATGGCTTGCAGCANAAATCTGAAACCTCTCACGCGCTCCCAAGTCTTTGGCCCGGTGGTTTGTTCAGCTACTTCCAGCCATTGGGAAAACACTTGCGGTCCTTGGTGTACAGGTGCCCACGTCACAATGCCTTGGAGCAGATTAGAGGCTTCAGCACCATATTCACCCTCAACGATGCTGCGTAAGAACTGCAGTTCTTTGATGGGTTCTGCAGCCCAGGATTCTAGAGACGAGGTAGAGGGGTTTTGGAGGCGGCGATCTGTCTCTACGTAGATTACACCGGTGGGTGGATGTGAGGATGATGCTGTTGTGTAGTCGGAGAGGATGTGTTGTTTTGAGAGGATGAAGTTGGGGTCGTTCATCCATGCGTGGCCATTGGCGTCTGCAGCTGATGCTGGCCAGAGATGGATGTGGCTGTCAAGAATGGGATGTTTTGGTGACATGATTGGTGTTGTGTCCCTGTTCGTAGCAGTGTAGTGAGATATTGTCTTCGGTGGGATTCGGAGGGCAAAAGCGGTATCGGTAGTGGTTGAAACGAAGCCATGGACTCAACACCCGACAGTTGGACTCTGTCTTCGCGGACTCGGCGTGCTCGGTGTGATTTTATCGACACTCTTGTTGCGGGCACTCGTCCTCGGGCAGAGCTAGGCCGAGAGAAACTTCTGGGGAACGTGGGGCTCCATCATCCGCCGCCCCTTCGGTCTTCTTCGCGGTAAATGCAGCCGTGGTGCAATAAGAACGCCGCTCTGCCCCTCTTGCTCGTGCTTCAAGAAAAGGTTCCTTTGTTCTACTTTCTCTGCTTACGCTGGTATACCAATTCCTTTCAATCTGCAATGGTTTCATCTCCTCCCCCTTCGGGCATCTACGTCNNCCCGTATGTTCTGATCTTTAACCCCGCCAATCGAGGCTTCATGACATTGACCGGCTTGCAGGTGCCCACCTTCTTCGCTTCTCAGTCGGCATCCAACTACGATCCTGTCAACAACCCTCTAGATCTCGAGACTCAAACCAAGCACTCTCTTTTCCTTGTCAAGGGTGGAGTCCGTGGTCTCGTCATTCTTGGATCAACTGGCGAAGCTATCCACCTTACCAACAAGGAGCGCAACGAGCTCATCAGCAGCCAGCGCAAGGAGCTTGACAATGCTGGCTTCAAGGACAGACCTATCATCGCCGGTACTGCCACACAAAACGTCGAGGAGACTCTGATCCAGCTCGAGGATGCAAAGAAGGCTGGTGCCGAGTACGGTATGGTACTCACACCGGGTTACTTCGCTTCGGCCGCTAGCCAGCAGGGCATTGCCAAGTGGTTCGAAGCAGTAGCCGACAAGAGTCCCATCCCCATCATGATGTACGTATGACCAAAGCCTTATGCCTTGCGCAAGCACTGATGGTCTTCAACAGCNTACCACTACCCTGGCGTGACCAACAACATCGCTGTGGCTCCTTCGACCTTTGAACGCCTTGCTCAGCACGCCAACATTGTGGGCTGCAAGCTATCGCACGGCGACATCCCCGACCACACTTTGATCGCTTCGTCGCCAAAGATCGACCCTTCGCACTTCAAGGTCTTCTCAGGTCTGGGCCAAAACCTCCTGCCCGTCCTTACAATTGGTGGTCAGGGTGCCATCGATGGACTTGCAGGCATCTTCCCTCGCGTTGTGGTCAAGCTCTTCAACATGTTCCAAGAAGGCGCAGACAACAAGAAGCTGCGTGAACTTCAATTCAAGATCTGCGAGGGTGAGAGGTTGATTGGTAAGTGGGGCACTGTTGGTATCAAGGAAGCGATTGCAAGATGCTGGGGCTTTGGTGACAAGGAGGGAGCACGACTACCGCTACAGGGTGGTTTCCAGGGTGGTGAGCAAGAGTGGAGCAACTGGAGTGGTGTGTTTGAGGGACTGAAGCAGCTGGAGCAGGAGATTGAAAAGAGTGGTTAGATGTTGATGATGATCAGAATGCATAATGCGAATATCTAGTCAAGCTTCTGCGTTACGAAGTTAGCATGTTATGATTGGATGATATCGGAAATGTGATGTTGAGGGTATAGATGTTTGGGTCAGAAGGTGAGAGGATTGATAGTACTGGTTTTGAAATCAAGCAAACGTCCAACGCGCGACAACAAAATGAGGCTGTTGGAACAAGCGGATCATATGGCCCCAGCGTCTTTCATCAGGAAATGAGTTGGAGAGAGAAGTGAATTGGCTCACCTTGATACGCTCCGAGAAGACTTTGGAGGTGAATGCTATTGTTAGAGTAGGGCGATGCAGGTAGAAGGCAGACAAGGGAAGCAGAGAGACTGGCAAGGAAGGCGCAGAGAGGAAGGTGGTCCAAGCGCCGAGCTCCAAAGATTCGCGATCAAAGCGAGACGCGAAACAGCAAGAGCAAGCATTTATTGCATGCATTGGAAATATACACATAATCAACACCATCTGGACACGAGCGCAAACAGAAGCCCTCCATATACATCACATGTTTGCGAGATAGACGACCATGTTCAAGGTGCCCGACTCAGACCTGCCGTCGACGCCCAACTCGCGCCGCGACAATGACCATCCATCCACAACACCCGCACACCCACCGCCGACAGGATACACGAATGCCTCCTTCACTCCAGCCGGTCCTCCGCCTCCCAGTGTATATGGCAGCTCGCTCTTTGGCGAATCCCGCAACAACTTCCAACCGCACTCCAAAGCTACGAAGCCTGCCTTCGCAGTGCCTAGCAGTCCACCTCGCAACCATCACCAAGACTTTGACGACGACATGGATGCCGACGGCGAGAGCATCCCAGACGACTACCCGAACAGCCAATTGCCCGCCTTCAATTCTGCCTTTCCATCAGCCTTCCGCTCCGCCAACAAGCCAACACAACAGCCCGTCATGGTCTCATCACCCCGTGGTCTAAAGCGTTCGCGTTACGGAAATGTCATGGGCGATTCTTTGCGTCAGTCTACCGGCCTGCGCATCGAAAAGGACAGACAGACTGCCATTCCTGGCATTGCAAAGAAGATGGCTACCAGACAAGCCCCACCGCTGAGCGAGAGCGACGACATGATCCTGCGCACCGACTCGCTCATGGCCCAGCTGGACGCCGACATTAAGCTCGCAACCACACCCGTTCTTCCGAACCGCACGGCACAACAACTAGGCCAGCTCTGGCAGAAGCACTCTCAGATCAAATCACAGTCGGGCTCCATTGGCCCCAAATCAAACTCTGGTCTCGACAAAGCAAACTATTTGGCACAACTCGCTCTCCACCTACACCATCCCTTCTCCACATCTGTCAATGCGCCCTCCTCATACCAATCGAACACCGCCTACTCAAACCTCGTCATGTCTTCAGATCACCCCACTTCGATCCCCCGTGCCCTGCTCGACTGGCTGAACACCTACCACAACCCCTTTCCCGATGATCTTACAGATGTCGTGCGCTACCGTCCTACCCCCGTTGCTCACGATCGATTCTGGGACATAGTTTATGCCTGTACATTGCGCGGCGACATCCTCAACGCTATCAACTTACTAGAAACTGCAGATTGGTCGCAAGCCGAATCTGCTATCGAAGACGGTTACGATGAGCCCGGATACTCTGGAAGCCACCTTCACGCTATTCGTGAAGTCATTAGCCGCTGCGTGGATCTGCTCAGCACCTGTCCTGCTGTCACTGAGAATGACTGGGATGTGAAGGGCTCTGACTGGACCATCTTCCGCCATCGTGTTCGTCGCGAGCTTCAAGACTTGCAAGACTTTGCAGAAGCAGACAGTCGCGACAAAGACCAGTTCCCGCCTGCACCATTTGGCAGAGTGAGCATGAGTTTCAGCACTGCCAGCCGTCGTGCCGAGAGCAAGGTGCCTTGGCTCATCTACGAGAGTCTCAAAACCCTGTATGGTCAACTGCTGGGCAAGAGGGATGAAATCATGGTTGCTACTCAGGACTGGTTGGAGGCCGTGATCTTCCTCACTGCCTGGTGGGATGGCGAGGACGACGATGTCATGGACGATTTCGCTGCCAGCAGGCGTTCAATGCGCCAGTCACAGTCGATGCGCCAAGTCGACATCTCACCTGTCTTCGCGTACAAGAAACAGCTACTCCTGGCTTTCGCCGCTACTACCGACAAGCCGGATGAAGAAGAGTTCTACCTCAATACTGTCAGCCCTCTCCACGTCGGTCTTGCCTGCATCTGTGAAGATGACATCCAGGGCCTCGTGGGTATCTTGAAGTCTTGGTCCCTGCCTATCGCTTCTGCTATCGTTGAGTTGGCTACTGTCGCGGGCTGGATGCCATCTTCGGCAAGCAACATCTTGGACGCCTTTGACCAAGACGACTTGATGGTGTTGAGTCACGGTCAACCATCACAACCCGACTTGATCAAGCGCGATGACGTGCTGATACAATATGCTTCAGTCTTGGCCAAGAAGGACTCCTTCAAGAGTGCGACTGGCCGACCTGTGCAGGAGGGCTGGGACCTTGCTTGTCGTGTGCTTGGACGTCTTGATAGCTTCGAGACGGCCAAGTCGAAAATCTCAGAGCTGCTGAATCAGATCACCCTTGACTCGACGATGCGAGTAGATAAGGTCCTCGCTGTTCTCAATGAGATCGGTCTGCCTGATCAGGTTCGCGAGATTGCCGAGCGCTACGCTGATGATCTGGCAGCTTCTAGTCAAGACTATGGTTGTGCTCTGATCTACTACGCACGTGCACACGCCTCGCAGAAGCTTCGCAGTACCATTGATCTGCTTATCTCATTGTGTCTGGTGCAGAGTGCTGCATTCCCTCCACAGGCAATTATCGATCCGCAACTTGATGCTCTTCTCAACGATCAACATGCCACTCTCCACCAGGTCGCACGTCAAGACGTTGCAGCTGCTCAACTTCTTGCATCACATCTCAGTGGTTACGCAACACTTCGCCGCTTTTACGACTTACGCGACGCGGACGCTGCCAAAGATACAGCTGAAGCTGATGTTGAACATGATGAAGAAGTTGCGAGTCGCAAGCCTGGCATGTTAAGGCCATTGGCCCGCAAGCGCGAAGCAGCCAGGGCATTGATGGCCGTCATCGAGTCCGCCGCGGATAGTATTCGNGGNGGTTTGTATGATTCTGAGGCTCAGTCTGTGGTGCAGGTGGACGCTTTGATGACTTTGTTGTGTGAAGCATTACCTCTAATGAATCGTAAGTTACTATCGATCCTTGCCATACCTAGTAAAGCAGAAAGTTGCTGACCCAATGAGCANGAAACAAAGCAAATATTGAAAACGCCGCACCTCCTTACTCTGATCCGCGCAGTTGAAGACCTCGAGACTATCACCCCAGGCATCTACGCTCAAAATTCCGCCGTCTTCAATGCTGCAATCAACAGCTATCTCTCAAACCCAACGACACCTGCTACCCTTACGCCATCATCCTCAACCCCCGATCTCAGCAAGTCAATTGCAGGCCTGAAGCAGAGCGTGAGCTGGAACATGGTCAACAGCAGTGGCAGCATCGCTTCTGAACAAACCGGCAATGGCGATTCCAGTGCTGGTGTGATGGGAGGTATCCAGGTGAAGAGAGCATGGGACTGGAGAGTCGGTGCTGTGTATATGAAGGGCAAGAGCGTTAAGCCCGAAGACGTGATGCGAGTCCTTAGGAGCCAGGTCGCTATCGAGATGGGCAAGGTGTGGATGTAAATGCCTCTTTCTTTTCGTTTCAGCCAATAGCATTATGACTTTGGAGGCAAATTGGTTTTTCTTTTCGCACGAGGATTGGGAAGGTTAAGAGAAGGAGAAGAGCAATGCATATATATCTGCTCTCGGCGAGCATCTCCGGAATGACCGAACATGAATTCCATGCCTTATCTGGCATGTTCAAATCCTGTTTGTGACATAGTATGTTGTTTCTGTATCATCTCAAGACCAGGAACTGTAGCTCTTCTACTTTAACCAACGTGACTCGGCTCATCTGTCATGTTTCTTATCGTAGGCATACTTTGTCAGACAACGCGAGGAGCGGGTCATGGCCATTGATCCGCACAAGGGTACAAGTATACCCAGTATAGAAGAAACCGACCGAGCCGAAGATCTACCGTGATAAGCTCGAAAGACCCTGCTTTAGCCCAGCCACTCCATCTTGTTTCATCGTCTTGTCTCACCACTTCCACCTGTCGTGTTTGCTGGATATCAAGGTCTGCTTTCTTGTATACCACCTTACTTCCCATGATTTCTACCGTAGATGTTTGCTTCATATCTCACGGCCGTAATGCACTCTACGGACTGTATACGAGCAGAGAGGGGTCGCCAAGGCACAATCGCTCAAATAGGAAGCTAGGAGATCTGCTCTTGCAGAGTTAGCAGCCGAGCATGGCCCTTATCAAATATGGAAGGTATAGTGTGCAAGGGCGGAGCCATCATTCGCAGCTACCCAATCTGCTGGAATCTGAGAGATGAAAGCCAATCTATAAGTTCGAAGCAAGACGCACATCTTTTGTTTTTTTCCCTTTCTTTTATCACTCATCACTCACCACCGTCATGAAGAGCGTGTGGACATATTTTTCAGCATTCTTAGTTGGTAGCGTGCCGTTTGCACAGGCATTCAAATGGCGCTCCGACCATTTGGCTGGTGAAGACGAGCATGCGTTGGCCAAAGTCATGGCCTCTTCCCACACAGGCAATGCGACATTCAGACAGTACATTGACCACGACAACAAGGATCTCGGAACCTTTGAGCAGTTCTACTTCTACTCGACTGAGTTCTATGGTGGCGAAGGCTCGCCCATTATCTTGTTCACTCCTGGAGAGACCAACGCTAGCGCTTATACGAGCTACCTTACCCTCAACAGGACTACTGGTGTCCTTGCAAAGGAAATTGGTGCTGCCATAGTTTGTGAGTCAGACTACAATACTAGTCGGGTTCTCGAAGACTGTGCTAATCAAAATTCTTAGGCNATTGAACACAGATACTGGGGCTACAGTTCGCCGTATGCTGACCTCACAACCGAGAACTTGCAATACTTGACACTCGACAACTCGATCGTAAGTCCTGATTCATTCATAAATTTCTCCCGATCGACTTGCTGACCTTGTCGATAGAGCGATCTGACAAACTTCGCGAAACACGTGCGCCTTCCCTTCGACTACCACAGAAAGTCTTCGCCAAACCGTGCACCCTGGGTCATGATGGGCGGCTCTTACTCTGGAGCTCTGTCCGCCTGGACTGCTTCAACTCAACCTGGTATCTATTGGGCGTACTGGGCTTCAAGTGCCCCTGTCCAATCGATCCTCGACTATTGGCAATATTTCGTACCAATCCAGCAGGGAATGCCCAAGAACTGCTCGTCCGACGTGTCTCTGGTGATCGATCACATCGATTCAGTGCTTCTAAATGGTACCGCTTCGGAGATTCACTCGCTTAAGCAGTCCTTTGGTCTCGAGGATCTGGAGCACAATGACGATTTTGCCGCCGCTCTACAGAATGGCCCTTGGCTCTGGCAGGGCAACCAGTTCTATAGGAACACTGGCTTCTTCGACTTCTGCGACGCCGTGGAGAATGTCAAACCTAACAGTACCAATACCACTCTCCCTGGCCCCGAGGGCGTTGGCCTCAAGAAGGCTCTGGCTGGCTATGCTGATTGGTTCAACACAACTTACTTGCCAGGCAGCTGCGAGGGATATGGCTACAAAGAGTGGGAAGGTGAACGCAACATCCAGTGCTTTGACACCTATAACGCTTCGTCACCTATGTACACCGACACGAGCCTTAGCAATTCGCTAGATAGACAGTGGGTCTACATGACATGCAACGAGCCATTCGGATACTTCCAAACTGGAGCTCCCGAAGACCGCCCTTCCATCGTCTCGCGTTTGAGCAATGTCGACTACTGGACCCGTCAATGCGCGTTGTTCTTCCCTCCATCCAACTCCTCAGTTGTTGGATTTGATAGAGGCGCCACGACAGCACAGGTCAATGCAAAGAATAAGGGTTGGAACAACTACTCGCCTGGACTCCTCTATGTCAACGGTGACTACGACCCATGGCGTGAGGCTAGTGTCTCTTCAGACTTCAGACCCAACGGTAAACTGGCAAACTCCACCCGAAACCCAGTTGTCATTGTGCCTGGTGGCTTCCACACGAGCGATCTGGTTACACAGAATGCAAAGAGCAATGTTGGAGCCAAGGCTGCCATCGATGAAGCTGTTGGTATTATGAAGCAGTGGGTCGGCGAGTTCAAGCATGGCAAGAAGTGGTTCGAAGGGTAGATGTTGAAGTGAGATGCTGTGGTTTTGGTTGATCTCGCTTCGCCAGTCGATGGGATATGGCACTTCATCAATAACGTGACAAGTGAACAAAGATTTATCGTTTTGCTTCCATCCGGAATCTCAGTGGTTGAAGACTGCTTTTATCTCTTTCTCGTTCCCCGCACATGGTTTTATTTAGGATCTCACGAGTCTTGGTGACAACTTACATCGCTACCCAGCTTCAAGTGTACAACAGTCTGCGCACCGATAGTCGAAAGTTCGACGACTCCAACGGAGTTCTCTACATGCCTAAAAACCATCTTTCGAATCCACACCTTACGCTTTTACACAATAGAACAGCAGAAGCCATTTTCGTACACCCACAAGCAAAAGCACAAAAAGAATGCTGCGGCGAGTGAGATTCGAACCCAAGATCTCTGCATCTTCATGTTACCGGATTTGGGGCCCCAAAGATCTCCGCAGGCGTTAGCCGTACAGGGGTTTTGGTGGTAACATTACCGAGCTTGTGTTTGCAAGACACATTGATGACAGCGTCTTGACCACTGGACCACCGCCGGTTTTTGATGGTGGAAACAAAAGTGGGAAGGTCATGTAGGGTTGGGGAAGTGGAAGAGTACTACAGACATAAGCCCACGGACGGACTCAGAAATGATCAGTGGATGGCAGCAATGCTTCCAATGCTCAAGTCTGTATTCCAGATCATAAAATATAAGAATATACAGTAGTTCTACCAGAGCACACTAGTGCTGATTGTAGCGGCTTTCTTTGGATAGATATCAGTGTTTGAGGATTACTATGCGCTCCAGGGACATAGAGAAGATGTAAGAGCCAACGTTCAGGTAACGTTGGAGATAATTGATGCTTGTAGTTGTTCTCTTCAAGAAAGCGAGGGTACATTGACAGCACTCAGAACATTGAACGAACAGGATAGAGGCGGTTTGCACCAGCTTTTGCAACCCAACCATTACCGTGAGTTGATAAGACGACAGTACTGTAATTGATTAGAACATCCGAACATCGGCATAGTGGAGAGATGTAGAGCTCGTCACTGCTCAATCGCAACCATGATAAGCGTTGTTGAGGATGAGCAATCCACCATCTACTATTGCGCCATCCAGGCTTGGTATGGGTGGACACGCTTGCACCGTGTCTAGTGGGCGCAGATCCCATCAGACCCCGCCATATGAGACCTCGAGATTGTATGATACATTCAAGGGAGTGCAACTCTGAATCTTTCAAGATCTTTTCGTTTTTTGCTGTCTTTTATTGTTCGTTGCATCGCCAACATGTTCACCGATACTGCCACTGAGCATCCTTACGCTCCTGAGCTGTCGCAGACTAAGACTACCATTGATTCTCCAACGAGCATGAATGCGACTCGAGCAAAAGGTCGCAGAGCAGATTCACCACTGGAAAGCGAATTGCCTCTACAACAGAACGTAGCGCTTTTGCAGGCAGCTCGCGAGCGGCTCGTCCTGACGCAGGCTTACCCAGTCCCTTCTCCAATCAAGGATGACGAACTAGTCGTAGAGATCAGAGCAATTGGACTCAACCCAGTGGACTGGAAATCAATGTACGCTTCTGTGTCCAAACGAAACCTTCGACATGACTGACGACGAGTTCAGNNTGACTACAACTTCGCCATCCCTCAACTACCGTACATCGCGGGACGCGACTTTGCCGGCGTTGTTATTCAGGCACCTGCCACTCCTAGTCGTCTTCGAGTCGGTGATCTGGTAAGACGACACATGGTCAGCAAGATATGTCAGCCGCTAAGATTTATGACANNGGTTCTCACTCCATCAACAGATTATCGCGATATCAGGAAATCGGCGTTCCAAGAGTATGCGATCTCCACACATCACAACGTAGCCATGATACCGAGGAACACTCCGATCCCGCAGGCTGCTTCAATCGGAGTGGCATATGTGGCTGCGGCACTCGCTCTGGGCGTCAGTCTTGGACTGAAGCTATCTGGTATACCTGGTCAGGACGATGTCGACCTTTGGGAAGCAGTCCGTCAATTGCCTTCCGGGGCAGTTCCTGTCGATGTTGTGGAGGAGTGTTTGTCCGGGATCGAAAGCGCAGAACGTCCTCAGCCTGGTGACTGGATTGCCATATACGGTGGCGCATCCACGAGCGCACTATTCATCTCAGAGATCGCCAGATTAGCAGGACTCAGAGTCATACTCCTTGCCGATGGCGTGAAGCACGGTGGACGACTTATAGACCGAGAGGGAAGCGTTCTCGTTGACAGCCACGATCATATAAGAGCGATAGAGATCGTTCGATCGATCACAAAAGGAAAACTCAGATTTGCGGTTGATACTGTCGGCAAAGAGACAGCAGGATACTTGGTACAGATGTTGCAAGCAGACGCGCAAGGAGGCAAGAGAGCTCATCTCGTGGGGCTGGCTGGCATACCAAAGGAGACGACTGGTGAAGTGGTGTTCCATTCAGTACCGATCAAGCTTTTTCATGAGGTGCCGTGTATTGGTCTCGCCTTGATGAACTGGTTGGAAAGAGCTTTGGAGACTGAAGCAGTTGCACTTCCAGAGGTTGAGCACATGGAAGGAGGATTGAGCGTTCTCAACCCTGCATTGGACAGAATGCGGCGCGGCGAGATTTCAGGTCGCCGTTTGGTGGTCTCTTTGTAAACCGTTCGACAACTTTCGTGTCATTGTAGATTTGGATAGATAGAACCTTAGAAAGGAAGGGGGTTTGAGGTGTAGTCAGCAAAGCAAACAAGACAAACTGACGCTGGCCAAGCGCCGTTTCTCCCACCACGCGTGGCATCTCTTTGCTCCCGCTCCTAACGCGTCTTGCTCTCTCTCAAAACGATTGTCTGATGTTTGGGCATCGGTGCAGTCTCGCAGCTACAATTTTGTTCATCACAATATTGATTTTCCCAATACTCGTCGCGTACGATGACCCAAAATCATATATTGTCTCGCAATCCTGCAGGCCGCAATAATCTGCTGAAGCTTCCATTCGACCCCACCTATGTACACCACATTGCGAGCTCGCACGCAATACCACATGCTCTGGGCGGATATCATTTCGCAATTGCACACCATATCCCTATGGTCCTGCATCTCAACCAAGGTACGAGTTGCCTAAACGCTAGTATCTCCATATCGTTTGTTTTGCATGCATCGTAAAGGTATATCTTCTCTGATGTGTCTCTTGTAATTTTATCCTCTAAAAAAGTAAACAACAATGTCTGCTATCACAATTCTCGAACCAAGTGACACCGAAGTTGGCCATAAGACTTTGAATGGGAAGTCACCGACCTTGATAGAATTGGATACTTCCCAGGAGGATTGGGTATATCCTTATCCTACTGATTTCAAGATACACGAGCATCCTCTTGATGAGATTCGCGAGCTCAAGGTACAAGCATCAGACATAAATTGCGATGGTCAACTGACCATTGTATAGGTAGTCGTCATCGGCGCCGGTCTTGCAGGAATCATTGCAGGCGCGCTCTTGCCTCCTAAAGTTCCAGGCATCGAACTGACTATCTTGGAAAAGAATGCCGATTTGGGTGGAACATGGTAATGTCATTATACTTGCGAGTACTGCAATAACTAAAGCAATCACAGGTACGAAAACGTATACCCAGGAGTCCGATGTGATATTCCTGCCCATGTCTACCAGTCCACATTCTCGCCGAACTCCCAGTGGAGCGAAGAATACGCCCAAGGCTCGGAGATCCGCGATTACTGGCAAAACGTGGCCAAAAAGCACGACGTATACTCGAAAGTCAGGTTGCAAACCAAGGTCACNGGGGCCTACTGGGAGTCAGAAAGATCGCAGTGGAGAGTGGAAACACGAGATCTCAAGAGTGGGGCAGAGGAGAAGGAACACTTCGATTTTCTGATTCCTGCTATCGGTCACTTCAACGAGTGGAAACTGCCAGATATTCCAGGCATCAACGATTTTCAAGGTCATCTGAGGCATTCATCTAACTGGGATCCCAACTTTGACCCGAGCGGCAAACGCGTAGCGACCATCGGCAACGGAGCATCAGGCATTCAGATAACTCCCGAGCTACAAAAGGTTGCTAGTCACGTCGATCATTATGCACGCAGTCGAACTTGGATTGCTGGTTCATTCAATCCAAATGCCAAAGACAGACAGTCTACACCGATGTATGTCCCTCCAGAGCAGCTTGAGTCGTTCTCGGACCCCAAAGTTTACCTCGAATATCGCAAGAAACTAGAAGGCTCTTTCTGGCGAAACTTCGACGCACAGCTCAGAGACTCAGAAACCAGCAAAACTTCCGCTCAAAACTTCAGAGAATTGATGCGCAAGAGGTTGGCAGAGAAGCCCGAACTATTGGAGCAAATATTGCCTGACTTTCCTCCACATTGCCGCCGTCTCACACCCGGTCCTGGATACCTAGAGGCTTTGACAAAGGGCAATCTTAGCTTTATCCAAACTCCTATTTCACACTTCACAAAAGACGGAATTGTGACAAACGATGGGGTATATCGCCGTGTCGACGCCGTTATCTGCTCCACAGGCGCAAATGTCGACTTTGCGCCTCCTTTTCCTATTGTTGCTGGTCCATATGATCTGTCTCGCGATTGGCGGCCAGAAGGGAAGTTTGGCTTTCCCTACACCTATATGGGTGTTGCAACCCCTGGTCTTCCTAACCTTCTGCAACTGCATGGTATGTTCTCATCTTTGTTGGAAGAATAGCTCGTGCTGACGTTTTTATANGGTCCCAACGGCTATGGATCGTCAGGAACAGTTCCACACTCGGTTGAAGTACAAGCAACATACATTGCCAAAGTTCTTCGCAAAGTTAGCAGCCAAGGTATTGCGAGTATTGTGCCCAAGAAACATGCTGCCGATGCCTTTGTGGAGTACTGCGACGCTTTCTTTCCTCGGACCAACCTTTCTAGGAAATGCAGTAGCTGGGCGAATGGCCGGCGTCCTGGCGGTAGAATACATGGACTGTGGCCAGGAAGCGCTACGCATTTGACCAACATCAAGAGGGAACCACGCTGGGAAGACTACGAGTACACCTACGTCAACTCGGATAATATGTTCGCCTATTGGGGCAATGGTGTAACCAAGAAAGAATTCGACCCGGAAAGTGACATGACACCTTACTTGAAGCTACCCGAAGAGCTGGATTTGAGAGACTTGCACGAGCGCTGGTGGGACCTGTGATGCGAATGGTCATGGTCCCAAGACGAGCTGTCAATAGGCGAGGAGACCTTTGTATTTGCGGTTATCAATAGATATTGAACAGCTCGACGAACAAGACACAAGTCCCTGGAAGGATGTTCATACTGCCTACCAACCAAAACAATCCAATAAGCAAGAGCTCAGACATCCACCACTGGAATCGATTGATTGAGGTCATGCATTTCTCTTGGTGCTCCTTCCGGTCAACAGCTACGATTTCAACGCGAGATGACGGTGCTTCCTGCTTGATCCAGTCCATCGTCGTATCCGCAGAGTGCCTGCCCTGTACTTTGACTGACGTAAGCACGTCATCGCTCTCAATTTACACGTGCTATTGCAACCATCGGACATCGAGATAAGAACCCAAAATCTCTTTCCATGTCAATGATCGACCTCAACAATCATCAAGTCCATGACCCCGCTCAATATTGCGCTATATACCTGGATGTTGCGTGATAGAGGGGTCGCCGAGGGCGGTCTTGTTTACAACTTCATCGAGGTGTGACTCTGGACGTGCATTTCAAAAGGCTCAGATATATTGTAGACCTTCTGGAGTTTCTTGAGTTTCGCCCTGCTCAACAATTCTTCATTCCAGCAAACATTCACGACCATGAGCGAAACAACTACGAATGGTACCCCTGCGAAAAAGCAGCTCATTCTCAATGCTTTCGTAGAGTCATGTGAGTTGAAATTACCACACCAGCACACGTCGACTGACAGGTTTCAGGTNAGCGGACATCAATCTCCTGGCTTATGGCGACACCCAGACGACCAGTCTACGAACTTCAATAAGATACAACATTGGGTTAAGCTGGCTCAATTGCTTGAAAAGGGCAAAATTCATGGCATTTTCATTGCCGATGTNCTTAGTGAGTGTATCTGAGGTCTACATGACAGATCGATCAAGGACTGATGATCACATTCTTTCCAGGGTGCGTATGATGTCTACAAAGGACCCCAGAACCCTGACCCGGCAATCATCTCTGGTGCTCAATGGCCAGTCAACGAGCCTTTAGCGACCGTGCCTGCAATGGCGGCAGCTACAGAGAACATTGGCTTTGGTGTCACTGTTTCGACCACCTACGAGCAGGTAAGCAATACTAAGCCACCTGCAACATATTGTAGGACAAGCAGACTGACAGCTGTTAGNCCTTATCATCTTGCTAGACGTCTGAGCACAGTTGACCATTTGTCTGATGGTCGCGTCGGGTGGAATGTAATTCTCAATCCTCTTCTTCGGAAGAACCCAAGGACTAATGAAACTGCGATANNGGTCGTCACTGGATATCTCGATTCAGCGGCTAGGAACCTCGGACGCACCGAACAACCAGAACACGATGATCGCTATGCCATGGCTGAAGAGTACATCGAAGTAATGTACAAACTGTGGCAGTCGTCCTGGAGAGACGATGCTGTCAAGCTTGACCGCGAAAAGGTTGTCTACACCGATCCAACTCTGGTCAGAAAGATCGACCACGTAGGCAAATATTATAACGTTCCCGGACCTCATATTTGCCAACCTTCTCCCCAGCGGACGCCAGTCATACTTCAGGCAGGTACCTCCAAAGCTGGTAAAGAGTTCGGAGCNAAAAATGCAGAAGCTATCTTTGTATCCGGCCACAGTCCTTCGGTTATCGCAAAAAACATCGCCGAGATTCGAGCTTTGGCGAAGGAGAAGTATGGCCGCGATCCAAAGAGCATCAAGTTCCTCGCCTTACTCTGTCCCATCATCGGCAAGACTCAGGAAGAGGCAGATGCAAAGTACCAGGAATACCTCAGTTATGGCTCTGAAGATGGCGCTTCTGCTTTGTTTGGAGGTTGGACTGGCATTGATCTTTCACAATATGGTGATGATGAAGAGCTTCGCCACGTGCAGTCCAATGCAGTCAGATCGGCTGTTGAGGGCTGGTCGAAGACTACACCAAAGGTTGCAAAGTGGACTAAGCACACTGTTGCCAACCATATCAAGGTCGGCGGTCTTGGAGCTACTGTTGTCGGCACTGCAGACGTTGTTGCGGACGAAATGGAACGCTGGGTTCGAGAAGCCGATGTGGATGGTTTCAATATCGCGTACGCGTTATTCCCCAGGACTTTTGAGGAGGTGATTGAACATCTGCTACCAGTCCTTAGGGAGAGAGGTTTGTTCTGGGAGGATTATGCTGTTCCGGGAGGCACATACAGAGAGAACTTGTATGGGAGGAAGGGGCTGGCTCGACCNCCTCAGGGTCATCCTGCAGCGGCTTTCCATTGGAAGGCAGATTGAGTGATGAATGGACGCAGCTAACAATATCGTAAGCTATTACGTCGCACTGTTGTTTTCTAAAAAGACTTGTACAATGTTGTAGCCATCATGTGACCTTCTTCAGCATACAGGAAGACTGTGGCCAGAAGTTCTCAAAGTTCGGCAGCTGCGATCCACAACACTCTGTCACATGCCTTCCTACGAGTGTATCTTCGTTGATCGGCAGTCGCACATGGACTTTTCCACACTGCCGTGTCCACCATATAACGCCATCGCTCCAGCACATCACATCACCCTCAAGGACGAATCGCAAAGCTTAGCGTGCATGACAAGCGTGTCAACTTTTGCTTATCACAACTCGCTCAACTCGACGCGTTTGGAGTTGAATGAACTCTATTTAGAGCTCTACATGCGACCTCGGAGTATATCTCAAGATTTAGCACGCACTTGCCGCGTTGAGGATGATTCCATTGCCAGTCGTTCGCACGTCAGCATCGACATTAGGTACACTCCGCTACCTTCACCTATTTGCAATACATGCAGTAAGTTATAACATGCAGACGTGCCCATACCGGACTCGCTGTTCAGGTACAACAGACAAGATATCATCACAATGGCAGAGGCACTCCTCAATCAAGCTCACGGCTATGGCATCATCATCGGTCTTTCCATCTTGTTTTGCCTTATCATCCTCGCTGCCATCCGAGTACAAAAACGATACCTGTCCGAGGACAGCGAGCAATCCGAAATGTTCATGGTTGCCAATAGGTCTGTGGGCACCGGCTTGACCGCGTCTGCTGTTTTCTCGAGTTGGTAAGTTACACTCCTGGTTCTTTCCTCCGGGAATACTAACACTGTCAAAACACAGNNGATGTGGATCAACGAAAGTGTCATTTGTGCCGCCTATACTTACAAGTGGGGCATCGCACTGCCAGTATGGTGGGCATCCGGCCTATCCTTCCAAATCGCCTTGATGGCTCTCCTTGGTATCGTCGCAAAACTGCGTGTCCCTTACGCACATACCTCGCTGGAGTTCATACGTATGAGATATGGCAAATATGCTCATATGATATTCATTATTTTAAATCTTGTCAACAACATCTTCGGATGCGGTAGTATGATATTGGCCGGTGCTCAGCTGGTCACTGGTATGACTGGGGTGCATGTCATTGCAGCTTGCATCTTGATCCCTGCTGGTGGTAAGTCAATTTATTCGAGATAGCATAGGCATATACTGATTTGAGAGTANGTCGTCATATACACAGCTGTCGGTGGCCTCAAAGCAACCTTTATCACGGACTACCTTCACACCGCGATTGCCCTAATCCTCTTGATCTACTTCTCCTTATCTGTCCTTACCAACGAACATATCGGAGGTATCTCTGGCCTGTATCACAAAGTCAAAGCAGCAGACGACCACATTGAAGGAAACTACATGGGTTCTTTGTTGACCATGAAGTCAAAAAAAGGTATGTAATCTTAACCTCTCAATTTCAATGCTGTGTATTGATCAATCCTAGCTGTACTCTTCGGACTAGTCCTCAAATTCGGTAATCTAGCTCTGGTACTCATGGATACAGCTTTTTGGCAAAAGAGTTTTGCTTCCGAGGTCGAATCGGTCGTTCCTGCCTACGACTTGGTCTCTGTCGTCATTCTTGCAGTCCCTTGGTGCACTGGTACCATCATTGGACTGGCTGGGAGAGCTATCGAGAAAACACCAATCTGGTTTGACTACCCGAATCTTCTGACCGAGACACAAGTCAACTCTGGACTTGTTATGCCTTTTGTGCTTCGCTCTTTACTCGGTCAAGGCGCAACAACTGGTCTTTTGGTGCTGATATTTATGGCCATTACTTCCACGGTATCGTCGTCTGTCATCGCAGTCTCGAGTATCATATCGCTCGATTTCTACCGGTCGTATATCAATCCTGAAGCTTCCGACCGTAAGGTTCTGAAGGTCAGCCACTTTGGAGTCGTTGGTCATGGCTGCTTTATGGCCGGCTTTGCAATCATGTTGCAGTACGCCGGAGCAACAAACAATTGGTCGACGTACTTTAGACCCATCATCGCCTGTCCTGGCATCTTTCCTCTCATGTTGACACTGCTCTGGTCTCGACAAACAAAGGCAGCTGCCATTTTGTCGCCCATCTTAGGCCTGATATCAGGTGTCGCGACTTGGCTTAGTTTGTCCTATGTTTGGGGAGGAAAGATCGATATCCAGACAACTCAGCAACAACTACCCGGTCTTTATGGAGCGATCGTGTCATTTTTCTCACCTGCATTGTTCTCTGTCGTCATCTCTCTTGCGCGATCGAGCAGGTTTGACTGGAGAGAGTTCTTGAGGATCGATTTGATTGAAGATAGCACTCAGCCCAGCACTGCTTTGCCTTCACTCCAAAACAGCAAGGAAGACATCACTGACCTTTCTCGGCCAGCCAAAGCTACCCAAGCCGTCATCGGCGAGAAAGACCAGAGTGTTGTTGATGCAGAAGCAAAGAGTGGACTCGTCAGCCCTGCCACATCGTTCTCGACCGGTAGCGGTAACCTCGACGATATCACTCACCCCTTCAGTGTCCAAACCATACGCCACATAAAGAAGTGGAGAAACTATGCCGCTGGATATTTTGTTCTCAATCTACTCGTCACGGTAGTTTTCTGGCCAGTACCCTTGTATCGAGACTGGATATTCACACTACCCTTTTTCAAAGGCTGGGTGACTATGGCGATCATCTGGCACTTTGCTGCCATGATGGCCGTGATTGTATATCCAGTATGGGATGGAAGATATGTCATCAGCACGGTGCTCAAAGGGATAAGCAAAGAGCAGAGCAGTGGAAGGCAAAAGTCTTGATAGGATGTTCGTATTCGTAGTTACAGATAAGGGTTACAAATATACTACTACAAAGTAAAAGAAGATAGAGGCAAATGAGAAGATTAGAAGAGAGAGTAATACGAAAAGTTCGTGGGTCCAGAGAAAACAAAACGCCATCATCAGTAATCAATCATTCCGAGTTTACTTGCGAACAGCTGTTGCAAGAGTAGTGGGTGCACGCGCCTGCACATTGGCGGTGGCAGTCACAACGACAGTGACGGGGTACTTGGAACAACTTGATAGGACACCACCCAAGAGACCACAGCTAGAAGTCGTGCGGACGGTTGTGTATGTTGTCGGGAGCACAGTGGCTCCAACAGAAGCGCCGAGGAGTCCGCCCGACCCAAGAAGGCCTAGATTCGCGTTGACGGAGCCGAGGGGCCTAATCCAATGGTTGCACACACGTTGACTAGAGAGCCAGTGCCGCAAGAGGTGGAGAAAGAAGTGACTGGTGTGCCGTTGATTGTGGTCAATACAGCAGGGCTTGTAATCGAGGGAGCAGAAGTTATGGTTCCGGATGCGCCTGTAGGAAGTACAGTGACGCCAGCAGAGGCATCAGCAACGCCACCCGAGCCGAGAAGGCCAGCATTGAGGTCTATGCTTCCAAGTGGACCTAGACCAACAGTTGCGCACAGGTTAACGAGAGAACCAGTACCGCACGAAGTGGAGAAAGAGGTTATGGGTTTGCCACTGATAGTAGTCAGGACAGCAGGGCTTGTGACTGCGGGTGCGGCAGTTGTGCCAGATGATCCTTGAGAGGCACCAACACCGACGCTTGCCAGATTACTGGAGGATCCTGTGGGAAGGACGCCAGCATTGAGACTAATGGTTCCAAGATTACCTAGGCCTAAGGTAATGCAGGCATCAACGACGTTGCCGGTACACGACTTCGAGATGGCCGTGATAGTGTTGCCGTTAGTCACGAAGGTGGTAGGCAAGACAGCACCGTTCGTAAGGGAAGGGAGCAAGGTAGCGCTGACATCTGCACTGACAATTCCGCTAGAGGGAAGAACATCGGCACCGAGGCTAATGGTTCCGAGAGGCCCAAGACCGAATGAAGCACATACTCCAAGGAGGGCGCCAGTCCCACATGATCTAGAGATAGCAGTGATGGTATTACCGTCGATGACCGTACTGGTAGGGATGACTGCAGGGCTTGTGATTGATGGATTCGATCCACTGACACCAGCTCCAAGCTCAAGAATGCTGCCATCACTTTGGAGAGCGCCCAAAGTTGCAGTGGCCGATGGGCCAACACCCACTGCCAAGCATACAAGTCCTGAGCACTGAGTCGAGGTTGCCGTGTACAGACCGCTGGTACCTGAGTAGGTGGTCGGGGTAGCACCTCCGTTGCCGCCAATTCCAAGGTTTACGTTGACACCATCCAAGAGACCAAGGGTGACGCACAAGTTAACCAGATCACCTCCGCAGCTAGTCGTGATTGAAGACGCGGTCGAGCCAGGGGTAGGAAAATACCGCTCGTGATAGATGCAACGTTGCTGGTGACAGAACCAAGGCCGCTAGTGATGCCAGAGACATCAGAAGAAATAGGGTCGGTGGCTTGACTCAAGATTGAGCTAATGGCGCTGCTGGGGTCCACTGCAGTGTTGATTCCGCTGACCTCGGATGCCAAAGAGGAAGCTACACCAGAAGGCAAAACATCGGTGGGAAGTGCAGTGATTTCGCTGGCGATTGAGCTAAGTACGCTTGATCCAAGAGATGTTGCGCTAGTCAGACCACCAATGATGGATGAGACTTCAGAGGGGATGGCCGAGGTCAGAGATGAGAGACCTAGGCTAATTCTGGAAGTGGCTGCAGGGTCAACGATGGAGGATACCAAGCCCGAAGGAATAGAGGTGGCTGTAGGCAGCTCAGAGATGAGCGAGCTCAATGCGCCAGTGTTGACGCCACTAGCGGTCGAAAGCTGCGAAACCAGGGACGAGAGCTGACTGCCAATGATGCCGGTGGCTGTCGATGCCTCAGATGCAAGGCTTGACAAAACACCACTGGGAACAGCAGAGAAGCCTGGAAGAGAGGGTCTTGAACTCGAGGAACCAGCGTTGATAGCTGACGAGATCAAGCCAGATGGCAACGAAGTTGCGGTGGGTAGTTGTGAGAGCAAAGAGCTCAATGCGCCGGTGTTAATAGCACTGGCGGTCGAAAGCTGTGATACGAGGGAAGAAAGCTGGCTACCAACAGCACCAGTGGCCGTGGATGCTTCAGAAGCGAGACTTGACAAAACACCACTGGGAAGACTACCAGAGACGCCAGCCGATGCTCCAGCAGTTGCGCTTGCGGAAACAGGAGGCAAAATGGATGATGCCGCATTCGAGCGCAGAGCAAACATGATACCATTGCGGGTAACACCGTTTGTAAGGGAGCTGTAGAAGGTACATGAGCCAGTGCTAGGATCATATGCGGTACCAAGGCAGCGGGCATTGGGTGAGCAAATGTTAGCACAGCCGTTGAGCGAACCCACAGCTTGTCTCTTCGAGACAACATTGCCCAAGTTCAGGACAGTGCCACCATAGAACTGGTTGCAATAACGAGTGAATTGTGAGCCCAATGCAGAGTACTTCGATTCATTGGTGAACGGGCAGACAATGGGAGTAGATGAAGCAGATGGTGCCGAAGAAACGCTGCCACGAGTGTTTGTCGCCGGTGAGGCAATACCTCCGCCGGGAGCATTTGCAGACGAGATCGCACTGATCAACGAGCTCACAGCGCCAGTAGGAAGAGATGCAGATGGGTTGCCAAGAAGCGAGGACAAGGCAGAAGACAACGAAGGTCCAATGGATGCACCAGGGTTTGTCAAAGATCCAATGGCCGAGGACAGAGCCGGGGCACCAGTAACGGCAGGTTCAGAGAGCAGGCTCGAAGCGAAAGACGCAAGGCCAGGGTTTGCAGAGACAGCACCTCCAGCAGAACCGCCAACACCGCCTCCAATCCCGGCTCCAGCGGTGGGGAGACTGGCCACCACGGATGAGGCAGCATTGGCCAAGGAAGAAGCAACATTGGCGGAAACAGCGGCACTAGGGTTACTAGCGATTGAACCCAATAGAGAAGAGATTTCAGGGAGACGGTGACTGAAGGACTTGTCGAAAGGAAGTTCAATGCTGAGGAGGCAGCGGCTGCGGCTCCTTGTCCGGCAGCATTAGCGGCATCTGGAGCAGATGTGGCTACGGATGCGACTGAGCTGAGGAGCTGGGAGAGCTGGGAAGCGGCAGCAGAAGCAGCAGGTGAATCTGCACCGACTCCAGCGTCCACAGATCCGGAGCCAGAGCCCGATGAGCCAGAGTCTGATGAGCCAGAGCCCGATGAGCCAGAGCTCCATGAGCTAGCGCCCAGGCCAGAGGACGCAGATGGATTGTAGCACTCGGCAACAGCAGATGCTTCTGTTGAAAGGGCATTGATAGCAACCTCAAGAAGGTCACCAAGCAGACTGATGTTGCCGTTGTTCTTGATATCGGCAATCACATCATCGAGACTGGAATCCCCAATGCTATCAATGAGGGCTTCCCTCTTGGTTGGTATGGCCGAAGAGCTGGCCAGAAGCAGCGTGAGCGCCGAGAAGCCGGCGAAACGCATCTTGTTGTTCGAATGAGGAGAAAGATGGATGATGAGAGGAAGTCGTCAAACAGTAGAAGAGATGAGTCGCTTGATGATCAGAATGGAGGACTTACTGAGGACCAAGTCTCCATATATACCTACCTCTTGTTGTAGATTCGCCATGTTGTGATCCAATCTCCAGGCTCCATCAACATCATCTGGGAGTGATCTGCGGTGTTTCGTTATGACTATCGACTCGTTCATTAGATTGTTTCAGACAGTGATAGGTATGTTGTGGGGTCTATATCGGTAAGGAGTCTGTCTATTGGACATCATCGCCGTTGATAGAGTGAAACCTCTCAGGGAGATTGGAAGTGATCGCACTGGGCGGGCAGTAAGGAAAGACAGTATGGTGGAGAGAACGTCTGTGATCCTTAACGACGTTTTCTTGGAGCCCGCTTTCCAAGCAATCACGGGACCGAGTCTTGTAAGAAATTATGACCCGTTTGGACAAGGCTCATGGGCATGTCAGAGGTGCTTCGCAACTAATTTGGGCATCGAGTCAGGAGAGGACGGCACACTGCTATCGGGAATGTCACTGAGGGCGTACTATCGACGGGCTAGACACAATGGCCTCCAAGCGGGGATGATATGTGTCTGGCGGATCTTCCAACTCTCTTTGGAGACCAAAGATGCGGATCGGTGTCAGAATGAACCCTGTGCTCAGTGTGACAGCAGACCCTGTTCCCAGATAGGTGAAGACATGGCGCAAATGACGATACAGGTCCCGACAGACGAAGCGTTTACGAAAGCGAACATAGGGATCTCCAAACGGGTGATCCTACACTCGGCCTTTTGTGGCAGTCCAAGGAATCCACTGTGGGCTACGTTATACGAATGAGGACAGTCGCTATAGGCTAAAGGAGGCGCGCGGTGTGTCAAGCTGCGAAGGTTGTGTCGGTCAAAGTATATCGCTCAAGTCCGGGGTGAGTTTGACTGACAGCTGTTGTTGCAGAGTAGGCGCAGAGTAGAGCGGAATCTGGAAAAATAGTAAGATTATTTGCTACTGGTATAGCTACGTCAGTCCCAGAGATCTGGTCCGATGGTATGCAGGTCCATCGGTAGATGAGATGCTCGTCATTGTGGCTGTTTACCAAGAAGATACCGATCCCAGATCACTATAGAGGAACAAAAGTCGTTGAGTTGCGAGTGGTTGTGGTGGTGTGAGGTTGGAGCCCCCACAAAGCCTCAACTTGGCCGGACGCTGTCTGAGATCCTGCAGCGAAACGGGCGCTAGCTATACGCGACACGTCGGCAACGGTGCCGTGGCCTTCGCACTCGACGGAGTTGCTCGGCTCTGTACCGTTGACATGTGGCTGCACGAAGGAATTCATATAGGGATCTACAGTAAACGAGGGTCCATCTCGGCGTTGCCTACTTCGCGCTTCAGTTCCTTATAGGGAACACACGGTGTGTTTGGCGCCGCCACCTGCGCAATGGCCTCTGCTTTGTCTCATTCGGCTAGAGGTCACGTATCTATATTGAAGGCATCCCAGGGGAAAGGACCAAAACTTGTAGTATATGCTGTTTAAGCCAATTGTACTCCTCGTCGTCATTGCTTCCCAGGCGTACGGTCGACTTCAATGAAATGGCGTTGATGTACTTGTCGGGACTATCACGCGGCTCAACAGCAATGACGCCGGAGCTCGCTCATATCTCGCCAAGACGGTCAAACCAGATTGTTTCGGTCAGCCCGCGGCAGCGGGTGCACCAAAAGTGGCTATTGGTTCATTCCCAAAGTACGAACAGAAGAAGAGTGGAGAGCAGATAGGCTTCGTGTCATGGCTTATGTCGTGGCGCTGAGCATGTGGACTAGATCTGAAAGCCAAGTTTTGCGCTTATGTGGAGCCTCTCTGGCGGTCTTCTCGTGAGGATGCAGTGTTGGACACGCAGTAATGCCGATTGGTCAATGTAGTGTAATTTCCGGGCAATATCAAGCTACAGTCATGGGAATGCCCGTATACAAGTGTTTGCAAAAAAAAATCAGATGTGTCAAAGCCAGTCTTGGTAGTGGCAAAGGGCAGGGTTGACCTGAGTAGATAACTCAATATGGACAGACAGAGATATTCTGCTGTCATAAAGTCCTGGCTCCAAGTCGTCCGTCTTTTGTGTCCCATGCAACATGGTGTTCGGAAATCAGTAGTGGGTGATTGCTGATCTCTAGCCGATTGCAATGAGCGCTGGGTTGTTCGTCAATCGTCTCAGTCCCTAGAGATTGCGATTGTAACATTGTAGATCAAGGCCGGGACGATCACGCATGAGATTGGCGTCTGTTACTGACACGGTTCCTGACCTGGTAGATCTCTCCATACCCACCGAGGCATCCTTCTGGAAGTTCGAGACGAAACAGAGAGCGCTGACTGATATCCGCCTCGGACTCTAGACGAAATGTTCTTTGGAGCGTATCGGGAAATTGATACCAGGGTCACCCTAGCAACGCAAAAGTTGGGGCTCCAACATGTGATGCTGATACAAGGTCAAAGCCGCACTGTGCAATTGATTTATACGGTGAATTTGCCGCAATAAATTCCTCTTAGCAAGATGTGAGCCATTGGTGGGAGGGCGGTAGAATTGGCGAATAGTCGTATTCGTGGCATCGGAACTCGGACAGCCTCAAGAGCGCGGATATCAAAGCCATGGCGCTGCAAGTCGTCCGTTTGGACCGCTCAGAGATATTTCTTTGCAGCAGCTGCCACACGGCCCCTGAAAACCGGACTGGTAACAGGAGCGTTGACGACATAGAATGGATTCATGATGCATTTGATCCAAGCTTCGTATACATCGGTCATAAATTGCCTGACAGCTTCCTCTGTTTGGGCACTACTCGGATTGTTGGCCAGTAGTGTGCTCTGCCTAGCGGTAATAGAAGGATGTTGTCTTGGCGGTGCAGCAGCTGGATAGGTAGAGTAGGTGGTAGAGGAAGGATCAGGATTCATGAGCAACATGAATTTGACATTTCCGCCGGTCATGAAGCAGTGGATGTGATTGTTTTGAAAGCGATCAATATTCTTGAGATNAGCTTTCAAGACAAAGTCAGTTCAAGCCGAGAATGTGGAGAGATCCGAAGGGATGGAAATGACATACAGTCCATTGTTTCCCCATTGGACTTCTTCGACGATGTCGAGACTGCTGTGGACGATGAATTGGTTCATGTGTCTGGCCTCATCACGAAAGCGGGCAATGCCGTCTCCACCAGCCTTGGAAGTGCCGAACTCATGTTCAAAGAGAGGGTTGTCTCTCGTGCCGATGATAGTAAAGTAGTATGACATTGCGTTTAGTCGTATACTGAGCAAGCGTGTGAGTTTGTCAGATGTTCGATAGTGAAAAGGTAAACCGGCCTCAGAGCTCCCGCAAATTGAAGCGACTCCCTGTTGGTGTTGACGGAGGAAGTCACGACTGACCGGGGAAATGTCTTGGCACCACCGAAGCGTCAGCGACGACTACGAATCTTTTGAGTATTGCGCTCAGGCGTGTTGCATACAATCACAGGTCCATCATGTTCGGCGCATTCAAACCCACCTCGGCTCTATCAGGAGGTCTGCTCTGGTATGCGCAGCGCCCTCGTGTCATCTGCGTAAGCCAACCCTACTGACACGCGACTGCAGGNAAAATCCCATGGCGACTTTCGGCACCGCAGAAGTTGCGCCAGCGCCGTCGCCTTCGTCGTGTCGACAACATCGTCTCCGTCCTCGATAGTGCTCTTCAAAGACAGGTTCAGTCACAACCCGCCATCACCGCCACGAAAGGAATTGGCGCCACCCAGGCCACCACCGAAGAGCTCGCTCAAACCGCCCAGGGCCAGCGCTTGATGAACGCAGAGACCAACACTCCTCTCAACGATCGTAGACATGGCAGAGGCCCGAGGCAGGGCGAAATCCTCAGTGGTAGCTTGCCCATGGGCACTGTCACCATGACTGCAGACCAGGCTAGGAAGATGGGTACTATCAAGTTAATCGAGCGATGGAAGGCCGACATGCCCACCGAGGCCGAGATGCTGCCAAGAGACAAATACACAATGTTCGATCGCAAGGAGAAGAAGTACAGAAAGGGTATCCACAGTGAGTCGGCCTTCGTACCAATCTTGACTTTTGAAAATCTTACTGATCCTCTTTTTCCAGAGCTGCCCAAGTGGACCAGAGTTTCTCAACGCGTGAACCCTCCTGGTTTCTAAATTGCCTTTTATCACTTTCTGTATATCCTATGCATAGGGCGGCGTTTGGCCTAGGCTGGTCTCAGGTTTTGTACAAAATATTACGTCAAAGAATGTTACCATACTTGTTTCTCTATCACTCATGATCCTTTCAACTTGTCAGGTCTGCTAGCTATGTCTGCGAACGACGCTCTTGCTACCCTCTGGTGGCCTTCTCTCACCCAGGTTGTGGAGTCGCTCTCCAATGAGATACACTTCATCCTTGATGCGACCTCTCCATCGTCGCAATCCCTCGCTCAATTCCCATGTACACCACAAACCTAGTACCTGGCTGGCGCATATCGGATAGCTGTATCGATAGACCTTGGTACGGATACTGGCAGATATCAAGTTCGTGACATCCAAAACCGATGCAATCAGGAGCGGACAGATCAACACGATCGAGAACAGCAGTAGTGTTGGCAACACGAATGCACGAGTTGCCAATTTGACGTTGGGGTTAGTGAATCCATCGCGGGTAATCATTCGCAATGCCGCAGCGGGGCGAGAAGTACGTGACAGGAGCAGCAGACGCAAAACAACTCTCCCGTAGATGAATCCGAGAGTCCAGTCTTGGAGGATATGGAAAGTGTGCGACGCCACTACAAGTTCCGCAGTTTGTGCCTTTGCGAAGTCTGCGAGCGTTGTGTTATTTAGGGTGACCTTCGCTCCAAGCGAGTGGTCCGGAACGACATCGGCGTTCTCCTGGACGAGAGCTGCCGGACCCATGTAGGTGCGAAGTGGCAGAATAAGATAGAGCTCCAAGACCAGGGCGAAGAGAGTTGGGACGATCACGACAGCAAATCCGTACACATAAGCGCTTCGAACCAAACGCCAAGTCTGCTTTCTGACGTTGGCGCCGACAGCAGCCAAGTTCTGTCTCGAGGTTGTGTGTCTGATACTTTCGAATGCTTTTTGTCCGTTGAAGAGAGCTTGAAGCACTATTCCCAACACAGTGATGCCGACGCTAAAGTTATATAAATCGTTGGGTGCAACGCGATGAGGAGCCATGATTGAAATAATCTGACGTCCAAAGATCATTGGAACGACAGTGACTCCAAAGCCCATGGCGATGGCAAACATCCACAGACACGAGATGAATGTAAGAATTCGTACGCGGAACCATGGCGGGATATACACCTGGATAAAGTTTTCGGGTTGTCGCCCGTGAATACCATTGCTGGTGTTTGAACCATCCACTCGTTGATCGTCTTCGTTGACTTCCAGGAACACTCTTTCGCCCCGAGGGATCCTAACCTGGTCGGTGGCGGGTGCTCGAACGTACTTGCCATCCTTGACAAAGTTCTTGGATTTTACAATCGCGCGCTGGTCTTTCCAAGGATTGAATATGCTGATCCACGATTCCCCTTGCAGATGACCTTCTTCGATCTTGCGTCGTTCGCCGAAAAGGAATTGAGAAAGTCGTAGAGAACGTGCACAGAGCTTGAGCCATTTGCCAAAGACTTTCTCCATTCCTTTGGAAGGAAATAGGTAGGCAGCCACCACAGGGGCGAGGAGATTGTACCCTAGGAAGTCGATGGGGAACTCTAGATCGGCCTCTGGCCTGGCCCATCGGATGGGGAACACTCCGAATCGTGAAGTGCTCCAGATAGCACCACCGAGGCAGACGATCACAAGTCCACCATACACAAGTCCACTGAACGCGATCTTGCGAAGCTGGGTGGTGACACTGCGCTCCAGGACGTCACGAACTGGGTGAAAGGTTGGATCATCGGGATCCCTTATGAAGTAAAGAACTCCACTACGCAAAACCCTTCGACACATCGACACGAACAGCGCAAAATGGAACATGTAGCAAGTACCAATGAACCAATGCAAGAATACGAACAGCCACGGAGAGCGGCTGGCAAATGCAAGTCGGGAAGCGAGTGATGCATTCTCGAAAAGTGGAAGCAAAGCAGAATCCAGGAGCATGCCGCAGTAAAGTGGGAACGCGAGCATTTCGATGCTGATGATCAAAATGACCTTGAGTACACCACCGGCTTGCTTGAGGAGATCCGCAAAGCTCTTTTCAATACTTTGCAGGCTTGGTGAGCTGAAGAGCGATTCTTTGCGCAACAGATACATTGTGCCAATCATGGCGAGCAGAATGTATCCAGCCAAGACAGTCAAACAACGATCTTCGTTGGTCCAGACAGCCAAAGAGGGATCCAAAGAGCTATCATCTTGCTTGATGGTGAAGGTGAAAGTCCCATCGTTTACAGCTTCAGACAGTCCTTGTCGGAGAATTGTACGGATCCAAGTGAAGCTCGCTGCTGTATGCTGGAGTGCTCTTGCAGTCGTTTCGTTGACGACTTTGAGCATATCCGGCGCGGTCGAGTTCTGCATATGATATAGAATACCCGATACACCTCTGACAATGAATTCCACTATCTGAGCGGTTTCCGATTTCATGTTCAAGAGAGACTGACGTGCCTGCATAGATTTCATCAGTGGTCCCAGCTCCACTGGTCCGTCACCATCGAATAGTTCAGTCAGACGTGCGCCAGCTCCATTCGCTGCGTAGTGAGCACGCTTTGCCAAAGACTCCACATATCCCAGACCCAGCTTTTGGAAGATAGAGCCAAGTAAGAGGGAGAGTAGTTGCGTCAGCATCTGAGAACCAAAGTACGTAGCTGCGCCGCCAACATAGACAGTGACATCGACAATCGCATCTGCAACCACAGAAACAATGCGCAAAGGAGTCATGATCATAGATGTGATCGGATCACCAAGGAAGAGTAAGGCGATCTTTCCGAAGAAGTATGGTACGCCAATGGCAATCCAAAGGGTAGCTGTGATCAGGAAGCCACAGAATACGGCTGTTTGCGCCAATCCAGCCAAGGGGCCTTGCATGCCAATCAGCTCGAGGACACCCTCAAGGTCTTCTGCATCTTCGATGGCTTCAGCGTCTAAGCCAGCTTCAGCGGCAGCTTGAAGGACTTCAGGATCCGGCGCATTTTCAGGTTCGTGGACGTGCTCTCCACCATGGATGTGGACAAAAGGTGCTTCTTCTGCCTCATTACGGACGATCTCTTCGTCGAAGATACCAGGCAGGAGGTCGTTCTCATCCTCCTCAACCACGATGTCAGCCCAGAACCAGTCAAACAATCTAGAGATTGGACCCCTGCGTGGCTCAGCAGGCTGTATTGATTGAGAGACCATATTCTGTTGTGGCGTCGTTGGTTCTTCGGTAGGACTCTGTGCTGCACGCTGTGCATCAATCGAAGAGCCTTCTGATGAGACTTGTACTGTTCCTTCCGGTGAATCTTGAAACACGATCTCGTCAGAAGGACTCTCATTCGACTCGGCAGTGGCATCTACAGGTTGAGATTCGGTCGAACGCTCATGGCCAGTTGAGCTGGCAGCAGTGGTTTCCTGATCATCTTGCCCATTGTCCGTAACGCGCAAGGGCGATTGCGGACTTCTTGTGGTTTTCGATGGTTCTGAGTTGGAAGAAGCCGTAATTGATTGCCAACTCCCGCTGCTGCTTTCGCCATCGAGCTCAGTATCCCTGTGGTCACCGTCCTCAGAGTTGTTTGAGGGCTCTTCAAGCGACTGTATAACCCTCTGTGCATGTGAGGATGCATCCCTCGGAGGCATAGCCGGTCGTCTTCGTGGCTCGTCCTCATTGTCGTCATCTGTGTCGCTTTCCACCTCAGATTCAGGAGGCGCAAGTCCTGCTCCAGAATGTTCATTGTCGGAGAAACCAACCTTGTCATGAGGAAGATTGCTCAACAACATGTACTTAGTTTCACCCTCTCTGAGCAGATATTCGCGCCAGAGATCCTTTTCAGTAGGACCTAGATTGTCCAGAATAGCCCATAAATTCTCCGCAATATCAGCGCGAGATATACCAGAATCTTCCGCAAGTTTGATCTGTTCGAGGAGTTCCTCGCCAGCTTCCTCGAATCCTTCCATGAAGTCCTCATGGTCCTCGCCCTCAAATTCATGAGGCATTCCTGCATTATCCATAAGAGTTTCCATCGAATACCAGCCAATGAATTGTGTACTGTCAACTTCGGGATGTTCACGGTCGCCCGGAAGCTGGTCAAAAATATGGCGATAACGCTCTACTGCAGGCCGAAGAGTCTCGTCTTCCAACGCAGCAGCCTCGAGATCCTGCAGGCGTTGAGCGGCACGTTCAGCTACATCCAGTTGTATCTCTGCATCACGAATGTGAGCGGCAGCGTTAATTATGGGTTGCTGTTGAACAACCCACTCCCGAATCAGGAAAACGAGAATGAATACTACTACAACGTTGATGGTGATTATGTCACCCTCGAGCACATCGAGGATGAAGCGGTTGAGCCAGACGTGAGATGTCAGATTGTTTACAGCCTTGACGTCAGACAACAAGCTAGAATAGGGCGGTACGAACGAGGCTTCGGGCTGTGTGTTTAAAGCAGAGTACATGGCCGGTTGGCCTAGAGGCTTCAATGGATAAAACAGAGTGTTCACTAGGAACTTGCCCAGGCTTAGACCGAATGGTTCCTTGTCGGCAGGAGCGGCGTTTGCAGAGGTCGAGCTATTGTGTTGGGCAGCATGGGCAATCTTGGCCAGCCAAGGGTCTCTTGCCCATCCTGCATCCAAGATCCAGAAGAGACCTCTCCATGACCAACGGATGCACCAAGGGAGTAGAACAAGCCAGACAAGGGCGACGGTGACAGCGCGAGCCCAGGTCAACAGGTAGTTCAAGGTGTGCAGGCAGGCTCTCTTTGCGAAAATGGGCAGCGGGAGAGTTTGAGGCATGTGCGAGTCGTATAGTTTTGTGAAGCGAAAGGGCGTCTTGCAGAGCTCGCAGTGCTTCTTGTTGGAGTGCGACAGCCACTCCATCAAGCAGTCCTGATGGACGAACTTGATGCTGCCACTGCACTTGCAGGGGTAGAAGAGCGGCTCTGCGGCGGAACCCTCGCTACGACATATCCTGCACGTGTCGCCCTCGGCAGGCGACTTGTCGCTGGTCTCGGTAGGGTCGAATTGCGGATCGTTCATGATGTCCGGTGAGGAGGCGGGGTCTGTGGCCGACATTTTGGGGTGCCGTCAGGGAGGAAGCGAGTGGCTTAGGGAAGGCCGTCGAGGCGGGATCGTGTCTTCAAGGCGACATTTAAGAAGGGCGAGTCGAAGCTGATGGATAGCGGACGACGATGCTTCTGAAGTTGTGTAGGCAGGTACTTGCGTACACGACAAGATAAAGTGGAAAGAGCAACAACGACCGCCAGTAGCACCTACTCGATGTGGACCCCAAAGCACGTGAAAAGCCAAGACCGCGGATCGGGAACTGCTCCCCCGTCTCTCTGCTGGCGGATTTATCTTCGCAATGGCCACTCAATGGCTCAGTATTGCTTCATCAGGAAGTTTTGGGGTCAATGTGTAACATCCTATATCTTGTATGTATTCAAGCAGCAAGTAGCGACCAGTGATGCACAGTTGGACGTGATATGGGCGAGTGTGGATATCAGGGTTTCTCTGAAGCAGGCTAGTGGCCGAGGCGCTGACGTCGAGGCGCATTTGCTGCGGCGCACGCGAGCAAGAGCAGGCGCAGAAGCAAGTTGGAGCACAAGCACAAGCTGCCCGGTTTGCTCGTCACTCTCCCCCTGAGAAACACAACAAGTTTGTGCTAATAAGACGAGTTCGCCGTCTGTCACCTATACCTCATCTGCACGCGCTGCTTTGGTCCCTCCAACAAGCTCTATGCTGGTCTGATCTGTCCTACCTTAGTCACCATGGCCATCCGAAACGAGAAGGCGCCGAACGGCTCCATCTCGACATCATCATCAAGAGGGCGTCAGGTCAAGAGACGAGGCTTTTTCTCACGGCTCATCAGCATAGCTCTGAGGTAAATGCTCGCATTGGTTGCTTGGTCCAGCTAGTGATCGCTAACTCGTCCGNNCAGACTGTCCATATGGTACACGCTCCTGACCGTCGTCTTCCGCTGCCCGTCATCGCCCAAACAACTGACCAAGGACTCACCTAACGTGTGCGAGCCTTACTTTCAGCTGAGAGACTTTGCCGTTCCTCACCTTCAGCCCTACTATAACACCTATGCCGCCCCCTATGTTCAACAAGCCCAACCTTACTTTGACCGCGTCAAGGAACAGGCCTACATCCCTGCTGCCGCTTTTGCCCAGAAGCATGGCGCTCCTCGTGCCGCTCAGGTCCAGGCCTACGCGACCAAGGAGTGGAAGCGATCCGTCCGTCCCCAGCTGGATGTCGCCAGTAAGCACGCCCTGAAGCAGTACGACTCTACCCTGGGTCCCCACGTTCAGAGGGTTCAAGATGCCGTGTCTCCTTACTACACAAACGTCAAGGCCTCGGCCTCTGACTTCTACGAACTCGAGTTGCTGCCCGCCTACAAGCACACTGCTCCCTACGCCAAGAAGTTCTACGGCCAAGCCCATCGTTTCTCCGTCAACACCGCTCTGCCTTACGCTCGTTGGGGCACCGACTTGACTTTCACCTTTGTTCGCCGACAGATCTGGCCTAGGATACAGGTCCTCTACGGAGAGAACGTTGAGCCTCAAATCTTCAAGATCACCCAGAGACTCGGTCGCTACCGCGATGAGAAGAAGATTGAAGCCGCCGTCGAATCCGCCGAGAGTTCCGCCTCTTCTTCGTCATCTTCCGTTTCGTCGGCTGCGTCCGCTTCGTCCACTGTTGTCTCTAGCTCACCTTCGGCTGTCGTCTCAAGTGCTAGTTCCGTTGTTGAGTCCATCATGACCAAGGCATCTAGCGTCGTCGTTGCTTCGCCTTCAATGGCACCCAGTGAGGAAGAGCCAAGTGCTGCTGAGCAATTCTCGCAGGACTTGAAGGTTTGGGAGGAGCATGTGTCCATTGCTGTGCGTGAGGGACTTGACCACCTTCGCGAGCGTATCAACGAGATTTGCGACCGCCAAGTTGAGACTCAAACCAACGGTGTTGGCGAGGCTTTGATCATCCAGCTGGAAGAAAGTTCCTCGTCAGCCTTTAGAAGTCTCAAGGCAAGGGTCGAAACTGTTATCGAACATCTTCCTGAAGAGCCTTCAGAGTCTGATATCTCATCTGCCCAAGACACCATCAACAAGGAAGTCAAGAAGGCTGGTCAGACTATCAAGCAAAAGGCTCAAAACGTCCGCGACTGGAAACAGACCTTTGACAAGGACATTACCCGTCTTATCGAGGCTGCCGCCAACTCTACTCTTGAGACTATTGACAGCATTCGTGACCTCCGTCTGCAGGAGATTGGTAGACGGTGGGCTTCCAATGCTGCCATCACTCACAGAGACTGGACTAAATACAACGACCTGAAGAAGGCCTCGAGCAAGGGCCGCGATGAGGTTACCGCTCTTGCCACCTCAGACGAGCTCACCGAGGCCAAGAAGAGTGCTCAGTCAATCGAGGAGAGAGCCATGGCCGTTGCTGAAGACGCTGCCAAAGAGCTTGCCAGACTCAAGAGCGTTTCTCAATGGAAATTGGAAGCTAGAGACTCTTCCGATGACTTCAACACAAAATACGCTCCCGCTGCCGCTGCCTGGGCCAAGCAACAAGTTGCCGACAAGATTTCTGCTGCCAAAGAGGCCGTCGCTGGAAGTTCACAAGACACAGCCGAGTCGGCCACATCGGTCTTGTCCTCTCAAGGCTCTCAAGTTGCATCCAGCATGTCCACCCAGGGTTCTCAAGCGGCCTCAAGCATTTCTTCTCAGGGTTCGCAGATGGCGTCCAGTGCATCTGAGGCTATCTTGGGTACAAGTACTGGTTCTGTTGAAAGCGTTGCGTCCAAGGTATCCGAGAAGGTTATTGGTTCTGAGCAACCAACCGTGGAAAGCATTGTTTCTGTCGTTTCCGAGAGCGCTAAGAGCGCAGCCACGATTGCATCGGAATCTGTCCTGGGCACTCAGCCTGGTGTCGCAGAGCAGGCTGCCACGAAGGTGTCTGAGGCTGTAGTTGGCCGTGATACCCCCGTCATCGAGAGCGTTTCCTCTGCAGCCAGCTCAGTTAGCTCGCGAGTTGCTGACCAGTCTCTTGACCCTGAGATGGCAAAGAGCTTGAAATCTGCAAAGTCTAGCGTTGTCTCTGTTGCCAGTGATGCCTCTTCTAGCATTGCCTCGGTTGCATCTAGTGTGTCGGCTCCGTCCATTGTGTCCGAAGCATCTTCGAGCATTGATTCAGTTGCTCAGCAGGGCTCATCAAGCGCCTCGTCTGTAGCGTCTCAAGTCTCCGAGAGTGCATCTGANCGTCTCTGCACAGGCCTCAAAAAGGTTTGGGGCGGAGCGATGGCTCAGGCAGTTCCTTCGGCACGTTCCATTGTTCTTGACGACGATATTGTTGACGGCGAGAACACTTACTCCAGCAAGCTCCAAGACATGCTCGGAAAGGCCGGTAGTCAAGCAAGTCAGCTCACCCAAGCAGTTCAAGACGCTTTGAAGCCTGCACCCACTCAGGGCAGTGTCGAGTCGGTCACATCTCTTGCTAGTGAGCAGTACGAAAGAGCTCTCTCTGCAGCAAGCAGTGTCATCTTCGGTACCGAACAAGGTGTCGGAGAGTCACTGTCGAGTGTCGCTAGTGACAGATATGCCTCGGCGGTCTCCGCCGCATCGAGTGCTATCTATGGCGAACCTATCCCTGCCACTAAGTCGGTTGCATCTCAAGTCGCATCAGTAGCAGCTTCTATCACTGCTGGCGCTAGTAGCAACGTGGACTCTCTCCAGTCGCAGGCTAGCTCAATCTACACTGAGGTGCAGTCCGCCTACTCGAGCTCTATTGCAGACCCCCTACAGTCTGTCTACTCCAACTCCATCGCAGACCCGGTACAGTCAGCTCTGTCTTCCATTTCGTCGATAGCATCTTCAAGACTCCAGGAAGGTCTTTCATCTGCAAGTGCTCAATTTGAACACGCTAAGAGCGCTGTCGGCGCTTCGCCAACACCTGTCCAGCAGGGCGTCTTGGCAGATGCTCAGCGCAGGTACTACGAAATGGTGGGTTACGCGTACGATCGTTACTCGGCCTTTGAGTCTGCTGGAAGAGACATGGTTGCTACTCGTCCTACATCCACCTCTGGCTATTTCAATGCACTTGCTGCCGCTCAGAGCCAGTACAGCAGTGCCGTCAACGCTGCTTCAAGCAACATGGATAGCATTCTCTCCTCAGCACGTTCTGTTGTCAGCGGCACCACTCAGTCTCCAGCTCAGAGTTTTGTTGACCAGGCATCGAGCCAATACGACGCCGCGACATCGAGTGCCTCCTCTTACCTCGTTATCGCTTCATCCAAGGCCAGCCAGGCTATTTACGGCACTCAGCCTGCCATGTACGAGAACCTTCTCGCCTCTGCCCAGAGCCAGTATGATGCTGCTTACAGTGCTGCAAGCTCTAACCTGAATAATATCCTTGAATCGGCAAACTCCAATGCTGGGCCCGCTCTGGACTCTGCCTTCGAACAGTACGAATTGGCAGTTTCAGCTGCTGGTGAGCAGTTTTCAATGGCGAGTGTCAAGGCGAGTGAAGCAATCTACGGAATTTCAACAGGATCTGTCGAGTCAATTGCCAGCGCTGCCAGCACCGCCATCTATGGAAGTGAAACTCCATGGACGGAAGCAGCTGCTTCTCAGGCAAGCGAAAATTGGGAGATGCTGGTGTCCAAGGCCAGTGAACAAGTTTATGGTTCTCCAACACCCTTCTTCTCCCAAGCTGGCGAATACGCTTCTCAAGCTACCGTTGCTGTGGTTGAACAGTATGCCGCAGTCTCTGCCCTGTTCGACGAGCTCGTCAACGGACGCGAGCCAGAGTTCACCGAAAGTGTTTGGAACCGCCTTCAATCTGCTTATTCGACCGGGGCTCCAGCCATTGCATCGAGTGCATCGAGCTATGCTCAAGACGCTTACGCTAGTGCATCTTCATTCTACGAATCAGCCTTCACTCCACCCCCAACTGTTGAGGCTCTTCTCGATAACGTCAATGAACAAATCAATTCTGCAGTCGACGCTGTCTCGGCCCAGATTTACGGCACTACCAAGGGCAACGTGGAGCAGATGACCGAAGCTGTTGGCAGCGCGTACAACGACGTTGCCTCTCGCGCGAGTGAGGCTGTATACGGAACCACTACCGGTTATGCCGAAGCGGCTCAGAGCCAGATCTCTGATGCTGCTTCGTCTGCGCAGCAAGCTATCAGCGAAGCCTTGTTTGGAACACCCTCTACTGCCGCGGCAGCCAGCATCTACACGTCGATTGCATCGGTCGCATCGGAGAACCGCGATGCTGTTGTCTCGAAGGCTGTCGAGCAGTATGAGGCGGCTACATCAGCTGCCAGCAGCGCCATCTACGGATCCGAGAAGGGAGCTTTCGAGAGCGCTCAGAGCAGGCTATCGGTCGCTATGGCTAGTGCGTCTAGCAGACTGGCCGAGTTCGGCGAGACTGCAAGCAAGGCAACTGATGACTCGGTCTCAAAAGTGGTAGAAGCGGGTCAGGAGGCAGCTTCATCAGCTAGCAGCGTGGCCGAATCGGTCAGTGCCAGGGTTAGGGATGAGCTCTAAGCGCTTGACGAAAGGTGTGATGAAGATTCAGAGGAATGAAGAGAGGGAAGTAAAAAGAAGTTCATGAGTTGTTAACGAAGCGTTTGTCTATTTCCACTAATATAAACATGGTTCGCTCTTACGATAGATAATGTTTGCGGACATGAATGACTGGTTTGTGACTTGAAAGTGTCGTTGATGTTGAACAGGACGAAAACAGTAAGCGATGAGGCGGTGGTGGTCGCGAAACAGGGCGTCACCAAAATCGACCCCATTCCCCGACCTCGGCCCCGGCAAGGACCCCGCAATTGATAGGCGTGGTGATAAGGGAAAGAGCTCCACTCGATGGGTGCAGTCCGCATTGGCCGCAATTGCCGTCCATCTAAGCAGTTTGCACCTTCTTAACAAGTTCTGTTCTTTGCAAGAAAGCCGGAAAGCAAACAGAAGGGTGACCCATATCATCACACAATGGCAGGTCGTCGAGCGGTAGCACGTCGTGCTCTACAGAGCGTCTATGTCCAACAACCTGGGGTCAGCCGGCCCATGTTGACAAGCACACTACAACTCGGCCAAACAATCAACACATGCAAGCTGGGAGGCAGAAAGCTACACGTCTCTGCAAGACAGTTGAGGCCTGCTACAGCATCAGCCCTCGCATCCACGGCCACCGACTACCCCACCACCCATGACCAGATCCAACAACCCATCGACACACAGAACTTCCTCGACAACAAGTTCATAGCCTCCAACGCCACCCAATGGATCGATCTCCACGACCCTGCCACCAACAATCTCGTCACCCGCGTCCCTCAGTCCACCGATGAAGAGCTCAAGGCCGCCGTCGCGTCTGCCGAGAAGGCCTTCCCTGCATGGAAGGCTACGAGCTTGCTGCACAGACAACAGATCATGTTCAAGTTCGTCCATCTGATTAGAGAGCACTGGGACCGCCTGGCTGCCTCGATCACTCTGGAGCAGGGCAAGACCTTTGCCGATGCCAAGGGTGATGTCCTGCGTGGACTTCAGGTCGCTGAGACAGCATGCGGCATTACGACACAGTTGACTGGCGAGGTTCTCGAGGTCGCCAAGGACATGGAAACAAGATCGTACAAGGAGCCTCTTGGTGTTGTCGCTGCCATCTGCCCCTTCAACTTCCCTGCCATGATTCCTCTATGGGTCATCCCTACCGCTACCATCACCGGCAACACAGTCGTCGTCAAGCCTTCCGAGCGCGACCCTGGTGCCATGATGATCCTCTGTGAGCTTGCAGAGAAGGCTGGTTTCCCTCCTGGTGTCATCAACGTCGTCCACGGTGCTGCAAAGACTGTCGACTTTATGATTGACGAACCCGCCATCAAGGCCATCAGCTTCGTTGGCAGCAACAAGGCTGGTGAATACATCTTCACCCGCGGATCTGCCAACGGCAAGCGTGTCCAGGCCAACCTGGGTGCAAAGAACCATGCTGCTGTCCTGCCTGACTGCAACAAGAATGCCACCATCAACGCCATTGCAGGTGCTGCCTTTGGTGCCGCTGGCCAGCGATGCATGGCTCTGTCCACCGTCGTCTTTGTCGGCGATACCAAGAGCTGGGTCGACGACATTGCCGACCGTGCTAAGGCTCTTAATGTCAATGGTGGTTTCGAGAAGGATGCCGAACTCGGTCCTGTCATCAGCCCGCAGGCAAAGGAGAGAATCGAGTCCATGATTGCCAGCGCCGAGAAGGAAGGTGCCACCATTGTTCTCGATGGCCGTGGTTTCAAGCCCGAAAAGTACCCCAATGGCAACTTTGTCGGCCCAACCATCATCACAAACGTCACGAAAGACATGACATGCTACAAGGAAGAGATATTCGGTCCTGTGCTTGTCTGTCTGTCCGTTGACACGCTCGAGGAAGCTGTCGATCTCATCAACGCCAATGAGTACGGAAACGTAAGACATACCTTCCCTGTCTTTCCAAACACCCACAAAAAACAATGCTAACCATACATCTTCCAGGGTGTCGCCATCTTCACAAACTCGGGCTCCACAGCCGCACGCTTCCAACGCGACATTGAAGCCGGCCAAGTCGGCATCAACGTCCCCATCCCCGTCCCTCTCCCCATGTTCTCCTTTACCGGAAACAANAAGTCTGTTGCTGGCGGTGGTGCCAGCACTTTCTACGGCAAACCCGGTCTTGCCTTTTTCACTCAGACAAAGACCGTGACGAGTTTGTGGAGGAGCGAGGATGCTATTGCTACAAAGGCTGAGAGTGTTATGCCTACTATGCGTTAAGCGTGTATAAGTGAAGAAACAGGAGTAGGTTTTGAGGTTGTTAGGCATATATATGATGAAGAAAACTACGTTTAACCTCATGAGACAAAAGCCTTGACTCGATAGCAACTATCCAAGGGAATAGAGACAAGATTGCAGAAACATATAACATATTAATCCTGTCTAACGTGAATGAAGTAAAAGACGTGTAGAAAAGATCCAGTACTGTATAATAGTGTGCTTTTTCGAAAGCCAAAAATCACAGCAAAGAAAGAAAAGAAAAGGAAGAGAAGCAAAGAAGAAAAACGCCCAACCCAAATGCCTCATGGGTCAAATCCGATCCGGTCCCATATAGTAGTGGTAGTAGTAGCCATTGTCCAATTGTAAAAAAAACGCCATTCGTAAACACCGTGAATGTAAGTCATCGGGTCTTGTCATCATGCGACGAGCGAAGAGGCAGTAGTGGTAGTAGCAGCTTCACCTGCATATTCCTTTTGCCATGTCATGATGTGTCTGGTCAAGACATCCATCATCTCCCTACTACTGAGCTCCTTAAAGTCGGGAGATTGCTCAGCTTGCAGTTGAGCATTCAGCGGTGTGCGGTCGCCGGCCATATCGACCTGTGCTTTTGCGATATAGTCCATCATCATGCCTGTCCGTTTCTTCATGTCGGTTATGGTCATTTGACTCTTGTTCTCGCGATTGTCTTTGGTGACGATTTCGGCTTCTTGGATGGCGGCTTGTCGCGGGTTTTTGGCTCGGCCGCCCCATTTGCCGGGTTTTGGTTTGGGAGGAGGTGCGGATGTGGCTATGGCGGGTGTTTCGTTGTTGCTGCTGGGGCTGTTCTTGGAGTCGGACGTGCTGTTGGTCGTCGGATCATCGCCACTGCTCGCGTTCGGGTTGACTGAAGTGGCCTCTGTGGGATTGGAAGTGGCTTTTGCTGCCGAGTATTGGTTGCGACCTAGCCGTTTCTGCTTCTTGGCCGTGCCCTTCTTGTGTGAGCTTTCTGGGGCCAGTGGCGGCGCTGAAGCAGGCGGACTGGGAGGCTGAGATGCAGGCAGATTGAGTGTACCCATTGGTCTCGGTGTGTCGTCAAGCGGATCTGACTCTGCGTGAATAGTCAATCCAATTGGTCTTGTATGCTCATCATCTTGGTCCAGCGTACCATCTGCTCTCCTTCGTCCAGCTCTTTCGCTTCGTCTTCCTGCAGCTTCTTTGCGCTTCTCATCACGCATGCGTTCACGTTCTCTAGCTTCTCTTTGTCTCAAAACTTCGGCGGCTGCACTGCGTGCTTTCTTATTCGACTTGGGGTGTGTGCCGTCGTCGTCTGAATCCGCGTCCAACGAGCCAGTGTTAAACGTTGATGGAGGATTGGGCGATTCCGAACCCGTTCGTTGGCGCTTGATTTCGTGTCTGGAGCTGTCGAGACTTGTCAACTGCTTGTTTGCTGTGATGAGCTGATCTTCTACTCACTCTTCGCTGTCGTCTCGACCGCGCTTTCCCTTGCGCACTGCTGGAGTTGACTCGCCGACGTCTTTGGTCTCTTCGATGATTCGACGCAATGTCTCCTCGTCGTCATAGGCCTGGCGGCTGTTCATTGTAGATCTCCTCTTGCCTGTTGACGACTCAACACTGGCTCTATTTTGGCTTTCTCGCTGCTCTCTACGGGCCTTCGCCGACTCTGTTTCTTTTGTAAGGGAGGATTTCCGGGCGCTCTTGGGTTCAGGCTTCATGACGGGTAGGTAGCGCGAGTAGCGTTGNNTCTGGGTTGTGTCAGTCAAGGGCGAAGGCAAAGGAGTGCGAGACAAGGACTCACCCTTTGGGTCGGTCAAGACATTGTGTAGTTTCTTGTCGCAGAGCTCGCAGAAGTAGTTGTCGGGACTCTTCGTCTCGTCCATGATGCCGACGCAGCCACCGTGCTGCCAGACGTGGCACTTGTCGCACTGGATGAACAAGCCACCAGCATCTTCGGCTTGGGAAGGATCGGTTATGGTAGGAAAATCGTCGGTCAAAGGTGGACCTGGGTAGTCTTGTAGGCCACAGACGCAACGGGTAATCTCATCGTCGCCGTCGGCATCGTCTGCGTCATTGGGTTGGCTCTGTTGATCGACGTCGTCGGGGTGTGTGTGCTGAGCTCTGGTGGCTCTGCGTGTCTGGCGAGATTCTTCGGGAGAGTTGAGGGTACCCGACTGGGGGTACATGGTGTCGTCGGAGAGGTTGGTGGGAGAGGGCGACTTCTGGCGGGGTGACAATTTGTTGTGCCATCTCGAGTTGCGATCGGCTGGTGTGCTGGTTGTGCGGCCTGACCGCCGCGGGGAGGGCATTGTTTGTGACTGATAGCTGGTGCGTGAAGAAGAATAGCAGATGAAGACTCTGTGATGTGCTGAACGGCAGAAGGAGGAAGGCACCAAACAGAAGAGACGGTGCTAGAGCAGGTTCAGACCTAGCAAAGTCCGCTTGTGATGAGCACGGACCTTCGACTCCACTCTATGCAGGTGTCTACTCCTCCCACTCTCTCACTCGGTCCATATCTTGTTCTCCTGTTCTGTCACAAGCCAGTTATCCTTTATCGAATATGACATCTCGAGGCTGTAGACTCCAATGCCTGAACCAAACTCGAGACAGTATGAATTTTAGCAGTGTGCCCGACTTGACAGCCATGACGCGCTTCGACGGGACCAAATGCGGGGATACCGTGCAGACCGCCATGTCATACAAGGAACCGCCCGATCTTTATCTGTACCTGTCTATCACTCGTCACAGCAAGATCATTCACGAGCTTCTATGATGCTAAAACTCAATTCGCTGTGTATGTCTATCGCTTAAAGTATTACTCGTAATTACATTCGTCAACCAATTGATATATCCGTTGCTCGTCAACATCCTATTCCTATCCTCGTATCCTTCTCTTTCTCTGTCCTGGGGTCGTGTATCTCATCAGCTCCTTGCAGTCCTCTCCTACTCACCTATGGGACTAGCAGGTCTGCTGGCTGCTGGTGTCTTGCGTCCACCAAGCGACTTGCGTCTCTCGGGCGAGCTGGGTCTGCTCGAGCTGGGTGTCTTTTCTTCCAGGCAGCTTGTTCCACGTCTGTGTGCTCAATCTGCGGATGAATCCAGGTCTCTTCTCGGGTGTTGCGGTGCCGCTGTTTGTTGCGCTGACGACTGCTGAGTCGGGGTGGACGGGCTCAAGAAGCTTGTGCACCTTGGCGGCCATGTCGTGTTCTGCGCTGACGCCCTTCTGTAGGTTGTTGAAGGTCTGCTGAGCCTCGTTCAAGAGTGCCGGGTAGCGACCTTTGCATGCTCTGATGAGAAGCTTCAGCTTGGCCATGTCCTTGACTGCTAGCGGCGAAGGTCTGCTGTTGGGGGAGCCACCGGAGTGCTTGCCCAGATCGCGGATGTCGCCAAGCAGGATGTTTTCAACTCTGTCGTTGATGTTCAGGGCCAGCAAGAGAGTGTCGACCTGACGCTTAGTAGACTTGACGAAGTTGGAGAAGCGAAGGGTGTCGTGGATGACCCACTGCTGCGACGCAAGCGAGCTTGGTCTCTTAACCGACACCTTGCCGGAACCCAACTGAAGAAGGTGGTTGTAAGAGTTCTCAAAGTTCTTCATACGGGTCAGATCAGCGGCAGGCTGCTCCAATGCTTGTGCGCCACCGCGAGGCAGAGGTCTAAGACCAGTGGTATCAAGATCGGAGTCGTTGTCGTTGGGGTTGCTCAGGGTGTGGATAATGCTATTCATCAAGCCCTCCAGGTTGACTCTGACCTCGTCATCATCAAGACGGGGGTCGCGGGGCGTCATGTTCTCTCTGCCCTCCTCGGTCTCGAGGGAGGTCAGCGAGGGCGGCAAAGAAAAGATGCCCATCTGCTCGCCCCAGATCAGAAGTCTTGCTTGCTCGATACCGAGCTGGGCAAGGTAGACCTTCTCATCCTTGAAGTCATTCAACGAGCTGTGGATGTTGTCGAAGGACTTGAGAGTGTTGTAGAACAAGCTTGCCAGCACAAGCACGTTCAAGAATTCTGCTTCTCCATCGAGGCCCATGGTTTGTATGTGTGATATTTCTGGTGTAAGGATAAAGAAATGGCTTTGCGATAGATGGGTATATAAGATGGCAACTTTCTACCATCTCACTCTGGAAGTCTTATCAGAAAACCAAAGTATGACATAGATACTCTCCCGCAACGTTGAGCAGGAAAATTTCACCATCATCGCTCGAGGTTGAATCATATCACTTGCTGCACAAGGCCAATACTCGGTGGAATTGCGAGTATCGGTCCTAATACATACAACCACCGGAATTTCTTTCTGAGGGTAGATGTTGCTGGTGGAAGAGAACAATGATCAATTGGCTTGCCTTTTATACAACGACTTGCCTTGATGATGCGAGATCTCAGTTCAGGAGAAGAGGGACAATGTTCCATGGTTGGTGCTGTAGAGGTGTTCGACAAGAGATGGTGGTTCAGAGATCTTGAAGATGACGTCCGTCGATCTTCGCCGAATTCAAAAGCCCAACCCTCTCTCTAACGAAGTGCCGCCGAGAAAGAGACCCTTTGCGTCATCCAGTGCATGTGAATTTGAGCCTCTTCTAGAGAGCATCTGGTTGTTGGGCCTGAGCAAGCATGTTGGGTCTCGGATTCTTCGAACGTGGTGGGTTGGGTTGTTTGAGTGGTGTAGGCCGCTTTCAACGTTCGAGTCTGAGACCGCCATGCCAGGCGTTGCAAGGGCAAGGTGTCGTTACAATCGAGTGGAGATAAACATTTGCTCAAACAGATATACTGAAAGTGTTGAAACAGAGTGACTATGGATCTCGAAACTCTTGGTTTGGAAAAGATATAGAGTAGGAGTAGATAATGCTCAGAACATGGTCCTTGGCTTCGACGATTGAGGGATGAAATGTATGCCATGGATTTTGACATAGAGTCCAACAACAGCGACTATGGTACATGAAACACCAATCTTCATGGACGGCAACATACTCTTGATAGTCAATCGCTCTTGATTCATCATTATCTACGGTTACCGGTGTGATATAGAGTGACAAAGCTTGGGACAGGGTCGTCCTCCCAACATATAATCAGCCAAGTCTCGGCAGTGCGGATGTTAAATGGCATGGAATAAGTAGAATGTTGGAATATTCCACTGATTTTAAGTGGAATATTCTACTCCGTTGGCATGGAATAGAATCGTCAATTTTAGTGGAATATTCCACCATTCCACTCTCTAGCAAGGTTGATATTATTTCTATTGGGTATGTTGATCTTCATATCTTATCGCGCTTACATAATCGTGCTAAGCTTGATGATTACTAATCAAACGACAGGGTGACCCCTAACATGGACAGGGTGGCGACAACAACAGCAGCAAAATTGGAATTGGCATCATTCCACTAGAGAATTGGCATAGAATGGAATACTAGCTGGAAGTGGTGGAATGGAATGGAATGAAGCCGATATTCCACCGATTCCATGTAACGTCCGCTCTGAGTCTCGGAACACATTCACATGGATGCAAGGGCTACAATTTGTTTGAAAGGTGAAAAATATTGTTCGTGCATTCATAAACTTGCTATATACATGATACTCGTGTCGCTTTACTTGTAGTACTCCTCGTGAGTGCCGGCCCTAGGAGCGCCGTTGTTGGGGGCAATGGACGAGTCCACCTTGACAGGGACCTGTCCGTTGGCATACTTGTTCTTCTTATCGGTAGCGAAGCCATTGTGGGTGCCGTTGAAGCTGAGCTCTCGGATGTCAGGGTAGCCCTTGATGCCAGTGGCCTTCTCGAGACGGCTGGCAAGGTCCTCGGAAACGTGGCGGAAGATAGCAATCTGGCGCTTGATGATTTCCTCCTTGCGGCAGGTGCTCATGTGGCCAGAGACGTTCTTGACGAAGCGCTCCTTGGCACCGTCATCGAAGACCTTCTCCCACAAGGCACGGGGAGCGTTGAAGTCCTCCTCACGGATCTCGGACAGGAAGGTGATGGCCTTTCCTGAGAAGTGGCCGTGAGTTCTGTCGAGGTCGAGGGTACGCTCACGGAACTGAGTGGGCTGGATGGAGGAAAGGTAAGCAGGACGAGAGCCTTGGTTGTAGAAGGCCATGCTTCCATCACGCTGGAAGTTGCCGATCCTGTAAGGAGTGCGGGGAGCGTTGACGGGCAACTGCTGGTAGTTGACACCGATACGGTGACGGTGGGTGTCAGGGTATGAGAACAGACGAGACTGGAGGACAGGGTCGGCCGAAGGCTCGATACCGGGAGGGTTATGAGAGGGGTTGAAGGCAATCTGCTCAATCTCGGCGAAGTAGTTCTTGACGTTCTCGTTCAAGAAGAATTCTCCAACCTTGCGAAGAGGGAACTGGCTCTGGGGCCAGACGTGTGTCAGATCAAAGACGTTGATCTTCTGGTTCTCCCAAAGGTCCTCAGCTTCCTTAGGGGTCATGGTCTGAACCTTGACATCCCAGCCAGGGAAGTCGCCGTTCTCGATGGCGTTGTACAGATCCTTCTGGTGAGCATCAGGGGAGTAGTTGTTGGAGTCCTCCTGGGTAATGAAACCAGTGCCCTGCTTCGACTTGAAGTGGATCTGGGCGTAGACCCATTCACCCTTCTTGTTAACGAGCTTTGTGGTGTGTCCGTAGTATCCGTGCATCTTGCGCCAGTTCTCAGGGATGCCGCGGTCACCCATAAGAATCATGACCTGGTGGACAGACTCGGGGTTCTGGGAAAGGTAATCCCAGAACATGGTCGAGTCATCGGCGTGGGTCAAGTGGGTGGCGGGGTCACGCTTCTGTGTGTGGATGAAGAGAGGGAACTTGGCGGGATCTCTCAAGAAGAAAACGGGAGTGTTGTTAGCAACGACATCCCAGTTGCCCTCGTCAGTACGGAACTTGACCGAGAAACCACGAGGGTCTCTGGCACAGTCGTGCGAGCCAGACTCGCCACCGACGGTGGAGAATCTGACAGAGATGGGGCACTTCTTGCCGGCCTGGAAGATGTCGGCCATGCAGAGGTCATCGAGAGGGTCGGTGGTCTGGTAGAAGCCGTGGGCACCACCACCCTTGGCGTGGACGACTCTCTCGGGAATACGTTCACGGTCGAAGTGGGAGAGAAGATCTACCAAGTGGAAGTCCTGGAGAAGAAGAGGACCGTTCTCGCCGACGCGCTGGACCTCGTACGGGTGAGGCATGGGGACACCGTTGCTGGTGGTGTACAGGGTGTCCTCGGATGATGCATTGCGGTCATCATTGTAGTCGCGGTGGAGGTCACCGTTCTGTCTGCCGTCAGGGGCGTGTGTAGTTGCTGAAGGTGCCATTTTGTGTGATTGTGTGATATGGAAAATATGGAAAAGCAAGTTCAGGCAGAGCGTAGCTACTGATATATGTAGGCACTTTCCAATTGCCGCCCTTGATGCTTGAGCTTGTGCTGAAACTATGGATGATGTCACCGATGTAATGCGTTCGGCGTGAACCGCTCGTCGTCAGTGTATTGGTCAGACGAGATTTAGAGTTTGAAATTGACATCGATACCCGCGAGATCCATCTGTCAGATGAAGTGCACGCTTGGTGCTTCCAATGTCTCTGGAGACCCGGAGAATGCTAGCCATAGGAGCTAGCGACATGCCATCACTGTCTGTGGAACAAGCAATGGTACGAGATCAGTCTTTGTGGGACACAGAGTGAGAACACCTCCCTGACAGAGAAGACCATTGAATGGTAAGTGCCGTGTAGTGAAGCACTCTACAGGCAATCTCCTTTGGAAAACGCTCATTTTGCATGGTCATCGAGTTTCCTGCGAGAATCTGTACGTACCGCCCGGATTCTTCCAACCACCTCGCCTGCGCCCGCATGTTCCATGGCAAACTCCGTTAAAGTAGTACGGCTATTATTTCAGTTTACTGACACTGCTCGAGCACTCCGTATCACAACGGCGACTACCGTGGCATCTACCGTGGCATGATGGTGTCGACGTCTCCCAGGCAAAAATGATCGATTTTCGATACAGGCTGTTTACGACCACACGTCCTCGCCTGAGGCCACCAGCCTTCTGCGATAGCCGACCTCGCTTGCAGAACCAAACTTGCCGACGCAGATTTCGGTTGCGATAGCCTGTGCTCAAACGGCATGGAACATCATGTCTCAACCACTCAGGTAAGGTGTTGATTGTCAAGCTACGATATGCTCACCTGAGATATTCCTTGTTGAATGCTCTTCCAATAACCATCCTTCTGATTTCACTGGTTCCTGCTCCAATCTCATACAGCTTAGCATCTCGCATTATCCTGCCAGCAGCAATCTCGCTCATGTAACCCATACCACCCATGCACTGGATAGCGTCCATTCCACATTCGGTCGCCCTCTCTGCAGCGTAGAGGATAGCGCCGGCACAATCCTGAGTCTTGATCTGAGCATTGTCCGGATCATTGTCAATTGCAGCAGCCACCGAGTATGTGAAGGCCGATGATGCCATGTACTTTGTGTACATGTCTGCGAGCTTTCCATGCATGAATTGGTTTGTGCCGATTGGCTGACCAAACTGCTTGCGCTCGTGAACATATGGTAGGGTCACATCCAAGGCTGCTTTCATCAATCCGAGTGGACCTGCGCTCAAGACCAATCGCTCCAAGTCAAGACCTTCCATGAGCACTCGGACACCTTTGTTGACTTCACCAAGAATGTTCTCGGTAGGCACGAAAACGTCCTCTAATACAATCTCACCAGTGTTGGATCCTCTCATACCGAGTTTGTCGAGTTTCCGAGCGCATGAGAAGCCTTTGGCTGTGGTGTCTACGATGAAAGCGGTGATACCTTTGGAGCCAGCATCCGGTACCGTCTTTGCGTACACGACCATTGTGTCTGCGTCAGGACNCCTGAAGAATCATCAGTAGTGTGCAAGAAGTCTGCTAAATCCACTTACATTAGTGATCCAGAACTTTGTGCCATTCAAGAGATAACCGCCATCAACCTCCTTGGCCGTCGTCTTCATACTGACGACATCACTCCCGGCCGAGACTTCAGACATTGCCAGAGCACCGACCTTCTTGCCAGCGATCAAATCTGGAAGAAACCTTTGCTTCTGGTCTGTGTTGCCGTTCAACATGAGCTGGTTCACACACAGTTGAGAGTGTGCGGCGTATGACAGTCCGATGCTTCNCTGCATGTTGTGAGCATTAGAACGGAAAAGAGAGCGGGACTGTTTACCTGATGCTCTGGACAGCTCTTCCATCACAGTGCAATGTGCTTGGTAGCCCATGGCAAGGCCGCCATAGTCTTCGTCAGCGGTGATGCCTAGTANACCTACAAAGATTCAGTATAAATCAAGTTATGAGTTTGGTTGATAGTACCCTGCTTCACCCATTTTTAGCCACATGTCATTAGGAAACACATTGTCATGGTCCGTCTTGACAGCAACATCTTCGGGAATCTCGCGAACTAAGAACCAAAGTTAGAGAAGACCAAGATTCAGTATACAGATTGACACACGAGCAAACTCTCTGGTCCTCTCACGCAGCTCTTCTAGATCTTCTCGCGCAGGTGGGGTATAGCCATTCGGGTGCTTTCTGGCGAGACATGACTGAGTGGTCGAGAGTGATCGTTGTTGCAGTTTAGAAACTCGAGCGAGCGCTCTGAGAATAGGTCTGGTAGACATGGTTGTAGACATGATGTACCAACGATACGTATGCTCTGGCGAAGGAAGGGATGGTCGTGTGGGGGTATTATTTGCGGAGGAGAGGCGCCTCTGACCGAGGGCAAGGTTTGGCGGATCAAATTCCGCGCCCTGCACGCCCAGAGCGCCCTTCCGGCAGCGGCAGAGGCTCGTGTTTCATGCGGGGCAGCCGAGAGGGGTACGGGTGAGCACCTGTGTGGACATGATAATATGCCCACGACCTTCAGGCGGATGATGTAGCTATATACACAATGATTGCAGCTGCGCCGGCCCGTTGGCTGCGCGTCTCGTCTCTTCGATCGGCTATACCGCATTGCCATCCTCGCCCCCGACCTTGTCTTCGTTCAACACCCGCAGCGCAAGCATGCCTTGAAGCCAGGACGGCGGCCACGTACACATCTCGCCATCAGGCTGCTCAGATCTCGGTGCTGCAGACTGCTGTTGACACAAATTCGACGGGCTATGTCGACAATAANAAGTCAATGCAAGAGCTGCTCGACAGTTTCACTACTCTACACCGTAATGCCGCTCTAGGAGGTTCCGAAAAGGCACGCGAGAAGCATGTCGCCAAAGGGAAGATGTTGGTGCGAGAGTAAGTCAAGTCTGGCCATGATCAACAATCCATACAGCGACTTACTTCTTGTAGTCGCATCACCGCCCTGGTTGACCCAGGCACTTCCTTCCTCGAGTTGTCAGCTCTGGCCGGTCATGAGGTGTATCCTGGAGAAGAAGTACCAGCTGGAGGTATCGTGACAGGCATTGGCACAGTCGAAGGCATCATGTGCATGATCGTTGCCAATGACAGCACGTAAGTCTTGAATATAGCTTCTATATAGGCTGTACTGACAGCCGTAGTNGTCAAGGGCGGCACCTACTACCCCATCACCGTCAAGAAACATCTTCGAGCACAAGAAATTGCCCAGCAAAACCGACTCCCCTGCATCTACCTCGTCGACAGTGGCGGTGCCAACCTCCCTCACCAAGCAGATGTCTTCCCCGACCGCGACCACTTCGGACGCATTTTCTACAATCAGGCAAACATGTCTTCAATGGGCATCCCACAACTCTCAGTCGTCATGGGTCCTTGCACCGCAGGAGGAGCATACGTTCCCTCCATGAGCGACGAGAGCATCATTGTCCAAGAGCAAGGCCACATCTTCCTCGCCGGCCCACCACTGGTCAAAGCAGCCACCGGAGAAGTCGTAAGCGCAGAAGATTTAGGCGGAGGCAGACTACACAGCGAAACCAGCGGCGTAACAGACTACCTCGCCGTCGACGACGCCCACGCTCTCGTGCTCGCCCGCCGTTGCGTCGCAAACCTCAACTATCCCGCCTCAGCCCCAAAACCAGAACCTTGGAAAGAACCCCTCTATGATCCTGCAGAATTAGACGGTATCATGGGCACGAATCTCAAAACTCAAATCGATGTCCATGAAGTCATTGCTCGCATTGTTGATGGCAGCGAGTTTGCAGAGTTCAAGCCTTTGTATGGCAGTACTTTGGTCACGGGCTTTGGACGCATTCAAGGACATCAAGTTGGCTTTGTTGCCAACAACGGTATTCTGTTCTCAGAGTCGTCACTCAAGGGCGCTCATTTTGTGCAGCTCTGCAACAAACGCCGCATACCCCTGGTCTTCCTCCAGAACATCTCTGGTTTCATGGTCGGCCGCGATGCTGAAAAAGGCGGTATTGCAAAGAATGGTGCTAAGCTGGTGACCGCTGTAGCTTGTGCAGATGTGCCCAAGTTCACTGTAGTATTTGGCAGCTCTGCCGGAGCGGGCAACTATGGCATGTGGTGAGTAAACCTTCTTGACCTCGATCTAAGACCAGTGACTAACAATCAACTCTCCNNTAGTGGCCGCGCATACTCACCACGCTTCCTCTGGGCCTGGCCAACAGCAAAAACCAGCGTCATGGGAGCCGAACAACTATCTTCGGTCATGGAAGCTGTTGGCAAAAAGGTCGACCCAAATCTACGCGATCGTATTGAACGTGAAAGCGAGTCCACATTTGCGACTGCCAGGCTGTGGGACGACGGCATCATCCCTCCCTCACACACGAGAAGGGTTCTGGCCATGGGCTTGCAGGCTGCTCTTTCAGGGAGTGTCGAGGATAAGAAGACCGAGTGGGGTGTGTTTAGGATGTAGCTTACCATCATATTTAGCAAGCGTTTCCCTAAATGTCTGTGTAACGAGTATATCGAATGGTTTACCAGTATGCTGCTAGCGAGATCCATGACATATATCGATGACCTACCTCGGCTTCACAAACTGCTGCATGCTTGCAATCTGAAACACATCATCTTCAAAGCTTGTTAGCTATCAATGTAATTACCTAGGTACGTTCGGGATACAGGAACTAAAGCTCGTCGTGAGAAGCTGACTCCTCAGGCTTCAGAGGCTTCAACTTGTGAGCATTCATCAATGCCTCGTACTGCTCATCAGTCAATTCTTCCATCTGCATCTGAACCTTCTCCTCAGGCTTCTCGGCCTTCTCGGCAGCAGGTGGGGTTTGCTTCTCGGCGGCTTCCACGATGACACTCTCGGCCAACTTCTCCTTCTTGCCTTCGCCCATACGGATCGAGTCAACCCATGCGTCAATAGCATTGTGGCTGACATCGGAGATGGCCGAGTAGCGCTTGACCCAAGCCTTCTTGGCGTTGACGGCGACAATCTCGAGAGAGTCATCAGACAGACCCAATGCTGAACGCAAGTCGGAAGATGCAGATGCTGGCACATTGTAGAAGGGNNGGAACAGCTTGGCTCCACGCTTCGTGTGCTTGTGGTGGACCTCAGACAGAACACTAGCAGCCTTGGAGACGGGTGAGTCTGTGGTCTGGACGAAGGCAGATGGAGCAAGAAGCAGAATGCAAACACCAGACTTGGATGTCAGACAGCTTTGCTGGAGAGACTCAGGAGTGTCGAGAGTGGTGATTTGAGGGGGCACATCGGGGATTTGGACAGGTTTCTGAGTGTCGTCGGTGGCAACTTGAGGGTTGGGGCTCTCAGTAGGGTTGCTGTTTTCTTCAAGAGTCTCGGCAGTCTGTGAAGCCTTGACGCTAGCAGATTCGTCGGAGCGATGGGAAGACGAAGCCTTTGAGAATTGAGATGAAGCCTTCGAGGACTGTTTAGCGTCCTTTGACGATGCCTTTGACTTCGACTTGGACGAAGAAGCAGGGGCGGGATCAGGGTTTGGTGTGGCAGCTTGTGACAAGAATTCGACGATAGCGGCCTTGTTCATTTCGCCAGAATAGACAACAGGATCCTTGGTACCGCCAGGAAGCAGCACAAGAGTGGGATATGAAGTGACACCGAAGAGAGAGACGGCAGCGGCTTCCTTGCTTCTGGTCTGAGCGACCGAGATGGAGCCCAAGAAGTCGATAGCCACGGCTTTGATGAGAGCGCTAGTTACGCCCTTCTCGCTGAACAGGATGGCCTTAGCCGAGGAGTTGTTTTCGGTCAGCCAGCTGTCAAGGTCCTTGTCGGTCACTCTCTTGACATGGCTGGGAATCTTGTCCTTGACAGACTCAACAATGCCCTTTGCGGTTCTGGGACCCTGGTAGTCCTCGACTGTGGGTCTTCCGACCTTCTTTCCAGGACGGACGATCTTCAAGGTAGGGAAGCCTTTGACATCCATGCTGCCACAGAAAGCCTTGTTCTCTTCTTCATCGCAGTTGACAGCAGCGACCTTGGCAATACCATCGAGAGATTTGGCAGCTTTCTCATAGGCGGGCTTGAGATTCTGGCAATGACCACACCATGGAGCATAGAATCTGGAACGAATAATGAGATCAAGTCAAGGATTGTGTTATAGAAACATGACTTACTCAACAATCTACTATCTTATCAGCGTGACTGTATGTAGGTTTATCCAACGGGAATGACTTACAGAAGTGTGATTAGAATTGGCGATCAACGAACGGTAGCTTCTAGCATCGAGGTTGAGAACGCCCGAGTTCTTGGTGTAGAGACCAGCAGCTTGAGACGATGGGAGTAACAGCAGACCAGCTGCAGCCACAGTCAAGGATTGCAGATTCACCATGATGGCGATTTGCAGGTTGACAGGATCGATGAAGAGATGGAGAGACGATATCCATTCAAGGCAACTTGTCATCAAGGTGCCTGCCTCACATAAATACCAAAGGACATGTGGCTCGAGCACCCCGAGGCCGAGGCTTCCCCGCGCCATGCTCGTCAGCCACGAGGCAACCCTGACCTCTTTCGGAGCTGCCTGCATCTGCATCCTGACCATCGCAACTGCCTTGTCACCAGACATATCGCGACAAGATGGCCGCCTCCCTCCCAGCCAAGTTGAAAATCAAAGAAATCACACCATTCGCCGTCCGCGCCGCACAGCTTGAAAAACACAAGCCCATCGTCTCGTACTGGTGCAACTACTACATCATCGACCAGATCCTCTCCAAGGGTCTGCACTCGGCCGACGATGAGTGCATGCAATACACGACGACCCTGATGGACAAGCTCGAGCAGACCAAGACGGACCAGGCAGGAAACGATGCCATTGTCGACGACATTGCCGCAAAGGCATACATTGAGCAGTTCGCTCTTGACACGTTCCAACGCGCCGACGATGCCATCCACTCCAACAAGGCCTCACGTCAGACCATCGACACCTTCCAAGCCGCCGTGACCTTCTTCGATCTGCTGTCCATGTCCATCTGGGCTCCAATCGACCCCGAGATTACGGCAAAGTCCAAGTACGCAAAGTTCCACGCCGTTCGCATTGCCAAAGCCATCAAGGCCGGCGAGGACCCAAACGATTCGAATCCCGTCAAAGAGGAAGAAGAACCCCCAGTAGCCTCTATCCAAGACGCATACCACCCTCCCACCGTCGAGAGCGCCCCTGAGAGCCAGTACCCTTCTCGTCCAGCATCAGTCACTCAACCCGATCCCAGTCACATTGCTCCACCATCTGTCCAAGACGCCGTCTCGCCCGTCGAATCCACAAACCCACGCCAAAACTCCATCGGTGGTGGCTACTTTCCTTCTGCCCCCACCTTTGCTTCAGATCCTGCGCCATCCGACGCGCCCTCCACCAATCCAGGCACCCCCTTCATACCCTCTGCGCCAACGCCAGCTGCTGTAGATGCACCAGTCTCGCCATCGCAATATTACACACAGCCTACACAACCACTTGCATCAATACCTATGCATACCCCTGCCGTCGTGCCGCCACCAGCCGCTGCTCCGGCGCCTCTTCCACCTGTGCAGGCTGTGGCTCCAGGTACCTACCGAACCGACGACGACTCCATTACACTGGCCCAGAAGCACGCCAAATGGGCCATGTCAGCCCTGAATTTTGAGGACGTTGACACCGCTGTCAAAGAGCTGAGGCTGGCTCTCCAGACATTGGGTGCAACTTAGTCTAGAATAAGCGCGTCCTCGCGAGTTCGTAACTGTCTTCACTGACCAAAACTGCTCCACCGAAGACTCTTTGACCACCAAGCTCGACAAGAAAGTGGACTGTTCGTCAGCTCGAGAGTGCCGTATTCAGACACCACTCTGTTGAGTGTGTCTATTTTCCAGCACAAGCGAGCGACACACCAATGACAAGATAATCTTCAGCATGTCTGTTGGTTCTAGTCATTAAGCTGCATTTCAGCTGCCGTTGCCAGGGAGCGACTCTACCTCTCCCAACTATCGTCGAGCTCGTACGAGGCCGAGCTCTACGCTCGTCTTCCTCTCAACAACGCTTCTGATGTTGGTGGTTGGTTCTTGTTTTTGTTCAATCTCTAGCACATAATGTTTTATCGTACAGATACCCATTTTCGCATACAAATTATACCCCTGCTTGTGGCCATTGAGCCCAATGTATCATGCCGGTGTTTGTTCTTGGCCATATGCAAGAGCCCGCAAGTCATCAGGCGTGTGATATCTTGTACCACCTTGTAAACAGTAACCACCGTTGCCAAAGCCGAACATCTGCTTCTCATACACCGGTTTCCATATATGGAGCAGGCTCCTGTTCATCAATCCTCTCTGGGGCCACGAGACAATGAAAGGAATGGTAAGCGGTGGTCAGTTTCCGTCTTAATGCGTGCTGACTCCCTTGATACAGGAGCCGACTCGTTGTTATCAATGTTCTCTAGATAGCAAATGGTACTCGCTTCACCGTTCTTAACCTTGAGAGTCAGTCTTTTGATCGTGCTGTAGACTGTAGTCCAACTGCGAGTTTCGATGTATCCCAAAGCAGGAAGTGTGTCTCGAAAGTCTGCAGCGCGCCTTCCCGTTGTGTCGTTTGCGATGAGTCGGCAAGACGACAAGCCCAGCCCTGGACTGATCACACCTTCCGCTTTCTGGCCACACGCGAATACCCACATCTCTCGAAACCACACTTTCTCGACGAACTCTGCACATCACTCGCCTACTGATACCATCAGCTCTATCATGACCATATTCACCTGAGCATCTACCCACGACAAAACCATAGTATGTGGCTAAAGATCTAACGTTTGCGCTCCCTTGTCTGTACTGACCTTATACGAACATACGGTACTCACCCTCCGACATGCAACCTGTTTGCTTTGCTCCTAAGAGCCATCCGGACGGCTTACACGATGACTTCGAAACCTATCCCTTCGCCCCTTCAAGCAATATATGGATAGGCTATCTTGACCAGCCCACGAAGGCTTACCGTCACTTCATCAGCCTCGATGATCTTGTCGACAAGGCTCAGGAAAACCACGAGAATGGTTACAAGAGCAGATTTCCTCTTTATGTGGCCACCTTTGATGGCCGCGACGGGCGTTATGTCCCGCTCAATGAAGATCTGATGTTTAGCACTCAGTGTTCTGCCTGCAAAGACAAGAAAGACTGCGATCGTGTGTTGATGCAGTACTTTCCTATCAAAGTCTGGAACTACGCTCGTAAAAGACCAGTCAACATCTTCGTAAGTACACATTACTCTGGGTTTGCTGACGCTGACGCCGAAAAATCTAGNCTCTGTGGTCTAGTCTTCAAGATCAAAGGTCAGACCATGCTCGCACTCCTGAGACACAAATCTCACGGCAAATATGGCTTCCAGCAAACCAGTGGTGAGGTCTCGAAGACCATGACTGTTGAGTTTGCCGAGCCGAGATCCAACTCTGTCGATGAGAGAGATGCATCTACAGATGAAGCTCTCAACCATGATAAGGCATGTTAACGGACAACCTAACTCGTTACGGCGGACTAACCTTAAGAGAAGGCTGATACTGCAAACCACCTCGACTCAGCTTCGCCAAACACGAATATATCAAACTACTTCGCCAAACCGCTGAATTGTACTTCCGTCATTGACCTTACACTCGACGAGGAAGACGAGCAACCTATCGAGCCCGAGCTTAGAAACACTCTGCAGAACCACGAAGTCATATCAGCCGCCACTTTGCAATCTGAGCACCACCCTTCGCAGCTTGCTTCGAACACACCTACTGATTTGATGAAGCAATTCGGTGGCATGATGGCCAGTATCGTAGCAGGCTTCGGCATCGATGCTCTGGACCAGCCTGAAGCCAGAAGATTGAAAGTTTGCATGGGACAAGCTGCAAAAACGGGAAACAAGACACTGCTCTGTCATTATTTCGGAGCACTGAATGCTGTATTGCTGGTTGGCAAGTAAGTTCAAGTATAACAACGAGAAAGTGGGTACAAGGTTGAGAGTCACTGTGACAATGCTTAAATGAACACTACAAAAGCAATTCTACTCTTACAAAGTGCTACCTCGCAAGGCACCTTCTCCCATTCTCGTATTGGTCTGCACGTCGGTCCCTCATTCTGCTCAACTTTCAAGTCTTGTTCAGATGTGTGTTCTCGTTCATTGGGCGCTGTCTTTCATTTAGGGAACAGACGATGCAAAAATACACTCCTCACGACGAGGACGATGTTGTTCTTGACCGAGAAGCCATGTCTTCTGCAGGACATATAGACTCGCACCTATACCGAACGAAGTCACTATCCTGTATTGCTGGCAACCTGGTATATAGTCATCGAGCGGACACGACAAGTTCTCATCTTGTATCTCGAATGCGAGATGACTGTAACATTGTTTCGAACAACGCACGAGGAGTTGCAAGGATTGGAAGGAAGTTGCAAGGATTGAAGGGAAGTGACAAAGATTGAAACGAAGCTCCAAGGGTTGAAAGGAAGTTACAGAGATTGGAAAGTAAAGTATCATGCTATATATCCGGCTCAGACTTCGAACCACGCTTTAAAAGGCTGCAACTAGTCAGACGCGTTGCGCAATTGGCCATTCAAGATCATCCTCCAATGCTTGCAATTCTCGATCCGCTTCAAGACCTCTCCGTGACTAATCAGCTTCGCCTCCATATCATCTCCTTCTTCCTCACAAGCAGTCTGCTGATATCCAATCATCCTGGAGCGCATACCAGAGGTTAGCTGGAGACAATCTCCTTGCTGGCAAGTGGTCGCGTAATGGATCTGAGCTTGACGACGCCAGTCTCTGATGTCAACCAGCGTGGGCACGACTTCCATTGCCATCAATGTTTCCAGGACAGTCATGATCAGCGTGATTTCTGGATCGTAGGTTATGCTGTCAGCAAGGTAAAAGCTCAGTCTCGGTTTCAGTGAGACTTTGGGACATGAGGCGAGACGAGCCACAGGTCTTGCGGCTGTAATGATCCGAAGAGCGTCTTGAACGAACCCGGTGTCTTCGTCGTTTGAGCAGGTCTCGATTTCAGGGTCAATGGCTCTGATTTCCAGAGAACTCAGGTTGGGTAGCTTCGAATTGATCAAGTCGACAAGGATGTTCATGTCTTTGGCCGACAGAGATTCTCCAGATGCATAGTTGTTATTGACGATTGCCAAGTGTCGGTAGAGCGCACAAGATGCAGATGGAAGCTTGTCGAGGAACTCGTGAAGTAGTGTAGGACCCCTTATAACATCGGGACGTTCACCGAAGGTGTATTCCAGACGTGCATTTGCATAAACGATAGGTGTCGCTTCCGCATAAACCAATCTGCTGGCTCTGGCGAGCGACCATAGGTCACTGTAGTCTAAGTGTTTGACTGAAGACTTGACAGGTTTGGGCAAGGCCTCGGTAGTGCTTTCATCGTCAGGAGGCAGCAGTTCTGTAACACGATCCCAGTTTTGTTGTCCGTCCTTGTCCAGAGTGAACATGATCTTGTCTCTGTCGTTGATGGGGTCGACGAGTAATGCATTGTAGATCTTCGCCCTGATCTCGGGTGGCAGGTCCAGAAAGTTTGCCATGAGGTGAATTGATTTAGAGGAAGTTGGGGATGGAAGATGGAGACGGATTGCGTGGATATACTGCCGGTCTTATAGTCTGATGGAGTGAAAATCGCATGGCGAGGGGTTGATTGATTGCTGCGCGCGTTTGTACCAACACAGCTCTAAGACACCCATGTCATGGCAACAACACGCGAGACAGGTCCTGCCCGAAACAAGAAAAACCAAACATGATTTACAAAAGTTGCCAGGAACCAAGGACGCTGCTTGCCCTTTTGATGTTCCGTTTCCATGGTTCATACTCGGGTAACTGCATGACAGCCTTCGCTCCTTCTGTCCTTACTACGAATGTACGCTGAGTTTACATGAACAGACCTTTGACTGGATATTGTGTTCTTGGATGAAGGAATACGCGGTCTGGGGCATGTTTCGGTGTTGGCGTATTGGTGTTGTGATACTGGATACACTCTGGGTTCGTCCGATGATATGGATGACCTCCCTCTCAATTTGAAACGCTTTGTGACCACCAACCCGTCGTTCTCGCATTCGGCATCTTGCCCGCTGTCTTTTCGCCAACTCTATTCTGCCTCGCCCGTGATGCGGAAGATTCGTAGAACCTTCTTCTTCCGTCAGTATCATCTGCTCCGGCGTAGCCTGTCTTTTCTCTTGTCGGTAACGTCGTATACACGATCCCCTGTTCTGCGCTTGCATCCAGCTGGTGCATTCCATCAATCATTACAGTAGCGCCGGGAAGACTGATGCTGCAAGCCCTAAGCGTCTGTCGTATGTCGTCGAATAAGAGGTGCATGGCGCAGATATATGTCAAGCCTGTACGTTCAGCGAGCACATGGCCAGCGACTTGACCAGTGGTGTTGGAAACTATCCACGCACCCGAGTCTCCACCAACACCAAAATCTCCAATTACCGTCCAGCTGAGGGAGAAGTTCCTGCGTCCTTTGATCTTCACAAAAGACTGTGCTGCGCTGATGATGCCAGTCTTGAGACCCGATGTCCGGCCCAAACAGTGCACTTCCAGGTTCGCAAGATTGGAGGCCGGAATGATTTCAGTTGGATACCAGTCTTCTTCCGCTGTATAGAGACTGTTGCGTCTACAGACCGGATTTTTGAGCTCGGGTACGAAGGATACCGGTGATTTGCAATGCCGACGACCGCCTTGGATCAAGTTATAGGGTTGAAGCCGAGGAGGATCAAGTTCCAGGAGAGCCCAGTCGATCTCGTAGCGTTTGCCTCCTTCATTCCAGCGACGGAGTCCAGAGGAAGCGTAGACTTTGCCTAATTTGTAAGAGGATAAATGATCCTCATCCAGCTCTTCGGTAGTCGCGTCGTCGGCGTGGAGGTCTTCGGCTACAGCGTCGCCAAAGGCTGGTTGGGTCACTTGTACAGTCTTGGAAGACGATGCTGCGATGCCGGGTCTGTCGCCCGCATCTTCGGCTTCAGAGACATCGCTCTCAAAGTCTGACGATTCGTAACCATCGTCGTCAGAGTCCACGCTTGAGACTGACGAGAGGTCACTCATATATCCGTGATCATTGCTTAAATTTGTCACAAGACGCGGCAAGGTTGGCTCTGGGGCTCTTGCACTTGAACGATGAGCACCTTGGTTGGCCTGTTCGTCCATGTCCGAACCCGAGTCGTCACTTGAGTCTTCTTCGTCGGTCGGAGGCTCGAGCATATGGTGTACGCTCATGCCATATTCTTTTTCGTCGACTTTAATTATACCACCAAGTGAACATGGTTCAAGGTGGCCGTGATCAGGCAGATATGCACCGATGGATGCACCACAAAGAGGACGCTCCTGCCAGAAAGGGTTCATTGCGGTTATGTTACTNNACGTACAATTTGTCAGCCTCAAGCATGACATACACGAGTCTTGAGCTTTGTTCTGTAAAGAAATTGGGTATCATAAGGAAATATTTGGGTATCATGAGGAAGCAATTGGGTATCGAGCAAAAGAAGAAGAACACCTGTAAGACGAAAGACGGAAGACGAAAGACTCAAAGAAAAAGAAAACGAGAGAGAACGAGAATCATGTTGTGTACCTTTCGTTTCCATCGCCTCTTGCATGACTTCGCTTGACAATGTCACCTTTGCCACAGATCCTTGTTTTGCCTCTTGACAAGGACACACAGCCTTGTCGGACCTTGAGGTCGAACATCGTCCGATCATAGTGGAACTTGCGTTTGAGTGCGGCTTTGACTCTTGCTGTATTCGTGCAAGTCACAACGATAGTAGGCTTTGCGGTAAAAGCATCATGCCCAACACTGACGAGGTCGATGCTTGAGGACTCGGTAGAGCCCTTTAGTGCTCGCTCAATTATGCAAGAAAGACGGAATCCGATATCTGAGTGCCACTCATCCACAATGGGCTGTGGAAGGGAAAGTGGGAACAGGCGACATTTGCCTATTGGAGCAACCGGTCGATGATCGGTCTGCAATTGTTGAGGTGGAGCTTCTTCATGGACATTACGGCGTGTCTCAGCTTTTCTCGCACGCCATCGTGACTGGATGAGCATGACTTTACGGCGGTAGTCGCGAAACGAGAAAGGGAATGGATCAGCGCCAGACTTTGGTTGTATACTGGCAGTAGGAAGAGAACGATCGAGAGCAGCAGCTGGAGTAGGAGTCGAGGCTTGGGTCGCGGATTGCGAGATGGGCTTGATAGAATCCGCGCTTTTGGAGTTGGACCGATTCGACTTGGCACTCAGCATCGAGAGGATAGGCGAACGAGGTCCAACGGAACTCGAGATGGCAGATGGGTAGGATGCAATAGAAGCCCTCTCAGCAGCTTTGAGATCGGGAGAGTCGGTAACGTGATCTCCAGGTGAGATGTTACGACGTTTTTTCTTCGCTGCCTGCAGACCTTCCAGGCTGCTTTGAGCTTGCAAGAATGCAGCCGGAATCTGAGTTATCTCCAAGGGTTCCGTCTCGTCCAGCAATACACAGCGCTGAAGCTTGACAAGAATCGAGTCGTACACGGCCTCAACGCCAACATGTCCGACGTCGTCATTATCAGCCCATCGCAAACAAGTCTGCACTGCGCGCATATAGAGTGATCCGCATTTGCTTGCAAGCTTTGGTATGTAAAGCTTCTCCAATCTGAGCTTGAAATCCTTCAGCGTGTACTTTTCCTTGAAATAGTCGTTCACAGGATTCCAGAGACCAATTTCCAGAAGAACGAGACCGATTTGATAAAGGTCATACCTAATGGCTGTGACGTCATCGATCTCGCCTCCCTTGTCTTCTGGATGTTTTGTGATGTTGGAAATTGGCGATGAATCTCCATACTCAATTCTGTTTCTAGAGAACATGTCGAATGCTGAAATGACAGGCCGATGCAACTCGCTCTGTCGTGGTTGCGGGGATTGACCCTCTTGCAGGAACACGATACTCTCGCTGTGTATATTCCCGTGAAAGTAGTTTTCGGCATGCAAGTCCCTTAGTTTTTCCACAAGACGTAGTGCTATACGAAATCGGTCTTCCAGGAACGGAGTAGCGTTCGAGACATCCACTGCTCTTTTGGCTTGTGTCGCGGTCAATATGAGGCCCATAAGAGTGACTGGGCGAATTTCTGGGGATTGGTGCGGTTGAACGGTGCGATAGTCGTAGACCAGTCCTACGCGAGGTTGCTGAGGGTCTTCCACATAGCCAAGCAGCCTGAGGTTTCCCCTGTTGGACAACATATTCAGAGAGGAAGCCAGCTTCTCTACTCGCGTAAGTGGTGGAGAAACGCCAGTGTCACGATATAGCGGGTCGTAATTCTCAAACTCGACCATGACCCAGACATACTCATCTGTGACATCCCTAAACACATTTCGAACGCTTTCGGGGGCCAAGGATTTGCTCAAGCGACCCATCATTCTAGCTGTAGATGGAACGCCCAAGTATTCGTAAGGAGGAGGACCTTCTGCTGGTAGCATTAAAGCCTGAGGATTAATGCTTGCTGGTAGTCCGGCGTAGGGTGATAGAGTGGGCCGTGTGAACTGCGTGTTGACCAGAGTCTTTTCCGAAGAAGCGAAGCTGGCGGCATCGAACGAAACCTTTGGCATACGGAGGCCATGTTTGGCGATGTCATGGGGGTGGTCGCTCAAGTTTGGATACGTGCCTCGGGCGATTGCTCTGCGGGTGGCTGAAAGGTCATAGAGGACATCAACAGACGAAGTCAAGTCGCGTAACAGATCTTCGTATTTGTCTTGGTTGAAGACGACCTTGTCAGATGCAGGATTGTGTGATGAGAGTCTATCGGCTTGTTCGAGGATCTCCTTGATGTTTCCTAGGATGTTGGTTACATTTTCGGTCAGACCAGCTCGCTCGATGGATTCGTCGATGCTGTCGTTCGTCTCTTCAGCCCATTCCAGACCCCAGGCTATTAGGCGATCGGTTTGCGCGTGAAGCTTGCGCTGGAGTCTCGCGGAAGCAGGACTCGGCTCCTGCTTATCTACATTTATGGCGGCCTTTCTTTTCGTGTCGTTGTAGAGGCTTGTGAGATTGTGATTATATTGTATAGAAGCCATGACGCGTTTGTGTTTTTGTCAATATCAAGGCGTGAAATCCATGTCGAGACGCTTTGCAGAGACTGATGGATGGTTACTGCATTCATCAGGGTTGTGCGTGGAAGGCAGCCATTTGAGCAAGGGAAAGAGGTCGCCTCCGAAAGCTGCTGCCTGCGGAACGGTGAGAAGGCCCGCGTGGCTTCCCAAGCCAAGCTCCAAGCAACCAACAAGCACGTCGCAAGCAGTCGGTCGCAACTGCCTCGGCTTGTCCGACGTCCGTCTGCGAAACATCCACGCCGCCTTTGCGAATCGCGACCTTTCGCTACAGCGCTTTACCAACATGCCACATTTCCCTTCTGCTAGTCAAGCGCCCGATGGACAGGAAAGCGATGTAGCGCGCACTGCACGTATTCGTGTCAAGACCCGAAGGCGAAGATACCTGGAACAAAATGTCGACTACTACAACTCGCCCAGCCTAGAGCTTGCAGGTGCTGCCGCGCGGCGTGTGTACGACTGAGATCCTCGATACCAACCCGTGCAACANGATCCCCTACTATACGACCGCATGGTCAGACGCTTCCAAAGCGCCGCGGAGCGTGAGGCCGATGGACGCGACAAGGGTTATTCGGGCATACTCGAGGCCGACTTGATGCGGTCAGAGGCCAAAATTGAGGCTTTGAACCACCCGGATCCCAACAGCCCTTTGACATATCGACGAGATGCATCAGGCGCAATTACAGTAGTGGAACAAGACGAGGAAGATAGGCCAAAGACGAAAAAAGAGGGGTTGTCCAAGTGGCGCGAGTACGTCGAGATGCGTTTCCTCCGAGGCGAAGACCAAGACTTTGATTACAAGCTTGTCGACGAAGATGAACGCTATGACGACCTAGACTGGGAGAGGCGAGAAAGAGAAGAAAACTACTTTGGACAGGAGGAAGCCGAATTCGTCGGCGAGGGCGAGAAGACGGGTGAGACAGGAGTGCAGGACTATTAGAAATTGTGGCATGCTATGCGCGTATACTCCGTTATGAAAAGCTTCTATTGATGATATGGTTCGGACAATTGTGATTTGTATATGATACAGCGCGTGGTGGTGGTCTTGGAGGGGTAGTGGACGGAGTACGAGGGTTTAACCTCTGCTCTTGGTGTTCAGGATAAGGGCGACGATCANATCTAGGGGTGGTTAGCATCAAAGACTTGGTTCGAAGCAAGATGATGAACGATACCCGTATAGACCCAGAACTTCTCCGAAAATGAGAATCAGAACCATGCCAACAAAGATTCGTGACTGCTGCATGTACGATCTCACACCCATATCGCCAACAATTCCAATGGCGTATCCTGCAGCAAGACCGGTCATGCCAACCGAGAGACCGCAGGCAAGGTGCATGAAACCTGTAAAGAGACTGTAGTGGGTGCCCGGAGGAGGACGCATGTCACCAGCAATCAAGACGGCGACAACGAGGGCGTAGACGGCGATGATACCGGACATGACGACGGGGATGAGCGACTTCATGATCAGATCGGATCTGAAGGTACCGACACCAGCGATACCGATACCAGACTTGGCTGTACCAAATGCGGCTCCAACACCTTGGATTGGGGATCAGTATCTCGAGCAGACGTAATGAGGCTGGACTATAACGTACAGCCGAAAATCATCTGTTGAGCAAGCAGTGGCATTAGTTGAGAGTTCGCAGACCAGCAGCAGAAGAGAAGCAGCTTACAGCAAAGGCGATGCCAGCCTGGGAGAAAGTCAGCCAACATGTCTATTCGAGGCGATCAGGCATACACACCATGCCAAAGAATGGCGCAAAGGCAGGGGCGAGTTCAGAGTCCGACATGGCGGGAGAGACGCGAGATGACACTCTTGGAGGAAAAGGCGAGGAGGGCGGGGACTAGAAACGACTAGTCACGGTATGGCGAGCGGCGCGTGGAAGGGTCGTCGACGAAGTGCAGGAGCGACCTTGAACTGGACTTGAACTGCCTCACGGCAGCAACGTCGGTCCGCCATGATGATGCACCGACTCACACCTTTCCCACTCATGAAACGTTGCACGTGACTGACACCTGCTAGACCCAGTACATGGCCGATACATACACTGCCTACCTCGATATTATTCTTCTCGGGAATCAGGGCCCATATAGTTACTATCTCACATGCTAGCTCTACAGACGGGTGTGTCAGTATGTATCTGACTACCTGAGGAGAAGAGAGTTCAAGAATTGATGATTGTGAGAGGCGCCTCGGACCTTTCCGGTGAGCCCTGACCTGAGTCTGGGTAACACAGAATACCTCTAGCAAGTCGACCATCGGCCATCGCAACAGTCTCTCTCTCCAGCAACCTCCAGTCTGTCGATTACGAAGCCTCGGACCACTGCCACCCTCATTGTCTCGATTGCGCGCTTTGCAAGCCGTCCTGTCGTCCTCGTATCCTCGTCTCCCGCGGCCTTGACAGCGGCACACGTGGACAAGGACTTAGAGTTGCAGAGGCTCGACACCGTGGGCCGCCTTGTTTCATGAGCACTGGCACTGGTCCCGGATCCTCGACCTCCATCGTCACTCGCTTGTGCAGTCGGCAGCCCTCTGCTCCCCCCCTCGGATGTATTAGATGCTAAGCCCTGCCGCTCACCATGGCTCAATACTCGCAACAGCAGGGTCGCTCCTCGTCGCAGCAGCGCGAGGCCGCCTATAACAACATCTTTGGCCCGCCCGGCGCCGCTCAGCAACAGCAGGGTCGTTCGCAGACCATGCTCTCCCAGCCCATGAGGCCGCCTGCCGAACGTGCCGCCACCATGTCGTCGCAGATGTCCGACTACATGCAACGGGCCCCTCCCATGCGAGCATANCCCCCGCCGCAGAGCAACCCCCGTCCCGCTCCTCATCACCAGCAGTCTTACAACACTCCATCTCCTCCTACTCAGNNAACGGCGACTATCACCACCCATCGCAACAACAATATCCCTCGTCTCCACAACCCCACCGCCAGCCTCAACCTCAGTACCTGCCTCAGCCTCTTCGCCCCGACCGCCGTCCCTATGCCGCTCCCCAGCGCCTTGATCCGCGTGGTCCGCCGCCCTCGCAGCCTTATCCTCGCACCTATACCGCCGGATCAAACATGTCGCCCGCTCCCAGTCCTGGTCCCNGCCCTCAATTCCGACAGCTACCGCTCGCAATCTATGGCTGCAACCTCTCGACCCAATTTCCCCGTACAGCATAGCCAGAGCAGCTACAACATAGCTCCTGCACACGCTTTCCGCCAGCAACCATATATGAGCAACCATCTGGCAAGGACGACTGCCCAGGGTAGAGTTGTACCCGATCGTCCCGCGGACGAGAGAACCATGTCCATGTCCTCGTACTCGCGCGATCAAGACCACAGTCAGATCATGAGCGGTCGTGTCATACCCCAGCGCAAACGGGGTGACTCCGAGGTGAGCCAGCAAATGGATCCTTTCATCGCCGCCAAGGGTAGAACCCCTAGTCAGGGTAGCGTCCAGTCGCGCTCCATGTCCATGGCATCTACTATCGCTGCTCCCTCCGAATTTTCAGAAACCACAGCTGGCGCCGCTCAGTCACCTCGACCCTCAATTACTGCTTCTTCCACTCGTTCCAACAGCCAGATCCAACAAGGCAACGGACAAATGATAGCTCAGAGACGCCCCTCTCTTGTCTATGGCGCTCTTCTCTCAAAGGTCGCCGCCGCTTTTTACGATAGAATCCCAATGGCGGAAAAAGAGAAGGACGGTCTGGTCTACAAGAACGCATTTACTGGCCACGATGCTGTTGAGCTGATTGCTTATATCATCCGTACTTCCGATAGAAACCTTGCGCTGCTCCTCGGCAGGTCCCTGGATGCGCAAAAGTTCTTCCACGAGGTTGCTTATGCACACAGGTTGCGCGATTCTCCCAACGAGATCTACCAGTTCAAGGAAGCCGTGGTCGAAGAGCCAGCCGAAGTCAACGGAGTTTTCACCCTGCTGACCGAGTGTTACTCACCTACCTGTACACGCGATCACCTTTGTTATTCTATAGCATGCCCGAGGAGACTGGAACAACAGCAGCGTCTCAACATGAAGATTCAGCCTGGTCTGAAGAGAGAAGGCTCACAAGCCAGTCTGAGAGATGAGCCGGAAGCAGAACAGAGACTGTGGATTAACACCGTTTCCAAGGATGTTGCCGACAGTGTCGATGACAAGGAAAAGGCACGTCAGGAAGTTCTTGCCGAAATCATGTATACCGAGCGAGACTTTGTCAAGGATCTGGAATACTTGCGCGACTTCTGGATCAAGCCTCTGAGAAACCCCAACATTTCGCCAATTCCGGAACACAGGCGCGAGAAGTTCATCCGAACAGTCTTCTCGAACTGCCAGGAAGTCCACGCTGTCAATGTCAGGCTCGCTAGCGCTCTGACTCGACGACAGCAGCAGAGCCCGGTCGTGCGGAACGTTGGTGACATTTTCTTGGAATATGTCCCTCAGTTTACGCCATTCATCAAATATGGTGCCAACCAGCTGTTCGGAAAGTTTGAGTTCGAGAAGGAGAAATCTAGCAATCCGGCCTTTGCCAAGTTTGTCGAGGAGACAGAACGTTTGAAGGAATCGCGGAAACTCGAACTCAACGGTTATCTTACGAAGCCCACCACTCGTCTTGCAAGATATCCCTTACTATTAGACGGAGCGCTCAAGAAGGCAAAAGATGACAACCCTGACAAAGAAGATCTTCCACGAGCTGTGACCATGATCAAGGCTATTCTCACCAGGGTCAACGAGGAATCTGGAAAGGCAGAAAACATCCAACAGCTTTCACAACTCAATCAGAACTTGAAATGGACTAATGTGCCTTATCAAGATCTGAAGCTGACTGAAGAAGGACGTCAAATGGTGTTCAAGGGTGGGCTCAAGAAGACGGCAAGTGCAGAAACGATCGACATCCAGGCATATCTATTCGATCACGCAGTGCTACTCGTCCGACAGAAAATGGTCAACAAACGTGAGGAGCAAAAGGTGTACCGCAAACCAATTCCGCTCGAGTTGCTAGTCATCACGCAGATGGAGGAGGTTTTGCCAAGATTAGGGATCACGAAACGCCCTTCGTCTAGCATGATTCCCGGAGCTCGTACTATCACCAGTGCTGCGACCAAGAAAGAAGACGGATATCCTCTGACCTTCAAACGACTTGGAAAGGGCGGTTACGAGCTGACTCTGTATTGCTCAACTCAAATCCAAAAGGAGAAGTGGATGGAGAACATCCATGCTCAGCAAGAGAAGCTTCGTGAACGCAGCAACATTTTCACCAAGACAAACATCAGCCAAGGCTACTTTTCATCCAACAACCGCGTCAACTGCTGCGTACCCATCGACGGAGGCCGTAAATTGGTCCTCGGAACCGATATCGGTGTATTTGTGGCAGAACGCAAACCCAAGGACGCTTCTCATAAGCCAAAACGCATGCTCGACTGCAAACTGGTGTCACAAATCGACGTACTGGAACAGCATCAGATCTTGTTGGTTCTTGCCGACAAGGTCATGTACTCATATCCTTTGGATGCTCTGGACCCAGAAGACAATCAGCCAACTCCCTCTAAGCGTGGGCGTAAGATTTGCCATGCCAATTACTTCAACGCTGGCATGTGTAACGGCCAATTGCTCGTCTGTTGTGTCAAGTCATCATCATTATCAAGTACTGTCAAGGTGTATGAGCCTATGGATGCGATGTCTAAGGGAAAGAAGAAATCCGGATTGGCGAAAATGCTTGCAGGCGGTCAAGAAGTGCTCCGACCATTCAAAGAGTTCTACATACCCATGGAGTCGAACAGTATTCACTTCTTGCGGTCTAAGCTTTGTGTGGGTGGTGCTAAAGGCTTTGAGATCGTGTCGCTCGAGACGCTCGAAACACAATCACTACTTGACCAAGCTGACACATCACTCGACTTTGTCGTCCGTCGTGAGAACGTCAAGCCCATCTACATTGAGCGCACGCCATCCGAGTTCCTGCTCTGCTACACAGACTTCTCGTTCTTCGTCAACAAGAACGGCTGGAGGGCGCGGAACGACTGGAAGATCATCTGGGAGGGTGCGCCGACGGCATTTGCAACGTGGGGCGACAAATACATTTTGGCATTCGAGCAAGAGTTCATCGAGGTGCGGTTGACGGAGACCGGAGGGCTGGTCTGTATCTTGACTGCCAAGAACATTCGCTTCTTGCACTCGAGCTCGAGAGAGGTAGGTCCCATCAATATGTGCCTTTTCCGCAAGGCGTACTTGCTAACCGGATGCAGNATTCTCTATGCATACGAAGACGAGATGGGCGAGGATGTCATTGCCAGTCTGGATTTCTGGGGTCGCCCACAGTCGCCCAGGCAATGAGCAAGATGATGTTTTCAGATGTCGTCATCGCTGTCGTTGTACTCTGCTTCTTCTATTCACCTTTATCTTTTACTTCTTCGTATTTGAGAAAGCAAAAGTGCATTTTTACCTTCATCTGTGTCGCAATTCTCGTCAGCTTATGTCTGTTAAACACGAGCTCGTCGTATTGTGATTGAGGACATGGTTGTCGTAGCTCTTCAAATCTTTGTGTCCACGGCGGGTTTGTTCGTCCACGACTTTGCGTCAGTTTGAGGACAAGACATGACCGCTACACTCTCAAGTACTGATCATAGTCATACGACACATAGTGATAGCACTGTAGAATGAGGTTGATGGCGTATTACAATATACAAAAAGCATGGGCAGGGTCGCAGGAACATCAACTCTGGGACGCACGTTATTGCGCTAACTACACCAAGCACAAAATTCGAACAAAAGTCGTATAACGAATTGTCGCACAATTCGTTCATAGTATAGTTTATGTACGTTAGAACATGACACGCACGTTCCAGGCATACCCCTAGTCATCGTCAGCAACAATCATTCATTGCAGTGGAGACATTGCCATTCTACATAGATCGGAATTCGGGAGCGGAGAATTATTACTCAAATGTTCAACCACAATTGGGTCATTTGCAGAATGCGGGAAATATCTAGCAAAGGTATCGGAGACTAAACGGCGCATGTGGTTGAGAGTAGTTGGGGAAGTCGCGAAAATGTGGTTGAGGGGCAGAAAGGAACACAGCTAGGGTCATGACCTTTTTCGGGGGTCCGAACATCGATTTTGAACAGGGGGATTGCTTGCATCGTCGTGGCTCTGGATCGAAAACAGATTGTGTCGAGTCTTGTGTTTCTTTTTGAGCGAGCAGCAGAAATGATGGAACGTTTGCGCAATCTACACATGTCCAGCAGATTTGAAACGTGGACAGCTATCAATGCTACTCTTGCTCGTCAGAAAGGGAAGGTTTATGGAAGTCGTGTTGTTTTTAGAGATGCTCGTATACTCCAAACTTTAAGTGCGTGCAGTTCGTGGACGGCAGGCTTCGTCAGCTTCCACGCTGATCTTATGGATACGAACACGATGTTGGCTGAGGTGTTTCTACATCCATGACATAGCGTACATGACGAGAGCAGGCTGTATATATATACACACACTACTTTCAGAGGATTGTCGGCTCCTTTGGTCGTTGAAATATTTCACATTCTGGTGAGACAGCAATCCCAAAGATATAATGTCGTTGTACACGAGAATGCGAAGCCTCCAACGGTCAAGTTGAGAGGAGTCTTGAGTGGATTGAGGTCGGAGATCTGGCCCGCTTCGGTATGGTTAGCTGGTCAGTTGCGGAAGTGGCTTGTCGCTTGCGCAGTGCCGACGCCGCCCCCTTGAGGTTCCCAGCAGATCCCTCTGATGTGGCTGCAGAGATAAAGACACAACAAAGAAGTGTTCCTTGAGCACTGCGTACGCATTGCATGACGATGTTGTGATATTGCACGCATGTGATAAGGCCGGGCTCATGCAGTAATAGAGTGTGAGAGGTCTTGATTATAGGCAAGCGAGACATGTATTGGTGATTGCCTTGCAGGAGTCCGGGCCAATGACGCGTTCCTATGTTTGATGTCTTATGGCGACTCAACGACCCCTTTGCAACTCGGCGTTTCAAGTCGTGGCGGTGGTTAGACTTTTTGACGTGATACGGGCTCAGATTGAGAGATTGGGGTCGGGTTTTTGGACAATCAAACGGATCAACTGTCAGTCTATCCCTTGCTTGTGGGTGCAGAGGAGGCAGGCCTGGCTGCTTTCTGCAGGCTGCATGGTATTGGAGCCGGCGGGCGCGTCAAAAGAACAGGGTTGTCGTCGTGTCCCTGTGCGCGGTATCCACAACGGTGCCCTGTTGCTGGTCGGTCCATCCCCGATCGACACATCCCCACTCGAAAAAGATATACAAGTAGCTGCTCCGGCCTCCCGCAATTCCAACCCGCTCACCCATTCTGCCAGTCCAATCGTCGACATCCCGTCCAGCTCATAGAGACCTGCATATACGTGGTATGCCCGTCGCTTGCTGCTAATCCACGTCGCTCCTGTCCTCTCCTCCGCACTCGCTCCCCTCGCCGGCCCTCCACGACTCAACATGTTTACCTTCAAACGGGCCTTGTTGACGGCCGTCGTCGTCCTGGGCTTCTTCATACTCCTCAAGGGCTCGCATACACAACCTTCCGCAGCCTCATTCAACGTCAATTCACCCAAGCCAACGGGCTCATATCAAGATAATCGCAAGATCCAGATCCAGCCTCCTGTCGCTGCCACAACATCGCGACTGGCCACACCACAAAGCTCGACGACGCCGGCCGTCGCCGACGAACTTAAGGCAAAGAGCAATTACAAGAAGGAGCGTCCGCAAATATCTTTGCAAGATTTGCACGCCATGCCGCTACGACAGCAACTGGCCTACCAATTCCCTTACGACCCCGAGAGCAAGTTCCCTGCATACATCTGGCAAACGTGGAAGACAACTCCCTCGTCCGGTGACTTTGACGAGGACTTCCGCCCGGGCGAGGCTGCCTGGACCGAGTTGCACCCAACATTTGTGCACGAAGTCATCACCGACAACGTCGCTGCGAACCTCATTCGTCACCTGTACGCCGCTGTACCCGATGTCGTAGCCGCCTACGAGGCCATGCCTGTCCCCGTGCTCAAGGCCGATTTCTTCCGCTACCTGATTCTGCTGGCAAGAGGAGGCATCTACTCGGACATTGACACACGCGCTCTGAAGAGTGCCACCGAATGGGTGCCTGCCGAGGTGCCACGTTCGAGCTACGGTATGGTCATTGGCATCGAAGCCGACCCTGACCGTCCGGACTGGCACGACTGGTACTCGCGCCGCATCCAATTCTGCCAGTGGACCATCCAATCAAAACCCGGTCATCCCATCCTTCGCGACCTGGTGGCCACCATTGCTCACGAAACTCTGCGTCGCAAGGAGGCCGGCAAGCTCACCAAGTCGAGCATTGAGTCGATTGTCGAGTTTACAGGCCCTGCCATCTGGACGGATGCCGTTTTCGCCTTCTTCAACGACCCCGATTACTTTGACATGTCAACGAGTAAAGGCAATATTACCTGGGAACACTTCACCGGCATTACGCAGGCCAAGAAGGTTGGCGACGTTGTTGTCTTGCCAATCACGAGTTTCAGCCCTGGTGTTGGGCAGATGGGTGCTGGTGATGATGATGACCCCATGGCTTTCGTGAAGCACAATTTTGAAGGTAAGAACGAAACCCTCCATCTCCTGTTTTGATTAAACATTTCTGACTCCATCCAAACAGGCTCATGGAAACCCGAAAGCGAACGCCACATTGGCGGATAGACTTACGAACATCCAAAAAAGGACGAAAAAGTAGTACGAACGGGACACGTTTTAGATTCTCTGTATCTTCTTTTTTTTTTTTTTGGGTCTCTCTTCTTTTTTATTTTATGAATATGGGTGGTGTCACGACAGCCAATGTTTTTCTCTCTCTTCCTTTTTCTGTTTTTCTGTTTTATTCCCACCAATACCATTCAAAGCGAATCGGTCAATGTTATAGACCGGTTATCAAGAGCATTATACGGCGAAGCTTATAGGCAATACAAGACATTTATAGACCATTTTCTCATCTACTTACCATGATTGCATAAATATCTGTTTCTACTTCTACTGATCAAACGATTGCGTTGGTCGCAAATCGGCTCTGATGTAGTATTGATTGGTATGTTGGCCGCTCAGAACGCTACCAAGACTCGAGTATATAATTCTCTCTCTCCAATTCTTCTGCCGCTTGTGAACGTTCTAGTCGCGACCAATCCATCTTGTCGGTCTGATGCCACCTCTGATCTTTTCTCAATATGGCCCCACTGGCCTCACTGACGGTATAATACAATCAAGCACCCTCATCCTCAGTACCCAGCCTAAGCATCTTCCTTACCACAACAATGACCCCCTCCCATAGACGGTCAATGACCCACGAAACGATAATTTTGGTCACCATCAGAAAAACAATCTCGCCTGCAACCCCAGACATAGTCTTGATTATTCTTTCGCATAGTGTGCGACGAGACTTGGTGTTGGAGGTTGAAGAAACGAGGGTTTGGGGTGCACGGTGGGTTGGTGTGGCTGAGCTGGAGCGGGAGTAGATGTTTGAGGCAGGGTTCTTGGTGGAGGGATTGGGGGAGTTTTTGCGAGGGTGTGCGAATTGCGACATTTTTGTGTTGTTGGTAGTGTCTGTGAACCGAAGCTTTTGGTGTTGTGGCTTAGGAAGCATTTATGGTCAATAGTCAAGATTGCTTGAGAAGTTGTTGAAGTGATGAGGAGGAGTGTGTTATTTGATGCTTCTTATATATATACTTGAAAGATGCACTAGACCTAGGAGAGAGAAGACAGCAGGACTCGGTTTGAGAGAGATGTGCAAGCAAGACATACAGGTCTCAGACATAGATTTTGATGTCTCTGAACCGCATATATTCTTGGGAAAGGGTGGATTGGATATGAGATGAAGGAGCGACGAAGTGACAGAGTCAAACCAAGTCTAGTCGATTGAGAAAGCACGATAGGCCAGTGATGAGTGTAAGGCGCGATGGCGACATGCTCCTTCCACAACTACAAGATTGCACCACTCCGGGTCAAACCCGTTTCCCCAGTCGTTACTGCCATATAAGGCATGCTCATACATAACAAACACTTTGATAAGGAAGACAGAGCAAACCCGAAGATATCAAATTAGGAAATCATTAAGATGAAGATATAAATAACGACCTCTCTCCTACCCCCAGACTTCAACCCTCTCTTACTCGTCCATCGGGAACCTATCCAAGAATCTAAAAGTGGTAAGACCGCACTTGAAGCTCTCAAGAGCTTCGGCAGTTCCATTGGCAAAGTAAACACCAGCACGCTGTTCAATGCCGGCGACATCCAAAGCCTTTCTGCCCACTCCCACAGCACCGATGGGTTTACCCCAGCCATAAGCGTTCTTGAGGAGTTCTATGGGGCGGTTGAGAGGGTAGAGAGGCGAGGTCTTATCACCCGTGAAGATTGCTTCTGCGTCTGCTGTCACGACGATGGCGTCAANAGCGTGGGCGTCAGCAGCCGAGTAAGTCACATTGACGGAAGGTTGAAGGGACTCGGCGACGATGCTGACGAAGAGGCCTTGAGCTGCGAAAGATCTGCTCAATTGTGCAGCCTGAGCCATCGAAGCATTAGACGATGTCGAAGCCAGGATACCCATGTTAAGGCCCTTGATGGTGGGTAGAGTGGTGTTGAAAATGGAGATGTGAGCAGAGCTGTTGGAGTTGTAGAAAGTATTGTCAGGCTCGGGGACAACGACATCTACCAAAGCAGCGGCAACGCGGGAAGCAAGATCGTGAGAGATCCTGTTAAGTTGGATGATGAAGTTTTGCTTGACGACTTGCGACTGAACTTGGCTGACTTCGAAGCGCAGACTGTTGACAACGATTTGCTTCTCTGCAGCACTGACCGAATTCCAGACCATACGTGCTTGTGACCAGTGATCGTTGAAGGTAGGCGAGAGTTCGCGAGTGAATGCACCGGTCAAGCGACGGTCAGGTGCGGTGAAGAAACCCTTGCCAACAGTCTGGTTGGCCTGCTTAGNGAAGCCATTGTTAAGCGAGTTGGGAGAGTAGGCGTAGTTGTTGGTAGGAATGTACTGCTGTCCACGACCATCGCGGTTGTTGTTGTGGATCGGGATACGAGGACGGTTGATAGGAAGCTGTTCGAAGTTGATGCCTTGTCTGTTGACCTGAGTATCCAAGTAGGAGAACAGGCGACCTTGCAACAGAGGATCCTCGCTGAAGTCAATACCTCTGACAACGTGTCCAGGCTGGAAACCGATGCTCTCAGTCTCGGCAAAGTAGTTTGTCGGGTTTGCGTTCAGAGTCATTTTTCCGAGGATCGTAATAGGAACAAGCTCCTCGGGGATCCATTTGGTAGCGTCCAGGACATCAAAGCCGAATGCCAGTTGTTGGTCTTCGTCCATGATCTGAACACCGAGCTCATACTCAGGGTAGGCTCCATTCTCAATAGCGTCCCACAGGTCCTTACGGTGGTAGTCAGGGTTCTTTCCGTTAATGGCTTGAGCTTCTTCCCACAAAAGACTTGCAGTGCCCTGCTTGGACTTCCAGTGCCATCTGATGAGCTTGCTATCTCCTTCTTCAGTCACCATACGCATAGTGTGAACACCAAAGCCACTCATGTGGCGGTATGAACGAGGCAGAGAGTAACCCGACATGATGAGCATAAGCTGCCAGGATCGTTAGTATCAGAGTGCAGATCTCTTGTGGTTTGATGGACTCACCATGTTCAAGGTGCTTGGTTGCTGTGAGAAGAAATCATAGGCAGTATCATGGGCAGTAGCAGCTTGGGGAATTTGCTTGTCGGGCTGAGGCTTCAGAGCGTGAACCATATCTGGGAACTGCATAGCATCCTGGATGAAGAAGATTGGCAGGTTGATACCAACAATATCCAGGTTACCTGCGTCAGTGTAGAAGCGAGTTGCGAAACCTCTGACATCTCTAGCGGCGTCTCCGCTTCTGTTGTCATCGTTAGTATATGCAATCTACACATTGATGGATGGAACATACCCTCTCTCACCAATGACGGTAGAGAAACGCACGAAAGTGGGTGTCTTCTTGCCCTCCTCTGCAAGGAAACTTGCGGCAGTGATGTTGGAAAAGTTGCCATAAGATTCAAAGACACCATGGACACCTGCACCACGAGCATGAACAACACGCTCAGGAATNNCTGTACGACAATTAGCCATCGATCGCCTGGATGGCTCATGGAGTGAGAAAGAGCTTACTCTTTCATGATCAAATCTCTGCATCTTCTGCCTGAATGCAAAGTCTTCCAACAAGGTAGGACCCCTAGCACCGGCCTTCAGACTCGTAAGGTCATCAATGGGAGTACCCCAATCGGTGGTCACGAAGCCTTGCTCGTCGTTGAGCTTGAATTGACCCATAAACTCTTCAGTCTGTTCGGTGGTCTCTCTGAGGGCGGCATCATCGCGCTTTCCCATTTCACCACTCATGTAGGGGCAGCTGCCAGCAAAGGCAGTGCTTGCGAGTAACGGAAGGTACAGTAACAAACGCATTGTGAGTACTCAATATCAACAATGCAGACAAAGAGAGCTGTATGAGCACAACAAAAGAGCCCGTCCCAAAGTGGCCATGTCGGGTCCTTTATGTAGCCATCTGAAGATCGATCAGAGACCAACTTACTCGGTGGATTGTACGAAGATCAGGCCATCGCGGTACTGCACAGACTATTTTCTGACCAGGTGTATTCCCCCAAAGCTCTGGTATGGAGGCACGGCGTACGACAAGACTTTTATAGTGTTTGATCTTACAGAACCCGGTTTCTTGGCCTCGGCATGAGCCATTAGTCCGGCACGACCGTCTCCTAAGCACTTGCATGCTCGACCAAGGTCAACTCATAGGTCAATGAACACACAGCCAAGCCGTGACATCCAATGCAGGGCAATGTGCCCAAAATATTGCTCGAAATATCCAGACGCGACCATCACAGGACTTTCTCTTGGCGTCTAAGAAACGATCGCTGTGACTGTGCTACCCAACGACTTGGCCTGTCAACGAACGTGCAGCGAGTGGATGCGAAAGCGAGAGTGGGAATGGTCAGCGATGTGCTTATCAAACTTCGATGTTGGTAAGCGCCGGCGGACACGGAGTGAGCCGCATCGGGAGGGCCCAAGCTCTGGCCTGTTGACCAAAAGCTTAGCTCCAACCTCCTTCCTCCGCCAGCACGACAATCTGTTACGGTCCTCGCCTTTTCTGTCGTGACAGTGTTAGACTTACATACGTTCGGCATATGACAATGGCAGTCGTTTTTTCCTGCTACTTACTGTACAGGCAGACCACGTGTGTCTCATTTTGCCTACGTCAGCGCATTTACTCAGGCGTCTATATCAAGCGGAATCTCCCATGAGCTTCGGGCCCGGTCACAGACCGTGCGGATCCTGTCATGGAAGCAACGGAACAAACCGTGACTCTGCGATGCTTAACTAAACTTATCAGCAAAGCAGGAAATGCAGCAACTCCACATCCAGCCACCTTAGCCCTTGTCTCCTGTCTATCCGACAAGATCTGAATTGGTCCTTGAGAGTCGGTTTAAGCCGGACGTGGGTCTATGTTGTGACGCGCGCAGGTGTTGTCTGGCGACCATGTCCAACGTACTGTGCCAGATCCATGCTTTTGTGACGTTGTCTCAAGAATCTCATTTTGATGTTTTTTTTTTTTTGATAGAAGACGTCCAGCAAGAAAATGCAAGCAAAATGGTAAGACATATTCAGAGAAAGGGGTTTGCCCATTCAAAAGATTGGTAAACCCTTCACATTCGATCCACCTCACATGAGTAGCCACCACCAATGATAACAAGTCTGAACGAACATACAGAGTCCGCTATATAAAACATACAATAATAAATGGGTATCAGACGAAAAAGAAATTCGAAACGTGCATTCACAGACGTAAACGCGAGTATTACAACGATGTAGTACAAGTAAACAACACGGCAGACAGCTAAATCTATGGGCCAAAGGCTCCCTGGATCTTAGCATATAGCTCTGTGTCGAAGAAGTTGTAATGGAGGTCGTGAAAGCAGAAAGGTGCGCGGAGCAAAGTCTCTGCTGTAGGGCGATCGGCTGGATCGATGGTGAAGCAGTCATACATGAAACTCAGAGCAGCAGGTCCGACAACGCTGCTCACATCCTCAGGGATAGGCGGAGCTTGGAACATGCCAAGCTTGAAAATGGCGCCAATGGCTTCTTCTTTGCTCCAAGGACGTCGGCCAGCGAACATTTCCAGGACCACGCAGCCTAGTGACCAGATATCGACCTTTGCGCTGTAACCTTGAGCTTCGGTAGTGCCGCTTGAGCTGCTACCTTGAGACTGGGCGCGAATGACTTCGGGCGCCATCCAGAAGACGCTGCCTTGCATGCTGTTGGTGATGTCGTTATTGTAGGGGTTCGGACTGCGCTTGGAGATACCAAAATCGGAGATCTTGCACGTGCCGTCAAGGTCGAGAAGGATATTGTCAGCTTTGAGATCACGGTGCAGAATACCTTCCCGATGCAGGTATGCCAATCCGTCAAGAGTTTGTCGGGTCAAACTACTAACAACCGATTCTTCGAATTTGCCATGTTTGCGCAAGCAGCTGCCAATGCTGCCACCAGAAATATACTCGAGGAAGATACTGATCGAGTACTCTTTACGTTCGCATCCAAGATACTGCACGATGTTCATGTGATCCAAGTGTTGCATGGTATCGATCTCGGAGTCCAAAGCCTTGACCATCTCGCGGATCTTTTGAGGATCTGCATTCGACGTCTTGGGGTTGACTTCGACCTGCTTTACTGCCAAGAGTTCACCGGTTGTGGTATTCATACCCAAGTATACACGACCAAATGTACCTTTGCCAATCAGCTGACCCTTCATCCACTTGAATGTTGGCTGTCTTTGGGGATGTTGGAGCGCAAAAGTATCCTGAGGAATGGTCTCCAACTGTATGAGACGGCTGCCACGAGGAGGTTTGATCTGCTCAATACGAGCACCAAACATCTTCGTGCTCTTGCGTCGGACAATATCACCACCGTACTTGAGGGTACTCATACGGTTGAGAGCGCTGCGTGGCATCTGCACACTGGGAGCACGACTCGATGAGAAGGAGGTTATAGATGGACTTGGCGGTTTTTGAGCAGGCATCTGATACGCGCCCTTCACGACTTCGCGAATACTCTTTGTTCGTCCCAGACCACCAGACTTTCTGAGATTCCTGTGAGCAACTGAGGGCATGTTGTGTCCTCGCTTCAGCGTAGAATCTTCCTTGAGTGTGGACTCATCGCTGCCAAGTGTTCCATTGTCAGTTTCGGGATCAGGTGTTGACATGGAGCTCTGTTCCGCCTTGGATTCCACAGTGGGCGCCAAAGACGTTTGTACGCGCTCGGTGTTCGGAGTTTCGCTCGTACTGCTTGCCTGGCCTTCCTGACCCTCTTCCTCGATCATTGGCTGATCGAGATCGACGTTGGGGAAGAACTCGTCAAGGTGTTCGACAAGGGCCTCGGGAGGGGGACGGTTGGCCCAGAGATCACTGGCAAAACTCTCACGCCGACCAAACCTAGCACTGTCCTCAGGTGACTCTGCTGACCAAGCTGCCGATACTGCAGACTCTGGGTGGGGTCTTTCGCTTTCGTCGAGAGGGTCAGGAGAAGCTGTGAACCTCATATTTTGCTGAGAGGCCTTGGCTTTGGGAGCTCGCTGTTGTTGAGATGAAGAGTTTTCGGGCTGATCCTGTCTCAGAGAAGTCTTGGATTGCTTCGCTTTGACTTTGTTTGCCAGCGGGATGGCAAAGAGACTCTCATTCGAATCTTTCTTCGTTAATGGCCTGGCGAACAGACCATCGTCCGAGTCCGAGTCTTTGTCCTCTTCATCCTCCTCGTCCATTGTAGCTGTTGAGGGTCTGTCGAATGACACAGGCTCATTGGGCAGGTGGAAGCTAGGGCCGTAACTCCTACGACTGCTCATGCGGCTTAAGCTGCTTTGTGGGCGTGCAGTCGTTGGGCTGACAGCTGGACTGGGGTGCTTCTGAATGTCTTTGGCAGGCGAAATTGTCAGCTTATCCTTGCTAGGCATTTGCAAAGTAAGCGCTGGTCGTGATAAGCTATTGATCGACAAAGGACTGCTACTGTCTTCAATGCTGTCTTCAAGATATGCGGGGATCTTGAAAGGCACTTCGCCCTTTGACATCGTGATAGGTGAATTTGCGGCAAGGACTGGCCTAGTATCACCCATGCCGGTAATCCCGAGTGTCTGCATCGCCTTTGAAGGAACGCCACCGTTGTAAGCAGATGGAGGGCTTTGCGCGGATTCTCTGGCTGAAGCAGGAGTGCCAGGAGCACCGACCATGCCGCCCATCTTTCCTGCACCGATGATAGCGGCACCTATACCAGAACCTACACGGTTCTTGCGCTTATTGCCATCCAAGCTCTCAGCTGAACTTCTCTTGGAAGCATCGCCACGATCAGGCCAGGTGGTACGGGAGACTGGCCCTGACTTCTTCCTAAGAGAATCTGCTTTGAAAAGAGTACTGCTCGGCTCAGGAGGTGGTGGCGGTTTGCGAAGTGGAATCAGTGGCTCCAGCTTCTTCTCCTGCTCCAGCAACTTTCTTTCCTCGTATGGTGAGTTTCGTCGTTGATCGAAATCAATTATGTCTTTACGTCTGATGGGTGAGAAATCCTTGCCAAGACGGTCACGCGAGTGCTCCAAACGAAGTCTTTGCTGCTGTCTGGTCTCCAAGTATGCCTGCTGCTTACGCTGTGTTTCTCTACGATGCTCTTCCGCCTTGATCTCAAGTATTGCCAGTCTCTCAGGCTCCGAAAGCGCAGACAAGTCCGAAGGCAGATCGCGGTCCGGCAAAAGTAGGTTCTCGCTAGCCATCTCCCTGACAAGGTTCTGCAACGACCGCTTCTTGTTAGGGACCAAGGTAGACTCGTTCGACTTGAGAGTAGACATATCCATCTTGTCGTCCCCTGTGAGCTGCGCATAAATTGAGGGGTCAACAGGCTTGGAGAAGGATCCGGCGCGTAGTGGCGACCCCATTCGGTCACGCGAGGACTCGGTGGCATACGAGCGAACGAAAAGCTTGAGTTTTCCTGTAGAATCGGAAATGTGGTGGCGCGCAGCTAACAATAGAGAGTCTGTCAGGGGTTCATCGTGCTGCTCCTTGCCAGGCGAAGTCTGATGAATAGTTAAATCAGGTGTTTCCACGATTCCGAGGTTATAGCATATTGTTGCCCGCATCTCTTCGGGTGTGGTGACGGTCGTCAGATCAATCAACCTGTAGTTCCAACCATCAGGAGTAACGAATGCGTATCGTTTGTCAGATTCTCGAGCTGCAGACCTCCCTCGTTCGGGTATATGTTGAGCCTTTTCTGCTTCTACTGTGATATGTCCTGATCTGCGGGAGGAGGGTCTGTCGATTGAGGTCTCGCTCGAATTAAGGCTCGACTTGACGAGCAGTCGAGGCTGCGCTGGGCTTGTAGGCGACTCCATGTGATCATCACGAGACTGATCCCTCTCATTCTTCTGTTTGTGGCGTATGAAGTTGCGAAGAAAACCTGACTTGTGTTCCTTTGCGCTTGCAGTAGCACTGTGAGGCACTTCTCCAGCGCTGGATCGAGAAGTAAGCTCTGTAGGTGGCGGGGGTCGTGACCCCTCTTGAGCATGCCTTCGGGAATCTACTGGAGGTGTTTTGCCGTGATTAGCGTCGCTAGTGGCACTGATGCGACTAGAAGCAGGACCGCTGGGATTCGTGTAATCACTGCTGCTGAGTCTATGATGGTTGCTACTGTAGTAACGATTGTGTGCCGATGCAGACGGGTGATTAGCAAGACGAGTCTGTTGCATGGCAGGACTATGCTGTGAGCTTGGCTCAAAGCCTGGGCGGCCAAAGTCGGAGCGAAGATGGGAAGTAGTTTGTGCGTAACTCGCGGTGAGCTCTGTCGAGACACTGGGACTGTGTCGCCGAGGTATATCGGCCTCACCAAGAGCAGCACGAGAAAAGGCGCTTCGATTGTCGGAGCTGTCGTATTGCTTGTTCATCAAGCTCATAGAATCGAGCGTGACAGAACGCTGCGACGAATATCTCCGTTGAGCAAAAGAATTGGGCATTTGAAGGCCGGGACTGTCCTCGCCTCCGCCAGCAGTCGTAGGGGTCGAACCGAAAGCCATCTCGTGACGGGTCATCATAGGCGAACTCTCAATGGCACCGTCTGCATCAGCGCTCTGCGGAAACTGTGAAGACTCCCTGCGCTGGCGTGAAGGCAAGCTTGATGAACTGCTTCCATTGACGCTGCCACCAGAGTCGACAATACGGCGGACAAGCGTGCGAATCTTCTTGCCGTCCTCACGGTCTTTGGCCGAATCCCATACTATGCCAGCACTGGCGCATTCCTTCTGCAACTGGGGGTAGACGGTTTTGTGCAAGAAAGCGACGTTGGGCTTATTACCTTGAGATCGGCCAATCTCAAGAAACTGCGAGCCCTGAATGTTCAGATGCTTGAATGCTTCTTGCCAGATATGAGAGAAGCCGTTGTCAGCGAGCCAGGCGACGACTCGGTCTAGAGGCCATTGCAGGTCATGGGGCGAAGCGGGTACATCCGAGGGTAATTGCTCGCGTGGCTGAGGGACTGGAGTGGGATTGGAATCAGCAAACGAGAGCATGTGTGGAGCAGGCGAAGAATGTTCTTGCGTCTCTCTGGCAGGCAGCACTACGACCCTGGTGTTTGAGGGAGTCGGAGGAGCATTGGAGAGATAGTCCCTGCTCTGCTGAGATCGCAACTGCTGCAGAGGTTGAGACTGTTGGTAGTAATACTGATTGGCGTTAGACTGATTATACTGCAGCCATCTGCCATCGTCCATGGAATCAAGCGGGTACTGAGGAGTAGGGGGATGTTGCGAGTAGCCATTGTGATACTGTTGCTGATTTTGAGAACGACCAGGAGTGCTGGATGGCGGCGGTGGAGGAGGCGACGCATGCAATGGAGGGATTCCCACACCAGGACCAAACGAGTCAGCACCGGGGATATATGTAGCCGAAACCAAAGGCTGGGTATCGGGAGGCAGTGGAGGCATCGAAGTGTAGGCCTGGTAAGCTGTAGGGTCGTATGCGCGAGGTTCACGGGGTTGTGGATACGGAGACTGTTGCTGTTGCTGGGACGAGTAGGGGTACTGTTGTTGCTGCTGTGGATAGGGAGGTTGCTGCTGCGGATATGAAGATTGTTGCTGTTGCTGCTGTTGCCTGTTCCAAAGAGCCCAGGCATTGAGAGCCGACTGTGGAGCGCTGGGCGGTGGAGGGAGCATCATGCCATTGTGCTGGGAATTACTGGTGGGCGGGCGTGGTGGAGGTGGTGGGAACTGCATGGACGGAGGGTTGGACATGAGCGGTGGCGGAGGCATGTATTGCTGTTGCGACTGCTGCTGCTGTTGCTGGCGCAAGACCTGCTCGGCAGCCGTGGCCGACACATGGCGCTGCTGGTTGGACGGGTAGTTGGTCGGCGGCATTGTGGTCGGGGTCAGTGTCTGTGGCAGCGAACGTCTCGTGGGGTCCTCGGGGTCGGTGAGGTATTTGGCATGGACAAGGTGCGGGCGCGCGGACGTGGACTACGCGGACTTGGTTGGATGGTCGGGTAGGGCGAATTGGTCGCGGCCGTCGACGTGGGCCGCAGGAGGTCGTGTGAGTTGAACTCGGGCACGTCGTTCAGAACGAGACCGTTCCCGTTCCCGTTCTGCGCTCGGTTGGCAGGCTTGGGTCGTGGTTGGTGGTGGTGGTGGTGGTGGTGCTGGGTTCCAGTCGGCTGCTGCTGCTGCGACGAGTCTCCAGTAATCATTTCAAGGCGAGTCGATCAAGTGTCAGAGCGCTGCCTCCATGCCGGCCGACAGAGTGGCATGCGCGCTTTTGGTGAAAACGCTTCTTCCCACCTCACAGTGGCTCAAGGCGGACGCGATGTCGACAAGAAAGAGACCTGCGAGAGATTGGATATGAGGTTTGGTTGATTGTGATACTCTCGACGGGAAGGCCGACGCTCGGCGCAATACCATCCGGCCACAGATGACAGGATCCTCCAGCACCCGTCGTCGCTTGACACAGAGTCTGGTCAAAGCAAGTCGCCTAGCCTTTGTCCTCGCATTGCTGTACCACTCGATCATGGTCCAAGACACGGCCGGTATGCAGCCTACATCTTGCATCCGAGGCAGTTGCCATCCACCAGCCACAGAGCGCCGCTCTTGTACTTTACAATCACCACACACTTCCATCTTTGCCTCTTTGCTCTACTTGCAGCCCTCTTCTTGTTCGTGTCCACTGTCAACCCAATCTTCCACAATCTCGCTGCTCGAACTTGGCTTCTCGTCAACAGCTCTGTATTCCTCTTCGGTCTGTGACTTCTGTTCGGCGCGTCTGGGCCGACCCGCGACGACTTTCCCCACTGTGCTCAGACTCTCCTGCCACAAACCTTCCACGGCTCCGATCAATCACCTGAATTCAACGACTAACGTTAGCTATCCATACAAGCTCTTTCCGATTCTGGAGTCACTGATCCAATGATGGTCTCTCGCCAAAGTCAGACACGACATGGATAGAGAAGTCGACCAAGGTGTTGGTGGACAGTTCAGCCCGTGCATATGTACAATATTCTTGCACATGGCCCAATGCGGTAGGCTTCAATGACACTATACGATATAGCCGATACCAAGCATTATCGAACCCTCATCCGCCTGGGAACCTTGTTCACTTGCAACTCGGAGCATAACATGCATGCTTCAGCCTGTCTAGTGCACCGCGCGACTTCCCGTCCGTTGTTGTTGAACGGCAAAGCCGTTGATACTGCACATTGTCTCAAGACCTCGAGTCCCGCATGAAAGCATCACCGCGCCCTTCAGCATCCAACTCTCAGTTTTCCTCTACTTCCACCAAACCTCTTTTTGTCTGATATATGCTCTTCGTATCTTTCTGCAAGGCACAATGGCCTTCTACGAAGACGAGCATGGCACCATTCAGATCGGCGCCCTCCAGGGTTCCACTAGAAGAGATTTGTTACGCCTTTGCATCCCCATGATGGTCTTGACCACCTTGTCCGTCGCTATGCGTGTCTACGTTCGCGGCTACATGACGCGAACCTTCGGCATCGAGGACTGGCTGGTTATCCCTGCATACGTAGGCCATCTCTTCCCCAATTCACATCCTCGCTAACTCTTGTAGGTCGTATTCATGGTCTTGTGTATATGTGCAATTGCCATCGGTCAATGGTTGCTGAATGAAGACGTTATGGTTCACTATGCCAGGATCATCAAAGTAAGCTTTCGCGAGCCTATCCGTGACCTCTTGAATTGACTGATATAGCTAACCATAGGCAACAGTGTCTTGTACATTGTGGACCAGGTTCTCATCAAAATTTCCATCGGTGCCTACTGCCATCGTATATGCGAGCGTTGGCAGCGTTACATCATCGTTGGCACCGTCTCTATCTTCTCCTTGTATAATCTGGCCTTCTTGTTCGTCAGCACCTTCCAGTGCGGCGTACCCACCGTCTCAAACCTTGTCAGAGCAAACAGCGATGGGCACTGCATTGATTGGGAGCATGTTGTCAGGCCTCTGCTGTATGTTAGCGTTGCGCTCAATGCAGCGTGTGACTGGGTCTTTGTCCTAGCATGTCTTCCCGTGCTTGCTAAGCTACGACGAATGCCAATCGACGAGATCGTTTGCATCTACTTTCTAATCTTCCTAGCTACCGGAGCTAGTGTCCTCTCCCTGGTGCGACTGCGGTTTCTACCAGCAGGNGGGACCGATGTCCTCCTTCTCAAGCACAACTCCGACTTCGCTGTGCTGTCGTTCATCGAGGCCGGCACGGCTATCATCACTGTCTGCATGGCGACTCTCCATCCACTGTTCCAGGCCTGTGTTCGAAGGAGAGGCACCTCCAGATATCCCGCAACTAGCAGTCCCCGGAAGCCGGACTCTTCAGAGCCCATCTCGAGCGAGAAGAAGCAAGCAGGACCCGTCAATATGGAAGAATTGTCGACCGAGCATTCAAGTCTCGGCCGGATAGGCATACTCCCGACAATCTATGACAGCGAGATAGGTACTATGACCGAGCGCGATTCACCCGAACTCGGATACACCAACGACTGGACATGAGACGTTGCGCAAGGTTTGACCAAACAAACATACACTGCCAGCATGTCATGATACCGACGCCTTGAGTGAGAGACAGGCGATCATCCAAGTACGATGACCGATTTGAACATCAGGCTATTCGGTCGTCCAGACCTCGAGATCTCAAGCCTTCGACTCCTGGACGTAGCAAGGCCCGCTTTCGACACAATCGCAGCATACCAACCGATCAAGGGTCGATATTGATCGCCTTCTTGCGCACACACGGCACATCGAGCCATCGCGCCGTGTACAAAACCAGACTCGGAAGTCATGGCCATGACCTACTGGATATGAGCGGTTCGTTTCAGAATTGAATATGCAGTATTCCTTCCCGCACTGCCTGTAAATCCTTTACCGTATATCTACCACCTGGGGGTCAAACGTATGGCGTCAAGCAGGGGAAGATTACACCATGATAATGAGAGGCATGTCGTAACTTGGATCTTCGATTCTGTCGAGAGTGGGATCAGAGACAAAAGAGACAGGCCGAGACCGTCTAAAGATCATGCACGAAGAAACAAAAATAGATGACCAGGCAGGAAAAGAAACATGTATACATCATGCACAAACCGCCAGAGATGAGAATCACGACTCACAAAGAGAACAAGAGGGTTTGGAGGGAAAGAAAAGAAAAGGGAAAAAGACAAGCATCGATATCATGAACCTTTTGCTTGCTACACAAACAAAAGATATATGTGCAAAACGTACAGCAGCAGGGATTCCCACGTGGTCACCCACCGTAGTACTAATCTGCCGTTCAACTGCTTATGTATGGCAGAGCGGACGGGATGCCCAGTTTTCAGCTGACTGTGGCCGTACGTGCCTAAGCATTACTTTTTATGCAATATGTACCAACCTGCAATGATTAGCCAAGAGCACTGCTCAATGTCCAATCATCATCGTCTCGATTGCTAACCATATAAAGCATATACACTATGGTTCTTCTGGCGACATGTGTGGAAGCTTGCAGATGAAATGTATAAACCTTACACGTACATAATATGCGCTAGAAGTGCTTGATCAACTCCATGCAGATGAACGAAGATGCATTCGCATGACTCATCGATGATCTGACTGCTTCAGTTTGGAATTGTTAGTGGCACAAGGCACAACGATCAACTGATGTAGAATTGATATTCTGTGCAGCCTGGGTCTGCGAGAAGAGCGTTTTTGCTTTCAAGATGGATAGGATATGATGTTAGGAAAATGCATTCTTCGTACGGACAGACAAAGAACAGAAATAGAACGCCTTTCATGTTCCCTATGCATGCAACAAGATGGTGCCAAAATACGATAAAAGGAATGATGAGGATGCAGCGGCGCTTTTCTATGGATGATAGAAGGTGAGGCATACTCTTCAGACTGCTGCGCAACGCTGCTGGTTTGTCTGTAACAAAAGAGGACAAAGAAAAGAGGTCCAGGATCCTTGCGACGAATATGGTAGACGCTAGCGAAAGAGTTGCGTATGGAGATGTGCAAAGAGAAGCGACCGTTCTGCCAGAGACCGCTTTTTAGTTATTAGGGTGTAGGGTATTCGTTGTAGGGTATAATGCCATGCAGGCGATCACCGTGTGATAATGAGGCCGAAACCATCGAGCCACTGTCCACAAGTGCCGTAGACGCCGGCAATACTGTAGCCTCTGGGCGGGATCAGATTGCGTCTGTAAGGTTGTTAGCAAAGGTTCCACTTCTTCGCATTCTCGCAATCGCTTANCCCGCTACCACCGTCTTTGTTGCCATACCACTCGCTGCGACGACCGCCGCTGGTCAAGATCTGGATGCCGTCAATCCAGAGACCAGCTCTCAGATTGAAGCCCAGTAAAGTTTCACCGAATCGTGCGTTGATGGGGAACTCATCACCGCCCTCCTTGCCGCCTCTCTTTCCAAAGAGTTGATTCTCGCCATCCTCATACACAAACTCGATGCCATCCAGTGCAAAGCCATGGTAGACTCTAATCGAGACCAAGAGCTTGCGCTTTTCGTGTGACGATCGCAGAAGCACTTCTTGAGGTTGGGTGCCGTCCATTTGCGAGAATCCAACCTTGGAGCCTCTGAAGCCCACCCTGCTGTCGGGAAGCTTCAACTTGGAATCCTTGCTCACGTGCTGAGCAAAATCGGCGACTTCGTGATCGCCCTGACCAAGAGAGAAAATTTTGATTTTCAGCTTCTTGTTCTTGTTGGCCTCTCCGACTCTGGCTCTGAGGTCGGCCTCTGTCAATGTAATTTGGCGGGGCGCGCCTGAGGAAGAGCCAGAGGCAGGATCCAAATACTCGATCCAGTGGCGACAAAGATCATCTCNCTCGGTGTAAATCTCAATAAAGGCTATACCTGTACTCGCAGTAACCAGAGCCGCTCCTTTGTCGACGGCCCAAACTTGAATGCTATCTTCCGGAGGGACGTTCAAATCAGTTGGCAGAGCGAAACAGGGGTGCAGTCTGAACCTCAAAACGTCCAGTCTGTGCCATGCACATTCATCTTGTTGGAGACAAAGACGCATGCCTTGCGATTTAGTGCGGGTTGAGTAGGGTTCTCTGGTGGTGAAAGTGCGGTTCAAGCGAACGTAGTCACGGAGCATGACGCCAGATTCTTGATGAGGGCAACCAAACAAATGGCCAGTTTCATGCATGTGAGCACCAATTCCGATGTTGGCGGCCTCCCAGTTGCTTCCACTTTCGTTGCAATCGTTGGCGACGTATTTCGTATCGGTCTTTGTGCAGTCAGTGAAGGCTGGCACGACTTCTTCAAGATGCGCGGGATATGATTGCAGAGAGTGAGAACCGAAAATGGCAAGTTTGACCTGTTCGTCACCACCTCCCAGAGCAGCATGACCTCTCACCGTCCCAACCTTGGCATCCCAATGTGTATCCAGGAACATGCATGACACGTACTCTTTCTGACCCGGTCGAGGCTTGAAGTGGGTTTTGACAGCATCCATTGCGATGGAGAAAAGATCGCCCTNTTGTTTCGCAGGCTCATACTGTTGGGCGATGTTGAGGTCTTGAATCTCGGCCACGGTCTTGTTCAATGTGATGATGTGGATCTTTGCCTCGTTGCGCATCTGTCCTGTTGTAATGTCACGACCTGTCAAGGTACCTTGTTGCCATTCCTCCTCGAAGCGGAAGCAGCGGCGTCCGAAGCCATGGCGGTTCATCTGCTCACCGGTAAAGGCTTGCCACAGATAAGCAGCCATACGGAATTTCCGCACTGCCGTTTCCAGGCCGTTGCCTTCCGACTTGATACGATCAGGGACAGCATCATATGTCCTCGGAGAATCTTTTGCAACCAGGATGGCCAGATGGAGAGGTGGTGAGGAGTTCATGGGGAGGTAGTTGATCTGGAAATGGGAAGAATGGGCGGGCTGACCGTTGAGCTGGCCTTGCGAAGGTCTACGCTGGCGAGGAATAAAGTCAAAACGAAGTCGGTTGGGACCTGGTTGTAGGTATAAGAGGGCCTTGAAGTGTGAATCGCTGACAGGCCAAGTCATGGGAGGGAAGCAATCTTGATGCGAGCAGACGACAATATCGCCGTCAAGGGGTTGTGACGGGTCGCCGACTTGGCCGTATATGAGAAGAACTTTCTGGTGAACCCATGAACCCTCGGATGCTGAAAGAACGCGAGGAGCCAACGGGGATGTGTACTGGGCGGGCTTTGGTGAGCCATTGACGGAGCNCCTGCCCTCTCGTTAGTACTCTGTGGCCGAGACGCATGCATATCTACTCACGACGATGCTGTAGCGACTGCTACTGTTGTTCGACGGGCCTGGTCGGGAGCCGAGTGGGGAGTNCTTGTTGCCGTTCATGGCGGCGAGGTTTGTGTTGGAGCCCGAAACGGAGGGGAGAGAGGGAAGGAGAGGTGAGCCAGCAGGCATGGGCGGAGACTTTCCTCCGAAGACCGAGTTTAGTGTCGAGGACGACTTGTTTCGGGGCATTTCAGGAGCGGCTTCGGCGGTGGTTCCATCTTGCGAGCGCGAGTCATTGCTGCTAGAGTGTGAATGGCCGTCGTTTCCAGAGCTCGTCTTGTCCGTCTTGAAGCTCGCCTTTGACCTCCGGCGGAACTCCTTCAGGAACGAAGGCATGATGGTCGTGGTGGTCGTCTAGTATGGCAACTCAGTGCGACGCTGTAGGAGAAAGCTGGATGCACTGCTCTCAAATATGGCTCGTTGGCAGCAAACAGAGGTAAGCCAGACGAACAGAATATGCGACGGTGGTGGTACGGATATGCGCGACACGGCGGTTGGTTGCTGGGAATGCTGTACTCTGCCGCAAGACAAGTCGGGTCCAGGTACGCGTATCAGAGAGGCTGGCCAAGCAATTCGAACAAGAGAAAGTCTACTCGGGTCTGACAAAAGGAGGAGCAGAGATTGAGCAGCACGAGGGACATGTAACTGCTCTGGGCTCGGCGGATGTTCGACAGCCGCGCGCAACCTGGAACCTTGACCTAGATCCTTGAATTTACATGTTCGTTGAGCCTGCTGCCACGAATGTTCAACCATAATTGACATCATGGTATCAGCGCACGGTTGGCGCCGCCCGTGCTCTTGGGGCTTGCATGTGCCTCCTCGGACGCCATACCGAAACGAGAGTTATGCTTCTCCATACACCGGTGCATAGCGCACACCGTCGAAGCCACCCGTTTCTGGCCCAGCGCNNTGGAGAGGCTGATGATCCAATACGCNNCATGTCTCTGGAGGACGACAGGCAAAGCACTGTGAACATCAAACAGGACNNAGACATCTTGTTGCTTCGCTATGTACAAACGACCAGAGTGATACTTCTATTCATATCTCAAGCCGATCCTCACGGAGCTCGTGAGCTAAAAAGAGTCGTATTTACCGAGTCGCATGCCAATTCCNNATTTACTCCTCTTTCCTCTTCTTCCAAGGCAGAGCGGGCCAAGGAAGGGACTCTGTGCAATCCACTCTCTGTTCCTTTGAACCACATTCTGGAATTGCCTCATCTGTCCAAATCAACCACTCAGGGGATTGGGAGCAAGGGAATCGTGGTCAGAGATTGAATGCCGAGGAGCAGAAGTGTTGTTGTTGCTGTTGCTAGACAACAAAAGACATGGACATACCTCTTTCAGCAGGTACCTGGAATAAGCAAACTGGGGAGGTACCGAGTTGGATCTAATGACGAGACGAAGCAACGGGCTGGCGATACTTGGAATGTTTGATCGTGATTCGGACCAAGAAGCCCCTCGACTCCGTCCCACAGTTTTTGCAAACTTGACAGCGCTTAAGCCTTAGCGTATAACTGCCCCAGCAACATGACCATGCATTCCACCACTCTATGCGCCGAACCTCGTGCATAATTGCTCTTTGACCACTCTTTTCTCCTTTGACCAAACTGTCGGATTTTCTCCTTGAACCCATACACCTCACCACACAGCTGCGCATCTCCTCCGCAACCACCTCATACCCTCGAGCGCCATGGCCGAAGCCGACGCTACCGGCAACGATGTCGCGAACAGAGTGATGCGCCGGCTGGAGGTGTCTAAGGTATGCGAGCTCCAATGTTGACGGGCTTGTTTATCTACGTCACTAACACTCTATCACAGNATGACTAGAGCTTTACAAGACAGGCTGGCACTGGCCAATGTAAAGATCAAGCATGGCTGGGAGAACCTCAGCATCGATACCATCGAGCCGCACATTGACCAACAACTCAAACGCAAACGGACCGCCTCGAGCATCAACGATAGCTACTCGGACACGTCCTCCAGCGTCTCTAGCCGCTTCCACTCCATCGGCGGCATGGCCTCATCGCCCTTGACTGCTCCCATCTTCTCCGACGACATGCCTCGGCTAGGCAGCTCTCACAGCAGTGTCCATGGCAGCACTCACAGCAGTAAACGCCCGAGGTTCGCCGACGTCCACAGATATCCTGCATCGAGCAGTCAGACTGGTCGCAAGACCCGCAGTGCTTTGGCCGTCCAATCATGGAAGAGGACACACAGGCTCCCAGAGTCGTCTCCTGTATACCACAACAGGACCGCCGTCTTTCCCTCGACCCTGCACGTCCCGAAGTTGTCTTTCATCTCGGAAGGTTCTAGCCTCATCGACGACGCTCCCTCTCCCGAACTCTCCGAGGACGACGACACTGATCTTCCCGTGCACTCGTTCAACGTCGATAGCGACCTCTACAATATCCGGTCATCGCCTCCTAAGACGCCACCTCCTCAACACCGCTTCTCGCGCACATCCAAAGATAGTGATAATGCTTCTGGAATTATAGGATTATACAACTCTCCCACCCCTGCAAACGGTATTAACAGTGCTCGGGTTATTGCACCGTCTACACCCCCATCCAGAACGACACCCCTACCGTCGTCGATGATGCACACGCCAGGAGGGAGCAATGGTCTCTTTGGCTTTGCGCTGAGTACCCCTTCCAACAACTTCAATTTCGCCGACTTCTGCAACGTTACGCCAAGTCCTGCCCAAGTCAATTGGGCATCTAACAAAAGTCCTTTATCTGCACGCGAGCCACATCGAACACTCAACTTTGATGGCCTGTTGCAACCAGGTACCAGCCCTGAAGTAGCAAGGCACACGAGTGGTGGCACGCTGGAGCTAGGAGCCCTTCTCCATTGAGCTCACCCTCAGCATACATTCCTTTCACGACGATACGATTTTCAGACAGACGTTTGGATTTCACGACCTACCTGGGGCACACCCAATATCGATACCCGCATGCTTTTTCTTCCAATCAATTCCCCTTTGTTTCCAGTGGTCGGGAGGTGAGGCGCCTCGACGGCGCCGGGTCAAGGGGTTTCGGGCGGTTAATGGCGTTGGACGCGGTTCGTGTTCATTTCGCGCGTTTTTGGGTTTTCAGTTTATTCGGCTGACGGCAGGCCAAACATGTTCAACGACGAGCAGAGGAGTTGCACCAAGGGCCATTACATAGCTAGCATAATGACATGCCTAGAACACAGGCTGGTATTCTCCAGATGAGTTTCTGCTGTCGTAAAGCACCAGTCAAGGAGTACAGAGGCACGCGCCTCGGGGTTAGATTGAGATTGATTGTAAAGAAAGTCGGTTCGAGTTGCCGGCGCCGATTAGTTAGGGGTCTAATCACCGAAACGCCTTTGATGACCGTCGCACCTTGACTTCTCTATACACGAGACATGCGCCCGCGATGAATACAACAAGTCACCCTCCAGATGCCTTGGGCAACGCCCTCGAGCTCGTCAACCAGGCATTCGACCAAGTGCAGAAGATCCCCGGCTCCTCAATAGTCATCCGATACATCCGCTCCAGCTACCAAGATGATCCCGTGCGCTCCGCCATGGAGCTGTTCCTGTTCCTCTTCGCCGTCTACTATCTGGTCTCGCCGGCATACTCGACAAAGAAGCAGAAGCAGATTCCTTTGACCGAAGAGGTGCGCCCCGACTACGACCGTCGAGGTCAACGTCTGTGACTGACACGACACACANNGGAGATTGATGAGCTCGTCGATGACTGGACCCCCGAACCACTGGCAGCACCCGTGACAGCTTTCGAGGAGGCTGAGAATGAGAAGAGACCAGTCATCGTTGGGTGCGCAAATTTGCCATACACTACTTAGAGCAATACGCTGATGCACAAAACAGTNCCTTCGGCTCCCAAGTCAAAGCTAGCGAATGGCCGAACCGTAACAAACCTTGCCACCTACAACCACTTCAACTTCATCAACTCGGAAGCCATTAAAGAGGCTGCTGTCAAGACTCTGCGCGCTTATGGTGTCGGTCCCTGCGGTCCTCCTGGTTTCTACGGTACTCAGGATGTTCACCAAACCCTCGAAGCCGACATTGCCGCTCACCTGGGTACACCCGCTGCCATTGTATATGCCCAGTCTTTCAGCACTATCTCATCCGTCATTCCTGCCTTCTCCAAGCGCGGCGATATCATCGTTGCCGACAAGGCCGTCAACTTCGCCACACGCAAGGGTATCCAGATTTCGCGCAGTACAATCCGGTGGTACGAACACAATGACATGGAAGATCTTGAGCGCGTGCTCGCGAAACTAGTCAAAGAGAACGCTCGTAAACCCCTGACTCGCCGTTTCATCATCACCGAGGGTCTCTTCGAGAACGTAGGCGATGTTGTCAACCTCCCCAAGCTCATTGAACTCAAGCAAAAGTACAAGTTCCGCATCATTCTGGACGAAACGTGGTCATATGGTGTGCTGGGCCGCACAGGTGGCGGTGTTACCGAGCAACAGAATGTGGATGCCAGCCAGGTCGACATGATCATCGGTTCGCTCGCCGGTTCTCTGTGTGGTGGAGGTGGCTTCTGTGCTGGTAGCGAAGAAATCGTCGAACATCAACGCCTCTCTGGTAACGCGTATACCTTCTCGGCCGCGTTGCCTGCTATGCTTGCGACCACTGCTAGCGCAACCACTAGGATGCTGCAAGAACAGCCTGAACTTCTAGTCGCATTGAGGGAGAACGTCCGCGCTATGCGTGCCCAACTGGATCCACGCAGCGACTGGGTTACTTGCACCAGTGCTGTTGACAACCCTGTCCTGATGCTCATTTTGAAAGAAGAAGTGCTTGAGAGCAGGCAGCTGAGTGCACCAGAGCAGGATCTCATCATGCAAGATATTGTCGAAGAAGTAAGCTAGGTTTCTAACTACGCTTTGTGCCGTATTTACTGACTGGGACCGAACAGNTGTCTTGCCAATGGCGTCTTGATCACGCGACTGAAGAGTATGCCTCCACCACTAGGTGGTACACCTCGTGACGAGGGTTGGCAGCCTCAAGCTGCAGTCAAGGTCTGTGTTACTACCGGTCTGTCGAAGAAGGAGACGGAGAAGGCTGGCGTGGTCATCAGGCATGCCATCACCAAGATTATGACACGCAGAAAGTAAACAAAGCAAAAGCCGTCTCGTTTTGGGGAAACGACTTCTAGTCGACGGCGTTGTCCACGGTAAAGCGATTTGATTCGAAGTCTGTATAAGATATAAATCCCTTGTAATTGTGAAAATGCAAGTCTTCTCTGTGTTCTTCTCGAAGCTTTATGAGGGTGCTGTTTTTGGAAGATCAGCCGGATCGCGATGGGTTCAATTTACGGTAGGGGTCCAAGCGCTCATTACATCATTCTAACCATCCATTGGAGAGGCCGCGCAAAGAGCGAGGCTTGGACATAGGGACAAGAGTTTGAATCAACACTGCCATATTCGATCCTGATTGAACTCAAGCCCACTACATACTGCTCTTTCAGTTGTGCATGCAGGAAGGCCGTCTTTATTGACACAATGTTGGGTCGTGGGAAGCCAGTAGCTTCCATGCAAAAGACATATGACGACTGCTATTTGACATGCTCGACTGCTGTGTATTTCGANGGGCCAGGCAGGTTTCGCGATGGCAGTGGCCAGATAAAACAGCTGACGGTGAAGCAGAACAACGAGGCTGAAGCTCTCCGATCATGGCGCAACGCACTGGACCAGATATACTACCACAACGCCTATCGCATGCCCACCGGATGGCGACCACGTTCCGAAACCGAGAAGGCCCTGCAGGAGTCGTTGCGACAGATGGAGCTGCAATGCAAAGAGCGCGTGGATCTGCTGGAGGCACTTCGACAGAGTCGGGAGGAAGCTGCGGAAGGGGAAACACAAGCAAAGGCAACAGCGTCCAGCACAAGCATCCAACTTCAGGAAAGCGCAGACCAGAACAACACCGCCGGCTTGGGTGGAGGCAGCATCCCTCCAGTTGGATACGCCGACATTTCACGCCCTACGCCTCCTTCTCTTCCAACTCGCACCAAGCGACCATCTTACACTTCGAAGTCTAGCTCTTCGACTGATGTTTCGCGCAGTCGCAGGTCACCCCTGCAGCCCGCTGTGTCTGCTTTTCCTACACCATCGTCATCAATGCTGGCACCCCAACCATCATCCGGTCAGCGGAAAGGCTCGCGAACCCCTAGTCCGGAGAAGAGAGGAGGTATGCTGAGGACTTTGCGCGCTGGTGGAAAGGAGAGGACGACTTCATCCGGCAAACTTGCCAATGCCACTTTCAGGAGGCCGGCTGCTGCGTCTAAGGCCGCTACTCAAGCATGGGGCATCACTCAGCGCAATGCCAGTGTTGGAAGCTTGGATCAAGTGAACGGACATCTGGACGGCCCTCCTAGCTCTGCCACTGTCTGGGACCCTTACACGAGAACGCTTGTCGATCCTACTAATACTTCCCGACCAACTGCACCTAGTCACACTGCCTCCGCTCCTCCAGTTCCTCTACATTCATCCAGCGACCGTTCATCTCAAGAGCATCCAAGACCTGCTCGGAAGCATGTGCGACCACCAAGCCCATCGGACTACTTCGTCCAGCCACCCGCTACAAACGGATCTCAGCAGGAGTCGCAACGCCCACCGTACCCCGATCATTCTTTGCTGAACCCAGTACAACCATCCCAAGCATACGCCAGCAGTTCCGAACATCTGGGTCCACCTTCGCCAATCACTTCTCCTCGTCAGCGACCAAATGCTGCCTTTACCGCCAATACTCCTCAAGCGCGAAAGCAATCGCCTGTTCGTAGACTTGAACCTGTCAGCTTGCCGTCCTATCGCAACGAGTACCTACCCGTGCAGCCGAGTAAATACAAGAATCCGCCAAATGCCAGGCCGCCGAAAACTTTGAAGGATCTAGAAAACCAGGTCTCATCTTCGGTGCCTGCTGCAACAAGTCAGCCAAAACCCAAAGTAGCACCGCCGATCCCTAGGAAAGCAGTTGGTGTGGTTAACGCGGCGAAAGCACGACAACAGCTAGACGACAGGAACGTCTCATCAGGATATAGCGCGGATGAACATAGCAGTGGAAGAGAAAATTCAACAAGAGTGCGACGGAAGAAAACTACGGCTGTCCAGGAGGAGGGTCCTGCGCCCATTGTTGAATCCGTTACCGAACATCCTGAAGCACCTACGGAGCCGCAAGACGAGTTGTCAGAGTGGGATGAACGGGTCAAGAGCCTACTCAACAACCTACCCCGCGGCGTAGACGAAGGAGCTGCAAAACAAATCTTCAACGAGATTGTAATCCAGGGTGATGAGGTACATTGGGATGATGTTGCGGGTCTGGAAATCGCAAAGAGTGCGCTGAAAGAAACGGTAGTCTATCCNTTTTTGCGTCCGGATCTGTTCATGGGTCTTCGTGAGCCAGCACGTGGCATGTTACTCTTCGGACCACCAGGAACAGGAAAAACCATGCTTGCCAGAGCTGTCGCAACGGAGAGTAAAAGTACATTCTTTGCCATCTCCGCTAGCAGTTTGACGAGCAAGTACCTTGGCGAGAGCGAGAAGCTCGTACGCGCACTATTTTCTATCGCAAAGGCACTGGCACCATCCATTATCTTCGTCGACGAAATCGACTCGCTGCTCTCGGCGCGTGGTGGGTCGAGCGAGCACGAAGCTACTCGTCGCATCAAGACCGAATTCTTAATTCAATGGAGCGACTTGGCAAAAGCAGCTGCAGGCAAAGAAACAAGCGAAAAGGACAAAGAGCGAGGTGATGCGAGTAGAGTATTGGTATTAGCGGCTACCAACTTGCCCTGGGCAATTGATGAAGCAGCGAGGAGACGATTTGTCAGAAGACAATATATCCCGTTACCCGAGGACTGGGTGCGCAAGCTACAGCTCACAACGTTAATGGCGGCGCAAAAGCATAACATCAGCGACGAAGATCTGAATGAGCTGGTGTATTTGACTGAAGGTTTGTTAACCATCCTGAGCATTTTGCATCAATTATGCTAATCCTGCAAAACAGGTTTCTCAGGAAGTGATATCACAGCTTTGGCGAAAGACGCCGCCATGGGACCTCTACGCTCTCTAGGAGAAAAATTGCTACATATGTCGCCAGACGATATTAGGCCGATCGATGTGACAGATTTTAAGGCCAGTCTAACCAACATTCGACCAAGTGTGTCGGCTTCTGGACTCAAGGAGTTTGAAGACTGGGCCAAGGAATTCGGCGAGCGTGGTGGTTAATCAATAGCACTTGGGTCGCGACGACTGAAGCGGCTCCTCTTTGCAGTGTTCATGATTCTTATCCTAGGCTCCCACCGACCCCCGTTGATACACATGAATTTAACTCGTTATTCTTCTCATTGCTTCATGAAAGTGTGATGTGGTTGTGAATGGCTGATTGTTTGAATGAATTCAAGGCTTTGTTCTGTTATCAACATATCTGTATCATTTTTTCAACATATGTGCCTATCATCACCCAAAAACATTCATACAAGCACATCATAGCTCTTGTAAGTGACTAGATAGTCTCTACCTACAGTATGCAACGATCTGGCTCCCTCGTCGCTATGATATAAAAGCCTTGATCGATAGACCAGGGTGATACCGGCCGCAACTATTTCTCGGCGCTGTCCAGTGCGGATGTTAAATGGCATGGAATAAGTGGAATATTGGAATATTCCACTAATTTAAGGTAGAATATTCCACCTAGTTAGCATGGAATAGAATCGTTAGTTTAAGTGGAATATTCTACCATTCTACCACTTAGTATAGCTAGTGTTACTATAGTTAATAGTAGTAAGCCTTAGCTTAGAGCGTACTACGCTTAGGCATAGTAGTCGCGTGTAAAAAACTTGCTATAACGCCCTTTCTAATTAGTAGCTCATTTAAGCTCTCTAATTGGCTGGATCTTATCTCGGAGATAAGATCGCAAGCTCCGACTAGCTAGTCTATAGTTAGCTTACGCGAAGCCTTACGCGTCCTTTTCGACGCGTCTTAACTAATCCCTCTCTATTTATTAACCATCCTATCTTCTACCTTCTTACTTAATATAAGAGCTTAGCTCTTAATTGTCTTCTTGTCTTAATAAGCAAATAATCTACCTTTAATTACAACGCTTATATTATGTATTTAATAGCTAATTAAGAGTATAAGTTATAAGAGCTATAAAGCTAACTAAACTCTCGATTATCTTAGAGCTAGCCGCTATACGCCTCTAAGTAGAGCACTCTCTTTAAATTCGCCTCTAATACTCTAAGGCCTAGACTCTTCGCTCCTTAGAGTTAATCGGATAGTATCTTTATTAAAGGTAACAACTCTAAGACTAATAATAGCGCCTCTAATGTCGACTAGCCGTTATTTCCTCCTTTAAAGCGACGACGACTAACGCTAACGACCCCTAGCAACTACATCGATAACTCTAAATCTACGTTAATATAGCGCTCTCGAAAGCTAGCTCCTACCCGTAGCGATTCTAAAGAGCTCTAGTCTTATGCTAGAGCTCGTCGTCCTAGAGAGCGCGAGCGTAAGCTTAAGAAGAAGATCTAGTACTACTTCTATAGTAATAGAGACTATCCTTGTAACTATAGCACTACTAACTACGATAACATTAGATTATACCTTAAGAAGAGATATAGCTAGAGATAGGCGACTAGTACACTTTTAAAGATGCTAGTAGTAGTAATACCCTCTTAGACATTATATACTATTACCGACATCGACAAAACTCGTTTAAACCGACACCTTATCGATTATATTACCTTAAGCAATATCCCTTTCCGTACTACTAGTAATCCTTTACTCTATACCCTACTTAATAAGGTGCTTCCTAGCGCCTTAAAGCTCTTAATTAAGACCTATTATACTATTACTAAACACGTTAAGAAGGAGTATAACTTCTATTAAGAGCAGCTTAAGGCTCTACTTATAACCTCTTAATTATTAGTCTACTTTACCTACGATGCTTAGACGGCTAATTATAGTAACTATAAGCTACTTAGTATTATAGCTCGATTTGTCGCCTTAGACGGTAAGTTAAGTAAGGCATTACTAGCTCTTTATAAGTGTTACGATCCTGCCAACGACAGGGTCGCACAGCCTGCTCTGTTGTTCTCCGCATCTTGGCGGAACAGAGCACTCTGCATAAACACGCCATCTGCTCCGCTCTGCTCTGCTGCTCTGCTCTACAGAGCACAACAGAGCACATAGAGCAACATGCATACACTCATTATCTATTAGGTATATAGGTAGGTAGGAACTCACTAGGAGGTCCTGCGTTCAACTCAATTAGTTATTCCAACAGTCCCTTTGGTATACACTACTACTTACATCTGCTTCACTACGCTTGACACTCCTCTTTACGAGTCCAACCCCGTGACTAGTTATTCTCCCCAGAATAGTTGGCCATAACAACTTTGAACGCCCTCAGAATGAGTCACTCAAGCAACACCTAGAGAGGTACTCCCGCACCTAGCGAGGTCGGTGGAACCCGCACCACCAGCACCTCCCGCGACGACAGCAAGGTCGCCAAGCCCGATCTCTACTATGGAGACCGCCAGGGGCTTGACGATTGGCTTAACCAGATGGACCTCTATTATATCTTTACTCCTATGGAGGAAGCCAAGAAAACCATCTTTGCTAGTACCTATCTCCGTGGAAGAGCCCAGCACTGGATGAAACCGATGCTTTAGAAGTTCCTCGACAAGAGAGAAGACACCGACGGAATCATGATGAGCTTCGTTAAGTTCAAGGCCGAGATACGTCGTATCTTTGGCATCTCCAACGAAGACAAGGTTGCTGTACGCCTTATTCAGCACATCCGTCAACACACTTCAGCATCCGATTATGCCGCCAAGTTCTAGGAGTATGCCCAGATCACCGACTAGGATGACTCCGCCCTGATGACTATGTATCGACGTGGTCTGAAGGAGAACGTCAAGGACGAACTCATGAGATCCGGCATGAAAATCGAAGATCTTGATGATCTTATCCGTGCATCGATCGAAATCGACGACAACCTTTACGAACGTGCTATGGAAAGACGCCATGACGTTGCCCCTCGCGGCAAATCTGGTTATGTTCCATACCGTAGCAACAACAACACCAATAAAGGAAGAAACTTCAACAGACGCAACCAGTACCAGGATCCTTACGGACCTATGCCAATGGAACTGGATGTTACCGAAGGTCGCCGATCTTAGGGCAGGAAGCAGTTTAAAGGGAAGAGTCAGATGACTTGCTACGCATGTAACCAGAAAGGTCACATGGCAAGGGATTGTCGTTCGAAGAACAAGGTGCCTCGAAGACAATTCAACATGACGCAGCGCCGTTCCGAAGGAAAGGAGCCAGAGCGCAACGAGCCAATGGAAACCAGAGAACTGGACACCTATGAAACCCTTAGCTGGACGGCTTGCTATGATGACGCATGTCTAGTCCATTACGACGCTAAGATGGGGTCAGCATGGTTTCCCATGCACCTGGAAAGGGCAGAGGAGGCTACAACGAGATCAATGTCATCACTAAGAAAGATGATCTCGAGGAAGGAGAAATCGAAGAAGAAGACGTCGAAAGCGATCCAGAACTGGATAACGACGAAGAGGATAGCAGCGACGAAGAATCATCCGACGACGACCACCTATGCGATGGACGAGAAGGCATCGAAACTTTACATGCCTATGTACCATCATGCTTCACTAAGATGTTCAACATCATGATGAAGCACGGCGAAGACGCATTTCCCTCAATTAACGGTTAGAGATTCTTGCACCCTCATAACTTCGATAATATGCTGGATCAGATCCGCTATGCATTTCGGGACCACCGACTAGTGGTAGTCGACTACGACTTTAAGGCTTTCATCATCGAAAGGCCACCACTCGGTAGTACCTTTGCACCAGCAGGATACATTATTCCCACAGGAGAACGTGTCAATAAGAGTATGCGAGATGGCATTAACTTGCTCCGATCTCGATACGAACAAGCTCAACAGCAGCAACGCACGCTGTACGAGAGACACCTCCGCGAAGAACACGGACTGGATACTTCCTCGAAAGGGAAGGAGAGAGTTAGATTTGACTCCGTAGTCAGTGACGATTCGGGAAAAGAGTAGATTCTCGTGGCAAGGGCAGCCAACGAGAATGCAACACGATCCAGGCCCTAGCGTCAACATCATCAACAACGGTGTTCCGTACACCAATTACCGTCAATGGAAGACGACTGTATGCAATGATAGATTCCGGAGCGAGCGGAAACTTCATCTCTACGGCTACAGTTGCTCGATTTAGGATCGCCACCAAATCGAAAGAACACGGGTACGAATTAATGGCTATAGACGGCTCAGCTTTACCCGGGGTTATAGAGGAGACTCTATCGACAGAGCTCGTTGTTCAATCGCACCATGAGGACATCACTTTCGACATTGTGGAAATGGCCAAACACCACATTGTCCTAGGTATGCCTTGGTTAAGACAACACAACCCAACCATCGACTGGAGGTCGAAAGTGTTAAGGTTTCAGGGATGCGACTGCGTGGTCGATCCGCGACCTACGCACCGACAGCGTTCGGTGGTAGATGAGAGGAAGGGTCAAACCAAGACCAAGAAAGCATGTGTTGCTATCACCTCGACTAAGGCATCATCAAAACAACATGATACCGGCTCCGCAGGCACCGATCTTGGAGGTCAGACGGGCCACGAAGCGAGAGTTAGTGAAGGAAGTCACGTACCTTCTGATATCCCTGGACAATACAGCAAATGGAAACGCTTGTTTCAGGAAGAGGAGAACGCCAACGCGTTACCTAGGCATCAGCCGTGGGATCACGAAATCAGACTCGAACTAGGGAAGCAACCCACATTTGGACCCATCTATGCGTTATCCGAAAAAGAACTCAAGACGCTTCGAGAATACCTAGACGAGAACTTAGCACGAGGATTCATCCGCAAATCGGAGTCCCCTGTAGGTTACCCAATTCTGTTTGCACCAAAGAAAGACGGCAGTCTGAGACTGTGCGTTGATTACCGAAAGATTAACGATATTACCATCAAGAATCGTTACCCATTGCCGAACATTGAAGAACTACAGGATCGCTTATCCAAAGCGAAATGGTTCTCAAAGATTGATCTCAAAGGAGCCTACAACCTCATCCGAATGAAGGAGGGAGAAGAATGGAAGACCGCGTTTCGTACACGCTACGGGCATTACGAATACTTAGTTATGCCATTTGGTCTTACCAACGCCCCGGCTAC